AATTATAGTAAAAATTTAGAAACCACAATTTCCTCTTTTGTATATTTAGAATTTATTTCCAAACCAAAAAAGGAGATATTTTTGAAAAATGCTATACTGTGTAATTTAGGTCAAATATAAATTACCAAAATAATTTTCATATTAGAAAGGAAGATTTGTTGTCATTTCTGAAGATCCAGTAGTAGTTAGTTATGATTAAACTAAAGGAACTAAAATAAATCTTCAAGTTCAAAAAAATAAAATTAATACTAAGTTGTTAGTTATTTCCTCCGTTTCAAATTAGTTGTCGTTTTGGCAAAATGTATCTACAATTATTTGAATGTATCTACAATGCAAAATATGTCCAAATACGTCTAAATTTTTGCAGATACATTTTGCCAAAACGACAACTAATTTGAAACGGAGAGAGTATATTACTACTGTTTTAGACTACCTCGTAAGTCGTAATCTACAAATACTCGAATTTTGTGGAATAATAGAGGAAGCTATAATAGAGTTCAAACGAGTTACAGCTTCAACACGATATGTTGTGTACCGTAGCAATATTCATCACAAAATTCCAACAGTTTCATTTTTGTCGTGTAAGCAATTAAGTTTTCGGGTATCATTTTCAGCATTTATGTTTTCATTAATTTTCCTTCTGATGTTTTTTTTGAAAAATCTAACTATCCATAATTCCATATACAAGTAGCTAATCTCTCCAGTCGAAAACTCAAATTGACAAAGTTTAGAACTACCTCTTTATCGAGTTACGTTATGACTTATGAAATATTAGCACATTTGCAAATAATTTCTTCCCATTAAAAAAATATTTTCCATTGGCGAACTCAACCACCTCCACTATGAATTAGACCTGTCAAAAGGTGGATTTTTGCGGGTTAGTTCACTTTGAAATAAATATGCAAACCATAAACACCTAACTGAAGATGATGTACATTTGAGTATATGACCTTCATTTTTCACAAGAGAATGTCCGTATCAACTAAAAGATACAAATTAAACATCTTCAATAATCAACTTAAACAATATATTTTACCAGGTTTTAGATCGGATGCTTTGGTTTGAACAATAAACTGGTTTTGAAATTTATTTTTCAGACGTTGGCTAAATGATTCCATATCCAAAAAAAATAAATAAACATATCAAGATATCGGAATTATTCAGAAATAAAAATTATGGTAGACTAGATATATCAGCTTAACCGGAAATCTGGAATTGGACAAAACACCTTCTATCAATTTATCGTCATAAAAAAGGTTGATCAATGGGAGAATTTCATGTATCATAATTACAACAAGCGCGCTTCATCAATTTCATCAAATTAGTAACTTTTAAATATCATGTAACATTTTGATATAAACTATATATTAGATCAGATCTTGATCATGTTATCTCTAAGGATGTTTCTTATTGTATTTTCTATTGAAAACTGGCTAAACCGCTAAACAATGAGAATTTCAGAAAAAGGTACATCTCCAAACAATAATGCAAATTTAAATCTCTTAAATACTGTCAGATTGTCAATCAGCTAATAATGCGACTTTAACCCTATTTTGGGAATATTTTCTTTCCGTTTTTTGTTTCTTATTCAGGTTTTCCAGGATAATCTTACAAAGACTTATTATCATGTTGATGAATGATGATGATGGTCCCTTATCATATAAACAAACGTAACGCAGGCACGCAACTTTATGCGAAGATTACGTGGCAATTGGATTGCGCAAAAAGGAAATTAAAAAAGTCCAAATTATTAAAAGGGAAGGTGGCTCGTCCCGTATTCCTTCACACACAGAGAAGAAAAATGAAAACTACTGATTTCTCTTCTTCTTCGTCGCCAAGCGATCGCAGGATCGGAGCTCTGCTCCGTCATCTGAATTCCGGGAATGAGCTTGGGATTGCGGATCGTCTGAGCTCCGTTTATGCCTCGCCGACATCTGGAGTCGCCGGCGGTTCTGTTTTTGCTCATCTTGTTCAAGCTCCCGAGGATCCTATTCTTGGGGTACACCTTCTTCTCTTCTTCTTCGATAATGTTTTGTGTTGTATATAGTTTTCAAACATATTCTACGACGCTTGTGGATATGTATATCCTACGCATTTGATGTTCTAGTCGGTTTGTTTCCTTCGTGATTCCGTTGGATCGGCGAATTTACGATCTCGCCGTAGAATACGCGATCGTGACGTGATGATAGATGATATGGGAGAACATTTGATGTCTATTTTTCTGATTTTGGTTCGCTTATTTAGTAGAACGGATGGAAATCTCTTTGATTGATTGTTTTGTCACACGAATTTTCATTCATTGATTATTGGATATGTTATACAAACACTGATACATTATCAGCTTCTGAGACTAATTCTGATGTTTTATTTTGGTTAATTACGAATAGGTGACAGTTGCATATAACAAAGATCCGAGCCCAATTAAGCTGAATTTGGGAGTTGGTGCTTACCGAACTGAGGTAATGATGATCCTCTTCTCTGTTCTTTCCTCTAACTTTCATGAAAAGTAGAAAAGTTTTTGCATTTCCGTGTGGAAGCAATTGATGTGTGTGGTGGTGATGTAGGAGGGAAAACCGTTGGTTCTTAATGTCGTGAGGAAAGCGGAGCAGCAGCTTATTAATGACAAGTTAGCTCTCTTTCTTTTACTCTGGGTTGAGTTTGTTATACCTTTGTGAGTTGGTGTTTGATGATGATGAGTCTTGCTTTGTGTTTAAAATCTGTAGATCAAGAATTAAGGAGTATCTTCCGATTGCCGGATTGGTCGAGTTCAACAAGTTAAGCGCTAAGCTCATATTAGGCGCTGACAGGTATATGTTTCCTGAATCAATCTTTATGTTCTCAACAGTTTTTTTATTGTGTGTTCTGATTGTTGTTTATTACGCATGCTTAGTCCTGCTATTCGGGAGAATCGGATTACAACCGTGGAGTGTTTGTCTGGTACTGGTTCCCTGAGAGTCGGTGGGGAGTTTTTGGCCAAGCATTATCATCAGGTAATTATTAACTCAAGAGTCTGATTTCTTTTCTTCATCCTAATGAACTTCTCAACTAAACTTGGAGTACTCTTTTTCTTTCCAGAAAACAATCTATATTACTCAACCAACATGGGGAAATCATCCCAAGATTTTCACACTTGCTGGTTTGACTGTCAAAACTTACCGCTACTATGATCCATCCACACGTGGCTTGAACTTCCAAGGTGAGACTGTTAGAAGTGATACTGAGGTTTATGCTTCTCAAAAGTGTGTATCATTTTCTGAATGGTCAATGACAATAGTTTTTGTAATTTCTGTTACACAGGTTTAATGGAAGACCTTGGTGCTGCTCCACCTGGTGCTATAGTGCTTCTCCATGCATGTGCTCACAACCCAACTGGTGTTGATCCAACCATCCAACAATGGGAGCAGATCAGGCAGTTGATGCGTTCAAAGGGACTGATGCCATTCTTTGACAGTGCTTATCAGGTAACACCTGATGATGATTAAACCATTTTCACCTCTGAATAAACGGTTAATACTTGCCCTTTCCACGCACCGCAGGGCTTTGCGAGTGGAAGTCTGGATACAGATGCGAAGCCGATTAGGATGTTTGTTGCTGATGGTGGAGAATGTCTCGTTGCTCAGAGTTATGCAAAGAACATGGGACTCTATGGAGAACGAGTTGGAGCTCTCAGCATTGTAAGACTCGAATCTGATTAAGAAACAAACTCTTGGGGAGTGCTTTTGGTTGTTGCTGTGAGACACTTTTTCTGAAAACAAAAGGGGTTTGTATTGTAGGTATGCAAATCTGCAGATGTTGCAGGGAAGGTTGAAAGCCAACTGAAGCTAGTAATAAGGCCAATGTACTCAAGTCCTCCGATTCATGGTGCATCGATCGTGGCTGTGATCCTCCGTGACAGGAACTTGTTCAACGAATGGACTCTGGAGCTAAAGGCCATGGCTGATCGTATCATCAGCATGAGGAAACAGCTTTTCGAGGCATTACGTTCTCGAGGTAAGGTCCTCTCATCAGGAAACAGCAAATCACAGTGTAGATATATCTGAAGTACTAATAAAATAAGATTGAAATCAATGTGATAGGGACGCCTGGAGACTGGAGTCACATCATAAAGCAGATTGGTATGTTTACATTCACAGGGTTAAACCCAGCACAAGTCTCCTTCATGACTAAAGAGTACCACATCTACATGACTTCCGACGGGTAAATCCTCTCTCTTTCTCTCATACATAACATCTGTGTTTTTCGTTTGAAATGATCTAACTTTGGTGTGTTTACAATATTTGGTTGTAAAATGAATAATAAAAGGAGGATAAGCATGGCTGGTCTGAGTTCGAAGACAGTACCGCACCTTGCAGACGCTATCCACGCTGTTGTTACCAAAGCCCTCTGAAAATTCTCACACCATCATCATGCTCTAGCCTCTACAGTTAAAGTGCTATCAATAAAGAATCTTACTTTTGGTTTTTCAGCATTTCCTGCAGTGACAAGATATATGTCGTTAATTTTTTCGAATTCATAAAAAATGTCGTGTTATTATTTCATCTCAGTTATCAATAAATGACGATTTTGTCTCTTCTACTATTTGTCGTTCTTACCGGAGCCATTACATTCAGTTTCCTAACTTTACACACAGCAAAATCCGGATATCTAGTATTAGTCTGTTTTCTCTGTTTTCAAGTTTATTGCTGGCAAGGGATACTGAATCTACCGCCATCACCATATGAAATTTAAGCTTGTGTACAATTCATGAAGAATGCTGGCTCATAGTCATCAGGGACAAGGTCTGTTCATAGCAGGCAATATGAAAGATGTATATATATAAGATTATATTGAACACAGAATCTACACAAAATCATTCAAGCTGATCCATTAAAAGAAGAATTTTTTTGATCCAATCAGGGACAAGGTCTGTTCAAAAGAGATGCACCATACATATATTTTATACATGTTCATGTATGTGCATTGCATATTATGTATTTAGGAGGATAAGACTTCTTCTTCTGTTAACTTTTGGTTGGAGACTCGCAATCATTGAAGTCCAGCACTCGACGCTCCGCCTGTAAACATGACAATGTTCAAAACCCAAAACCAATGAAAGAGAAAGAAACACATTTCTCATAATCTCAAAAGCGTCTACTTTAAGAGAGTGAATGATGTGTACCAGTAGAGGATCATTATTCTCTTTATCCAATTCCTTCTTCTTCCTTGCATCATCAATACTTGAAGACAGTGAAATTTCCATTGCATCGAATGCTGCAAATGCATTTGTATGCTCATTTCTCTGTGTCATCACTCCTATGCTCTCGTAGCTTCTCTCCCCAGGGCTGAATATGTAGCCCATGTCCTGAAAAAATAAGAAAAATATGTATAAGATATACGAGCCTGAAGAATTTGACATTGCACGCACCCATGAATGTATATAATGGAAGGATCATAAGGCAATATGAAATACCTCGATAGTTATATCGGTGTCAAACCTTGGGCTGGACAAGAGAGAGTTTATGTAAAACGGAGACTTCCAGGCTGAGGGCGATTCAAGACCTCTCTTGAATGGAGTTCCACAGAATCTGCAAATAGAGGAGAAACGAACGAAATAATTGTAGCAAGAACTGAGAGCAAGTATAGAAAAGCAAAAGAAATAGTAAAGGTGGCGGCTTAAATTTACATGCTGAAATTCTCATTGCCTGTCTCGCTGTCAACAAGATGGCCCTCAGGGTTTCTCGCACGAGAAGGTGAATTGATGACCAAACAAAGACTTGCAGGAGAATGTTGTTCTTTGTTAGAAGTAGCCACCAGAGTTCTCTGCAAATGATTTCTTGGGGTTGAAACTTGTGCCTTCTCTGCTTTGGTTACTGATTTACCAGGAGATAACAGAACTGGCTTGTTGGTATTGTTCTCAGAAAGTACACCAGAGAAAGTTTCAGCCTGCATAAGATTTTATCCGTTGACTGTTCATAACATGAAGGTTATAAGCAATGCACAGAGAAAATAATGATCCTGTGACATATAGCTTAATTTCATTATGTTTTGTTAGACGACCATGACATGAAAACCAATATTTGTCTCTAGCCAATTCCTCACTACCTAGATTCATATATATGCCGCATAAATGTAGAGCATATCAAGATTGTAACGATATAATATTCAAATGCTTAATAGGGAAGAAGAGACTTACGTTTTCAACAAAAAGTGCAGAATCATCCTTTTCCTTGACATTTGCCTCTATGCAAGTTTGCACTGCTTTTTCAAGTGATTTTCTGACAGGCATAGTTTTTTCTGGCACTTTGTGACAAGAGAGTGAAGAAGGCTTACCGTTCCAATTCTCTCCACCTTCTCCATTCAAGATTTGATAGTGGTTTTCACTCTCATCAAACATCACATCTAGACGTGAAAAATCTTTCGCCAGACTTGCTGCTATTTCAGTTTCAAGCTTCTTATCACATCTTTTCTCAGAGAGCGGTGTCAGCAGATCACGGGTCCGTTTCCTCAGGATTGACTGTGCACCAACCAGCGTCTTTTTACCAGTGGGAGATTCCCACAGCCTAAGTGGACTTATGCACGTCATGGTGGACATCAGTAGCTTCCGTATGCCAAGAGGGCTATAATCGTGCAGCGGATCGTTTTTCGATTGTAACATATCACAGTTGAAAACTGGTAGGTCCAAGCTTGGAAAACCGAGACTTGATGATGCTCCCATATCCTCATGATGCTGCTCCCTTGGCATGTCTGGCTCATGCTTAAAAAGAGAGTGTGGCTTAACTTCTGCCAGAGAAGCAAAATCGTTCACTGGAACCAACTTTATGGGATCATTCACATGATATGGTTGATCTTCGCTGGAGTTATTAGAATCAACACAAGTGGAGCTTGAGGGATCACCGATGCATATGAAGCTCCCATTTTCATTTGTTCTGCAGTTTGGTGCTGCCTCAAAGGGATGACATATCAATCCAGATGACTTCTTGCCATACTTATCAGGTGATATGATTAAGGGAGCTGGCCGAAGAGTTTCTTTGCTTGAAGCGGCCGTTGCAATGAACCTTGAAGAAGAGCTCTGCATAGGAGATTTTGTAGCTTCTGAAATCTGGCTGTCTGAAGCTGATGAACAAGAAGCAGGATCAACCTCGGATCTAGAAACACTGAGCGCTTCACTCTCTTGATCAGGGAAAAGGACCCTGCAACATTCCGTTTCAGATGTAAAAACGTTTGCTGGATCGGTGTTAGCAGCCGCATCTACATTTGATGTGGAGTTTGAAGCCTCCAGAGTAGATTCCTTGCTTTCCTTCGTGTACGGCATCGGTACCTCCGACATACTGTATCTCATCTCCAATGAAATATCCGAAAGATCCTGAAAATCAAACTGGTAATCCTGGCTCGACGAAGCTGAGACATTGTGATCATGAAACTGTGAACAGTCCATGTCATAAGAGCCTTCTGAGATATCTTCCAATGGCGGATAAAAATACTGATCCGGATGATATGCAGGTTGCTCATTGAAATGTTGCCCCATGTTTACTACTCCAGTTGGATAGTCTCTTGCGGATAGTGAGCAGCCAGCCATGCTTGAATTCTGATGGTTTCCTATTTCTTGCTCTCCCTGTCCACTCAGGCAGCCATTCTCCTCTATTGTTCTCTGCATAAAAGCAGATTGTAACGTGGAGCTTCTCTCGTAAGGAGCTAGAGGCATGGCTTGGTACTGATCCAAAAGGCCAGACGCCATATAGGAATCAAGCTTCTTCTTTACTGAACTGTGCCAGTGATTTTTTATTCCATTATCCGACCTGTTGATAACATAACAACTATATTGCTAGAAGAATTCCTTAAGATTGAATAAGATGTACAATTTGTTCTCAAAAGACTACAAATATTAGTACCTTCCAGGCAAGAACTTTGTTAACTCTGCCCATCTATTGCCGTATACTTGATGAGCCCGAATCAGAACCAGCTCTTCCTCTTGAGTCCAAGCTTCCTTGTTTATGGCAGGATTGAGATGGTTGTGCCACCTACATCAAATTGCAATCTTTGTGAATACTTATACACTTCACAGTAAAAAATCTAGAAAAAAAGACTAGAGAGATAAGCTTACCTCTCTCTACATTGCTTTCCAATACGGCCAGGTAAAAACCGAGCAATAGTGGACCACTTCTTCGGCCCATATTTTTCGATTAACTGAACGATCATTTCATCTTCCTACACACAAGTCAAATGAGAGCAATAAGCAGTCATAGGGGATAAAGTATACAAGATGCACATATAAACGTAATGAAGAAAAGCTATGTCACCTCCTTGGTCCACGGCCCTTTAACAAGTTCAGGATTAAGGACCTTCTGCCACCTGTGGAGGCACTGGACATCAGTTCGATCCTTGAAATATTCAGCTGAAAGTTCAAAAAAAAAAAAACAGATCAGACAAAGAATGTGACATTCAATTATACAAGAACGTTAGCAAACTATGTCACATAGTGAAACTTACCTATCTTCTTCCAGTTTTTCCCTTTAAAATTATGGACGGCTTTTTTCAAGATCTCATCCTGAAAACATGTTTAAATACACAAATCAAAGAGTAAAAAAAAAAAGTGCAAATATCTAAATGTCCACTTCTTGTGTATCTATGAAGCTGAAGGAAACCATTAATTGATACCTCTTCTGCTGTCCATTGACCTCGAGTGGAACGTCTTGCAGGGCCACTAGTCCTCCTGTATAATCGACACATATTCATTGTCTATTGTAGCAAAGTTAACGATTTATAAATAGTAAGATATCTAAAAAAGAAGCATACCCGTGACGCGTTTTCTGGCTCCCTTCGATAAGACCCTCAGGAGGGGTTGAGATCGTTGTTGTACACTCACTTTCCATCGTATCTTGTCAATGAAATTCCAAAAAGGGTTACTCCAGTTCCCATACGTTGCGCTTATTCTCTGCAATTTTCACTCCAAAACATTATCTAACAAAGTTATTCTTCCCTTCTTCGCACCATCTCTCAATCTACCTCAAAAATATAAAAATGTCAAAAAAGAAAGAAATCTCGACAGGTTCTGGCAAATACTATCAGGACTAAACACACTCGCAGCTCGGATTTTATTACAGTAGCTAGCTAATTGGTGTTTGCTTTTAGATCCAAACACCTCAATCGAAACTAGCAAGTAATACTCTGATCAGACCGGAAATTCAAAATCACATCATTACTCAAATCAAGGTAGATACTAAGATCAACAAAACCTACTACAAGATCACTAACCATGAACACAGAAAACTCACCGGATATGGAATCGGAGAGAGAAGAGGATGCACAAACGAGAGATTACACAGACCAAAATGCCCCAGTTTAAAACCCAAATCGCAAACTAGATCTCTCCGATCGAAGAGAAAAGACTCCACAGTCTGTTTAGAGAGTGAGCGATTGAAAAAAAAATTCTCAATTAAATGAGAGAAAATCTAAACGGTCGGGAGAGCTTATTTGAAACATGAATGGCGGAATTTCGAATTTTTGGGTGTTAAAAGTCATCGTCGACAAACCCTATACTGTACATTTCAAAAACGTTTGGTTTTTCGATCAGCGGCTCTGAATTTAAGATCTAAGCTAATCTCAGCCCTTCATTTTGAATATCATCGGTCACGTGTTTCCTATCTTTCAAAAAGTGCTTAACGGACGCTTCATTATTGGTTTCTTATCTTTTTCTCCCCTTCCTTTTCCCTTTTTTCGAATTTTACCCAGATTTAATACCCCCTTTGATTTCCAGTACTAGATTTGTTGCGATTAGTATTCATTGTTGCTGGGCCAGTCACTGTCCGGAAATATTTTAAATCATATGCACTTTAGGGTAGGGATAGCCAAACTAATGAAATGATATTGGTCTACTTTTTTAGTTTATATATTTTACACCAAATATTTCAAATATTGGTAGTGTTTGAAACAGTCGAAACTATACTCAAGATCAAAAACCAAAACCAAACTGATTTTCAGACAGAGTAAAAAATATGTACCGCGATGATATCTATAGAGCTATGCCCGATCATCTAAACTAATGTTGGGACTTTGTTGGCAGTAAGTAAAAAACTATAGGGGTAGTGGTAAAATTATTTTCAGCAAACAGAGTAAACCATGATCGCACCTGATCACTGGCTCACCTGTGTTAAATATATATATCATGCTCTCTTTTTTATCTCACAACTCGGATTCAATCCTCTGAAACATTTCAATGGACGAAAAGAGTACAAGAACCAGATTAGGGTTTTAGGTTTTCTTTCAAGACTTTTTGAAACAAAAGATAAAAAACAGGGCAATCATCATAATCTAAGGCTAGAACACCATCACAAGCCTTCTTTGAAAGAAAGCACCAGATTACCGGCTAGGTTTGTTTGTTTTTTGCTCATATTTCATCAGGGCTGTTACATGAAATCGTCTTCGAGTTCTTGAAGCGATTTGTTGCTTGAAGCAATGTCTTTGTTGGATGTCATTTTATCAGTTACCATTAGTCCTTTGTAACTCCTCATCTCTGCTTGCCTCTCCTTCTCAAGCCTAGCTATCTCTTCACGCTTCTTCTGCAAAACCCAGAAACAACTGAGATTTTAGTCGAAACAAACATAATCAAAAGACTTTTCAGATGACAAGGACCAAAACAGAAACTGACCTTCTCCCTCAGATGTTGTTTCCTCTCATCTCTTTCTGCAGCATTCACTGCCTCTCTCTCGGCTACATTATGAACCACCATACAATTTAATACATCTTATTTAAAGTAATACTTACTGGAAAAGCCATAGTCGCTTAGCTGACACTTTTCATATGCAAGAAAATTGTTCGACTTACCTCTCAGATCAGGAGTTCGTTCAACTTTTGTTTTGTTCAACCTGTTAACTATTTCATTGACTCGCTTCTCCACTCTGATAGTCCGGACCTAGAAGAAACGGATATCGCTTACGTATCATCATTGCTTTGCAATTTCATGTATGCACAAACCAAAATTTATTGAGAAATGAAGAAGCTTACCATCTTTGAGTTGTGGAAACCAACTTGACCAACATCCATGGAGGCAGTTTTCTTCAAGTTAGACCACGGAGTGTACACAATATCAACGTTGTTCACCTTGTTGCCTGGCACATAATCCCATATACCAGTTGGTAAGAAAACAGTAAATAGCCTATATGTGCCCTCCTTCTAAACGAAACTGAGAAATGGGAACAAACTGATACTCCAAGACTAATCGTTACGCAAATGTTACTAAGTTCACGACAAGATGGCTTCATAGTGTACCTTGAATGGAGTTAGCTTTCACAAGCTGAGCACAGTCCTCCAGCACACCTTCACTAATGTCATCAAAACCTTGGCCTCTGTGAAGCCTCAGGTAAACATGAGCCGACGACATTTTGTCAACGTGAAACCTGGCATCAAATGAAAATTACCTTTAGCAGTTTGGTCGTGAATCAACTTACTGAACCAAAAAGGTGAAGCTCCTAGAGTTTATTTGACAAAAGGAAATTGTCAAATTAGAAGGTAACAACACCTTATTCATCATGTCTAAACGCATCAAAGATTGAAATTAGAAAGAAAATCATGAGCACAACATAGACAATTATGTATCCAGAAGTTTACTCATACACCTCAGTCATAAATCAACTTACTGAACCAACAAAGAATTGGTAAGCAGGCAGCATGTGATCAATAGAAAAGCCATGAAACTCCTATAGTTTGTTTTTAAGAAAAAGGGAATTGTCACACTAGAGGACATAACAAAGCCCTATTCATAGCTGCAAACACCAAAGTTTGAATATGGCCAACACAGCATGAGTGCACAATAGACATGCAAAGAGATCTACCTCAGAAAACAGAATACCGACGACAAATTTTTGAGCTAGTATCATAATTCTCCATCATTTCTAATACACCACCTCTCAACAAAATCAACAAATTCAGAAACCATAACTGACCAAAATTGAAATCAAAACATAAATAATCGATAAAAACTATATAAGATACAAATAGCAATCATAGCAAGACTCGGAAAATATTAAGCTCAGAGAAATGATCAAAAACAAAAGTTGAGCAAACTTTGACCACTATTTTGCACCCCCTTCATTTCCATTAATTATCACACCAATCAATCTACAATAGATCATGACACAGCAAAACATCTGACCATAAACAAAGGGAACAAACTCGGAATTCGATAAAAACCAATCAAATTAACAGTTGGGACATCCGATCAGAGAAAATTTCAGAAGAAACAATCGATGATTGGGAAAATCGAGAATATTCTCGCTTACCAGACGTCTTCGGGGAAGCCATACTTGATGAGCTCCTCGTTCTCGAACTTATCAAGCCCCATGAAGATGGTGTAGTCGCCAGCGTCAGGTCGAGCCTTGAAGTAGAACACCATCGCTTCGATTCGAGAACGAACCAAATCGAATGGAGATCGAATCTAGGGTTTCCCCCTCACACTTTCCCTATCTCCCCTCTCTTCCCTAGAAGTTTCAACAATGAAGAAATCGTAACCACTCACGACAATATAAAAAACTAAAAAAGCATAACTCTACGACTTTTTTTCCTCCGTCGTCTTAATAAAATAAAATTTCCAAAACTAACCTTCAATTTTTTACAAATCTAACATCTGAGGCCTAAACTTTTAATTTTCAATTTGTTGCAAGTTTTCGCTATTGTTGTGTTTGTAGGTTGATGATCCTCATATTGATATTGCATAATCGCAGAATCTACTCATTTGATGATATGAGAATTCATTTCAATATCTCCGGATGCCATTCGAGATCACTTGTTAGTTGTTACAGTGTGTATTGAAGCTGTAACGTTAACATGGACAGACCATATAATTTCATTTGAAAGTTCCAAGTCTTAAAGGATGATTAAAAAAGTACTCCATAACACCACCAAAAAAAGATCTCTCTATGTTCTATGACACAAAGAAAGAAACGAAATCTTCAGGTGAAAGAGACTACAAAGCTCATTTTACAACAATCGTAGAGATCCATCGGAGTAATCCTATTGATACATGGTGGCTTTTTATGGCATACCAAATTTGGACAATGCTGTTTCAAATACGGTTGTGAATGCCTGAGACGTACTCTGCTCGTCAGCTTTCACTTTAACCTGAGCTTTGGCGGATGAAGAGTTTATGATACACTCAGCGAGATAGGTTGATGGTTCGGATTCCTTTTGAGCAAAGAAGAAGAACTTGAAGTTTGGAGATTGACCCCCCGATGCGATACAGTGAATGGAATGACTCTGCATGTGTTTGATAAGTGATTGTGGAACTGTCAAGGCCGCGATTCCCTGTGGATTCACAGAAAACTCCTGCACATGATGTTAAGAAAGTTAACAGTCTGTCACCAGTCAAAATCTCAGAGAAATTAAGACATGTTGAACTTGAACAAAAACTTTCATTTTTTCCAAATCCAAACGCATCTAACAGTATAGGAAATGCAGATAGTGGTAAAAAAGTGCAGAAGGAAACAAAACCTGTGTTAATGATAATGGCAACTGGCGCCATTTCTGTTGGAAGGCGCCTGGATCTAGAGCAGCTCTTGGGTTCAGTTTCAAAAGAGGCGGTGATGGTGTTGGAGCAGGAGCTGATGATAAACCCAAACCAAGGAGATCATCAAAACCAAAGCTTGACTGTGGGGTAGTCGAGGACGTGGCAGGGCCGGAGATTGCAAGCTCTTGCATTTGTGAGGATATACTAGAGGAACTTTCATATGAAGGAGCTGTGTAAGCGGAACCATTGTTACTGGAAAGTCCTTTGTTGTCATCCTTCTCGTCAGTGCTCAGAAGCAGGTCCTTGTCATTTGCTTCAAATTGCTGAGCTGGAACAATGTCGCTAGAGGCTTCAGGTGTAATGGGAATACTTCCAAGCTCATCTGAAAACTCAAAGGGCCCTCGGTGTTCCTTATCCGTGAACATGTAAGATGGCTGCAAGAAATTTGATTTGACTATGAAAGCAACTAAAGAAAACCTCTGAATCATATAGGGTAATGAATTCATACTACTACATTGGATTTTTTTGGCAGGAAACATACCTTCTGGTAGATCACAGAAAGGCTGTTAAACTCGTCAAATATGCGGTCTTTGATTTCACTGCTCTGAGTGTCAGCAAAGACTGAAACCGCCTGTTTTGGAGGACTAACAACACGTTCCGCCACGTGTACATCGTGTTGCAGAACCCGATAGTAAAACAAGGCTCGATCATGGACATCCTACTCCACAAGTAAATGTTGAATAAGTGATCTAATGGACCCAATGGCTTGAAAACAAGATAAATTTTTGAAGAGGAAGATTGGACGATACCTGGTGAAAATCAGCCATGCCTGCAGCTAGAGCTATTCCTAGGGCTTTCTGAGTCTCCGGTGGCCTCTTGAAAAAGCATTTCATCGCTGCAGTTAGAAGATGCAACCGAACCTGATCAACGGGACAATACTTTCATTAGACGAATGTGCAAGTCCTCATTCTCATGCAAATACTGCTAAGTCTACATAAATTTCCAGAAGTCTTATAGAACTAGTGCTTTTTCATATTTTTTGTTAATCTGTTCATTCACTTCCTCTACAATTTTTCGAAGCTCTTATATGCTACACTTTTCCTTAATCCTAGGTGTCCTTTAAAGTTTTACATTTTCTTCTGATCTTCATTATGAAACAGCTTTTGTACTTACTCCCCTTCGACAAAAATCATCACGCATATTTATGCAGTTTGATAAAGGGGGGAAGAATATATACACAGAGAAAACAAAGATAGTAAGGTGCCAAGCAGCAAGGAAAATAACAAAAATGGATGCCTAAATACCTCAGCTGAATGCTCTTCCTCCCAGTTTTCTATCATATTCTCCAAAATATAAGGAGCATCACTCATGTCCTGAGCATATTCACCCAACATCCATATAAGAGCTGCCTTGGCTTTCGGTTCCTGGACATTTTTACTGCTGATACCGCCAACAACAGATATACAATCATGGCTCCATTGCGGATACTTCCTTAGAAGGTCCTTTACAAGAACCTAAAGGAGGAGCCAGACAAGTGAATTCGTCAGGAAAATGCAAACAATATGATGGGTAATCATCTCAGTGAATAGTACATATGACAGTTTACCAAAGTTTCAGCAGTGACATAGTCCTTTTCCATCTCCAGAAACTGAAGAAGTCTATCAACAATGGCATTTACATCATACTGCTGCAAAGCAATCTTCCCAACTGCCCGAATTGATTCCCTTGCGATTGCAATATCAACGTTTGCAGCATACTCGCACAGTTCTGTAACTGTTTGGACAGAAAAGAAAGAAAGACATGTTAAAGAGCCAGAAGAGGAGGGTTTTTGGTTCCAGATTCCATATTGGCACAGTTTTAAACAATACCAATTTCGTAAGTGTTGCTCTCATTTGCAACAGCAGTCAACATCTCAAGCTTCAACTTTTTGACATATGAGGGTTCATTGTACTGGCAGTAGAAATGCTTATAGTCTGAGGCAAAGATGAATGGCGCACGAACAACCAAAAGATGAAGGTGGCTCAAAATTGCATACGACTGCTCTGGACTTCCAGAACTGACGAGAGTCAGAAGTGGGGATTTAATACGCTCATATACCTATACAAGATCATTTCACAACAGTGAGACAGGTGATCATGATAAACTATGAAAAACCTAGTCTAGATATCAAATTTCTTCAAACGGTGATAACTTGGTTATGCTAAGAGTGCAGTGAAACTTTCTAAATGTTAAAATCTGATTTTCAAGCCTCCAGACAAAGTCACCAAAAGTAATAAACTTCTCACTCTTTGGAGTTTGGACAATGCAGAAACTATTTCACAACTAAAATCCCACACACAACTAATTTCATCAGAATATTTTAGATGATGAAGGATAAAGGATGTTGCCTTTGTACCTGTTGATGTACATCAGTCATGGAGAGTGTTAACTGCAGAAACACTTTGACTGTTGCCAAGACGACAGCTCCATTGGCATGCTGAAGTCTGTCTTCCAACAGATTCATAATGTCAAAAATATCATTACTATCCGACGGCACATATTTTACCGCCAACTCAAGTATGAGACACTGCGCCCATTCATTGAATTCCTTGATTCTGCAAGGAAACACCACGATGGTCAAATATCCCTCTCCCTTATTATATACCACTATCAAGGTATTGAGATTGAGGGTTGGAGGAGGAGCTTAAGGACATACCGATTCAAGAAATAGTATATAAGTGGTTTGCTAAGCAAGGATTCCTTCTCCCGGCATGCTTCCTCAGAGTGGCTTGCTTCTAAACTCCAAATCTCTTGAAGTGCAGACAGGCAATTGGCAACTACCTGACAGCATATTTTATATCAAAACGGAACTACTCAATACTCATATAAAAACAAGTGAGAGGGTATGGAGAGTCTATGTTCAACTGCATTTAACCTGAGAATCTGAATCATGAAGCATCAAACTTTTCAGCGTTGCAGGAAAATCAGCATCGATGCATGTCGAGGCTGAGATGTGATAAAGCTTCAGTACTCCAGTCACAGCGATGGTTCTCACGTAGCTGTTATTGTCCTTTAGCCCGCTCCCCAAGGGACCAACCAGATACTCCACAAGGTTCGGCACTCGTAAGGAACACAAGCTCCTCAGAGCAAGCCCACGGATCATAGGATCCTCATCTTTGCAATCCCTTTGGAGAAAATTGATCGTCAAAAGGGAGAGATCAGGATTGCCCTTTGCATAGTTTCCAACGTAAAGATAACACATCTTCTTCAGGACAATGTCTGATGTCGCCGAGCACATGACCATTTCTCCAAACACGGATGAGACGTCAATGCCAATCGTCATGTAGGATATTACTTTCTTGTAGAGGTCGCGTTTGGAATCATCAACTCCTGGAGCTCGACTTCCAGCTAGCTGACGAAGCTGGGTTTTCAAGTCTGTCACTTCGCTTTTCCTGATCAAGAACAAAATTCTAGGTTCAGTTCACACTTCATTTGACTAAAGAGATCAGATTATTAGACATACACACTGAAATTGTAGACATAAGAATCTAAGGGAAGAGAATTCAAAACTAATGGCCTCATCAGATTCCACATTTGACATGAATTAGCTCAGACAGGCAAATTATCTCACGAGATTTAACCCAGACGACATCCTAAAACTAGATCCGATACAAGGGAGCTTCTTAACTTCTGGATTTAGTATCGGAGCAGTACAGATCAAACAAATTCCAGAACTACGAAGCTGACCGACCACGCATGAATATAGATGATCGAATCATGAAAATGATCGCTGTTTTATAATCTTAAGAATGCAGGCAAATAAGATGAAATTCAGAGCTATCGATCGAGAGAGAAGCACAGGGCTGGATCATGAGTTACCCTGAAGGTTGGGACGGCGACGGATAACGCTGCGAAGCGGCTGGAGGAGACATGGCTAATTTGGTTCTGGTTCAGGTATGATTGATTGAATTTTTACGACGTGAGATCCGCCGGAGCAGGAATCACGGGGTGTCACCTGATCGGAAAGAATCCCACCGAGATCAGAAGCAGGAGCTGCTAAAATTGAGAGAGATTTTGGTTCACTGGTCGAGTCTCGTGCGTGCAGAGGTGGGAGAAAGAGAAGATGCCAACGACCCGATTTGCTATGTACTCCTCCTACTTTTTGTTTGCTTCCTAATTTACCCGTTTCTTCTTTAGTTAGTCCAAAAGAGCTTCTACCTGAGATTACTTGTTTCTTTTAATCAGCAAAACCAGTGACATTTCTTTGTTAATCGATAATACGAAATTGAACATCATAATCTAAGAAACATCTACTAAAATCTGCTTATATACAAATTGTTTTGTTTTCATTGTACTGATCAATAAACTATGTGATCAAATAGAGAAGATAGTGGCAAATTGATACAATCGTAGAAATACAGCGGGGAAATTGTAAATAAGTTCTTGTCCAAAACGATGCGTTTTGCTGCGGATATTTTCTTCAACCTGCGCCTCCTCCGAATTTTCTCACTCCATCAGCTCTCCCCTCGAACATCCATGGCTGTTCTCAGAGTCTAGAGAGAAAAACTGCACATACGACTATACTGATTAAGAAGAAGTGAAGAAAATCAATCAGATATGATTTTGGCGCAGCTTCCAAGGATTCATTTCTCCATCTTCGCGAAATCCCATTTCTCTCTCTCTTCTTCGCATTTCAATTTCATAAACCCTAAGCCTCCGGTTTCAGTAGCCAGAACCCTCTTTTCATTCGCGGCTAAATCCAATATCGCCACTGTTGAGCCCATACCACTGCCGGTATCGGATTCATCGGATCTGGATGATGCTCCAGTGGAGATTTCGCTGGACAAGCTCTTTATCCCACCGGAGACGGATATCTCCGGCGACGACCCGTCGACTCTAACGGCTAGGATACTGAAAGGTTCGAATATAGTGCTCAGCAAGTACGCGAGAGACGCGCAGGTGGTTCAGGCCGACTACGTGAAGAGCAGTGTCAAGACGGAGGATTGTCCGGCCGATGGGATACCGGAGTTTGCGCTCGTCGGGAGATCCAATGTTGGGAAGTCCTCGCTCCTCAATTCGTTGGTGAGGAGGAAACGCCTTGCCTTGACCTCTAAGAAACCTGGTAATATGGGTTGTTCTCTGCCGTCATTATCATTCAGCTGATCTTTCATTTCTCTATGGTTTTAGATGTAATTAGAGTTACAGATAAAAAAAGGATAGTGGCTTTCACTTGCAGATATACTCTTCTTCACATGATTTAGAAATTTTATAGGAACATGTCGTTGATGCAATCTTAATAGTGGAATCTGATAGTCATACTCATCTATCTCGTGCTTATACTTATGCTAGACCTTCTCAGATTGTAATACTTCAAGTAGAAACTATTCTGAGTCAATATTGTCGTCTTCTCATCCTGTAGAAGAGATTCGTGCAAGAAATTAATTTTCTTTTTCTCCAGAGTATCTAAAAATGAAGCTTTCTTTGTTCTTAAAATGTACACTCAAAAAGAAGCTGACTTTGGTTGATTATAATTTTGGTTACTTATCCTTCATGTAGGAAAGACGCAATGCATTAATCATTTCAGGATCAACGACAATTGGTACTTGGTAGATTTGCCTGGCTACGGGTAAGATTAAATAATATCATTTTGTTTCCATTTGTTTATGAGAGCATTGCCAATAGTCCCATAAATTGGCTCTGGCCATCAGAATCTGTGTATGAGAATGTTCTGAAACTGTCTCTCTGTCTCTCCTAAGTTTTCTTTTGTCAAATACAGTTACAGAATCTGTCCTGTGGAATTTCAAAGGCTTTGGTTATAACAAAATGAAGTTGATGCATATGATATATGCAGGTACGCATCAGCACCGCACGAAAAGAAAGTAGACTGGAACAAATTCACCAAAGACTATTTCCTGAACCGATCAACATTAGTCTCAGTGTTTTTGCTAGTTGATGCCAGCATTCCTCCGAAGCAGATCGATCTCGACTACGCTAGCTGGCTTGGTCAAAACCAGGTAATGGAAAGAAATAAGAAAAAGGTTCTAGACCTTAAAAAACCACCAAATCCCATCAACTTTTCATCATGATCAAGACTTTTGTCTATAATCTCAGGTTCCGATGACTATGGTATTCACGAAATGCGACAAGAGGAAGAAGAAGAAGAACGGAGGGAAGAGACCGGAGGAGAATATAAAGGAATTCCAAGATTTGATACAAGGATTCTTTGAGACAACACCACCGTGGATTATGACCAGCAGTGTGACAAATCAAGGTCGGGACGAGATATTGTTGCATATGGCTCAGCTAAGAAACTACTGGCTCAAACACTAAGAATCTTTAATATGAAGGAGACTTATATAACAAAGAACAGCGAAAAGAGAGTTAGTGTACCATTTCTTGGGCAGTTTGTTAGATTAATGCAACGCTAAGGTTTTGATTTTGTGTCCTGTAATGCAATTCGTCGTCGGAGCTCTCTTTGCTTATATGAAAACGTAATGAAGCTGTTGCAAGTTTCCGAAAACAAATTCTAGTGTCTATATAAATAAACATATCATGATTAGCGTCTTGCGGGGATAGCTCAGTTGGGAGAGCGTCAGACTGAAGATCTGAAGGTCGCGTGTTCGATCCACGCTCACCGCATTTTTATTTTTCTTAAATTCCTTGAAAGAGAAACACTGGAACGATGTCGTTTTTAAATTGTTTGGCCCGGACGATAAAGCACTATTCTGTAATCCTTTATCTGAAAAAACGTATCTTAACTTCTTAACAAATGAGTCCAGAAGAGTATGAGTCAAAAAGACAAGTACATTGACCTTCGTTGCCAAAGAAAGGACGGAAAATATGATGTGATGAATCGTAGTCAATAGTCATGATTCATGACTGAGACGATCCATGACAAAATCTCGAAGCTGTACACGGAGAGGAAAACTGAGATATATATATAACCTTGTAACTTTTTGGCATCACGAATTTACTCACGGTTCTGGTCCGAGGAAATTGTTATCTAAACTAAAATTCATGATTTGCCTTGTACCCACCTGAAAAATACAAGTATTTGTTCGAAGTAAGACAGAGTCACAAGTCTGGAAAATTTTATTACTTGCAAATACAAGGCATCATATTTTAAATTTCGATAATTACTCCATTACTATTTACCAATTATTAAAATCGAAGTCTAACATATTATAGGTCTATCGTCCAATAGCCCATTAGAAAAATTCCAAAACATTATCTTTTTAATACAATCTAATACTTTTTTTTTCAAGGCAAAATATTAATGAACGGCGCAAAACAAATACTTACCATTTTTCAAAAAAATTACGAGTTACAAAATAAGGCGGATACTTGTAAATCGGCCAATTTTTGACAAGTACTTTCACAAAACACAGATCGATTTTTGTATAAATCGAACTCGGCAAAACAAGTCGCAAATATAACTAAACCCGAATACTTATCCCGTGCCCAGCCCCATAGCTAACTAGACTTTAAACTTCTACTTGTAAGATGATAACTATAAACCGGTGATATGATCAGATCGAACGTTTCAGGATTAGGATTTATCTAAAGTTTTACCACTCGGTAAAAGGAATTTGTTATTTTGTTTTCAAACCTAATTCCCGATTCTATTACAACTCATTTAAAAATAAGTACCAAGGTCCCACGCTGAATCCCAGACAAAAGTGAAGCGCTTTCAATTTCATCAACTCTGTGTCCTAACAGTTCTCTTGCAACCGCAACAATCGTCGACCAAATTGAATACCGAGATTTGCTCCACAGAGATTTTATTTGAACTACATATATAATTCCGAGCGAGAGATAAAGATAGGAGACATGAAGTAGCGTTACTGGTGAGCGAGGAATTAGGGCTTTTCCCCTCTCTCCGCGATAACCTCGGCCTCGCCAATTTCCATTTGTCTTGGCCTAATCGAATTCGCGTTGCTCTGATTTCGATCATTGGTTTCGGCGATCAGGGAAACTGTGCACTTTGATTTCTTCAGTTGAAGGTAAAAAGTTGTATTTTTGTTGAAAGGACTCTAGTCTTCTTCGTTTCCCAGTTGGTCGTTGTTTTTCTCAAGAACACAAAAGCTTATCTCAGCCTACATTGCATTAAAAAAAAATCACTTTTTTCAGCAATTGGATAGTTTTGTTGATCTTTAGTTCTCTTATTCAACTAATATACTCTGTGTTTTTTGGAGGCCTTCTCATTATGTATTGTGCTGCTTTTGAGCCCTGTAAACTTATGGTTTGGTCATGGCACATTGTTTCATTGTATTGGATGGTTTTTTGACTTTTTGTTAACATGCACAATGTGTTGCCTTCTTCTTTACCACTGGGTCTGGAACTCTGGATTTAGATTCAGAGTGATTTTGGGATAGATTGATTGGAATAAATTAACTGATCGAGAGTTGATTATGTTTAGCAGAGATTCATGGGAATGATTGATTGATTTGATATCTCTTATTCTGGTGGTTTTTTTTTTTATGTGTCATTTTGTGTTAGTAGAAGTAGGGACAGTTGTTTCTGTCTTGTAATCACTTCCTTGCATCAGGCGTGCAATTCTGATTTCGGTGCTCTATTCTGCTGCTTGTCTCAGGTTGAAATATTCTCTATCAGAGAATGGAAGAATCAGCCGGAGCTGAAGGGGCCTTAGAATTCAAGTGGGGTAAAAAGAGAAGAGTTGGTGGGAAAAAGAAAGATGTCCAGTTCTATGAATCTTTCACATTCGACGGCGATGAGTACAGTCTTTTCGACAGTGTCTTAGTTGCTGATCCCAATGAACCAGACTCTGGCGAACTCTTTGTTGCCAAGATCATAAAAATTTGGGAAAACTCTAATAAGCGTGCAAAAGCTCCAAGGCAAGTCAAGCTTCTCTGGTTTTTTAAACCTTCTGAGATTCCGCCAGATGTTCTTGAAGGAGTCCCTGATGTCCTTGCAAACGAACTGTTTTTGGCGTCTGGTGAAGGTCCTGGCGTCGCTAATATCAGCCAATTGGTAACTGATTCTCCTTCTGTATACAGTTTTTGAATATTTCATTCTCTATATCAAGTGTTGAGCATTGGTTTGCCTTCCTGCATGTGTGTACTGATAAACTTTGTTCCACTAGGAAGCAATATGTGGAAAATGCTCTGTTCTATGCATTTCAAAGGACAAAAGGAATCCACAACCCACAGATGAAGAAATCAAGTCAGCAGACTTTGTGTTTCGCCGAGCATTTGATGTTGGAAGTTGTAAAGTTGTGGATACGATAGAAGATAAAATTGCTTTAGTGGACGGTACATTTTGTTTCATCTCATTTGCTGGCTTCGATATTCCTCCTCTTTGATCAAAATAGCTATCCTGATCATATATTTGCATCATATGCAGTTGGATTCATCTTTAACAAAGCGGGTAGTAAGAAAGAAGAAGAAACAGCTGTACAGAAAATTGAAGCTGGCGTAAATGGTAGTCCAGATAGTTTGAAACCAAATGGTCTCTCAGCTTGTGGTACAGTTAGGAAAACTGTGGATAACGCCGTTCAGTCTTCTGACTGTAGAGAAAGCAGTCATGGTCCCGAAGAAGGGAAAGAAAAAGGTCAAAGTCAACTGGCTACAAAGATATCTAAAGGTGCCGAAGAAAAGACTAACAAGGATTCTTGTGAAGCTATTGGCTCTAGGGGAAATCATTGTGATGGCAAAGCTCAAGAAAGTGAAGTAAAGAAACAAATCACTAAGCAAAAATCTATGCCTGCAGAAGAAAGATATCGCAAGTCTTGTGAAGCTTCTGGCTCCGGGGTGAATCATTCCAATTCCAAGAGAGTTCAAGTCAATGGTGTTGAAAAACAGTTGACCAAACAAAAATCTATACCCGCTGAAGAAAGATATAGTAAAGAGACGAATGGATTGGATGATAGGCCTCAAAAGAAACAGAAGGTAGATGGTTATGTTAGAGCACCAGATGGACGAAATACAAACATTGTCTCTGATGGTAAAAGAGATGTAGAATCTCTTAAGAGACCTAGAGACAAAGTGGCAGGAGTTGAAGTCCTTCCCGAGAAGCCTAGTTTTGTTACGAAGAAGCGAGATCTGGGGGTGTCAGTTTCTGAAGGAAAACATGCAAAAGTTGCAACTGAAAAAGGTTTATCCAAGAAACCTAGCTTTGATGGTAAGCTGTTAAAACGTGCTGAGGACAAGATGTTGGCAGATGATTATGCAAGAAAGTATCAAGTAATTGAAGTGAACAAAAGGCCGAGTTCTGTAAGTTTGTATTTATTATGCGACTCATGCGGTATGACTTATGTTACATTGGTTTGGAACTGGCTGTTTCTAACATATTTTTGTTTCCATTTTGTTGATCTCAGGAAAAAAGCAAATGGTTTCGACCTCTTGTAAGTATTTCTTCCCTCCCTTCCTATTGAACGCCAGTTCTGTGAATGGTTGTTTTTGGTTATCTGTTTGACATGCTTCTTCGAGAGACTCAATTGTATCTTTGATATCCACACGTAAATTGTTTCTATTAGATCCGCACCTGTTTTTGCCTGGCTATTTCAGGCTCTTGTAGCTAGTCATTTTGGGTTTAAATCTGGACTGACTTTTAAATTTCCTAAACCATGGCCAGCCTTGGGAAGAAAGTATGAGGGAAGCAGAAAAGGATGGGAGGCTGGTTCTTCTTCAAAACTTGGATCCTACTTTTACATCTGAGGAAGTGCAGGTAATAGCGATTCTAAGGAGTTACGGAAAGTCTCTTTCGTTTGCTTATTTACCTCTCGTCTCTCTCTTTATATGTTATCTAAATTTTTTTTTCAGGATATTGTCTATTCTGCTTTGAATGAGCAATGTACAGCAAGGATGATAGAGCATACACCAGTCACTGTTTCTCATATTGGTAAGCTACCTTTTTTCTCGCAGGGGTTAACATACTAGAAATAAAATTAGGTGCCATAGTATAGCAACTCACATCGGTTGATGTACAGGTCAAGCTTTGGTCATATTCAATTCAAGAGAAGCTGCAGTAAGAGCGATTGCAAGACTAGATGAGGGATGCTTGTTGCTATCAAATGGGAGGTAAACCGCGCATGATAAATGATCGACAATCTCATAAATCTGTATTGTACCATTTGTTGGCTATCTTATCATCTTCTCAAGTGTGGATTTATGATCTTCCTTTGGCTGTTTAACAGGCCCCTTGTTGCTGCGTTTGCTAAGCTTAATCCTCCAGGGAAGTTGTCATCATTCCCTGGCCATATCAAACCACACAAAACTCATATGCGGCGAGAGACGGTATTGTTTGTTTGCAACTGCCCGGTCACACACACACACACACACACAATGTCAAAAATGCATCATTCCTTTAACAAAGTACTTGTTCTTTGTTTTGGAATTTATTTTATCCAGAGAGATGCTGTGGCTACATCGCATTGTTCTCAACCGAACAACGTTGAATATGAGATGGCAATGGAATGGTGCTTGCACCAAGCCAGATCTGAGCAGGCAATGAAAATGATGTCTAAGGTAATGTTAGATTTGATAGATAGTTATTGCGTTATTGTTCAACTTCTCTAGAATAACTGAATCTTTAAACCCTTGTAGCGGCAACTGGAGGATAGAAATTCGATGCGGATTAACTTCAAGCCTAAACTTCCTTAGCTTCAGAGTCGTCTCGTCTTTCTCATGTAAGTATTATTAACTCTTTATTCCCCTTGAGGAACATGTCTATCATCATCTTAAAGAACCAAGTTATTAAACTTCTTTTTCTTTGTTTTAGACAGAAACATCACTAAATGTACACTAGAGAGTAAAAAAGAAACAGAAGCTATCTTAAGAAAGTGACTGAAGAATTTTGTTATCGTACACAGAAGGACATACCATCTAATCCACCCAATTTTGACTCGGTAAACACATGGTTTCGTGATTTTACTCGATTCAAAATTTGCAGGAACAATAGGACTAATTTTCATGTTTCTCCATTGTCTCTGTTTAGGAACATACTGATGCGGCTTCTGGTCTCAATCGGATGACCCTTTTTGTTGTTTTTTAAATATTTTTTCAAGGGTCATTTTGCTTTCATGAAGAAATGTCGAGAGTCATACTTATGGCTTGTAAATCCAATTGTGTTATTTCATTTGACTAATTAATTAGCGTAATTTTCCGCTTATTTTGACATGTCATTGATCCATAACTGGTGACATATTGATAATGAAGAAAAAAAATTGGACTCACCCTTCTTTATCAAAGATTTCACTATTGTTAATTTACACTCTTTAAAATACCAAGCTAATCTCAACAATTATCCTTGACATGTGTTAACTTGTTTCTCTACTCTTTTTTAGCTATTATATTTGAAGTGATCGAATCATTTGTTGACATTTCGGTTTTCAGAAAACAAATTATAAGATTGTGATATTAGGGTACAAATTAAACTATATATTGTCAGCCTCTTCCAAGCAAAAGATTATGATAATAGATCAATAGTTTTCAATGCAAAGTAATATTAAAGTCGAAATGTTGATTCTTTGTGGTGAAAAAAAGAAAGAAAGAAAGATATTTTGTGGTGAAAAAGGTAATCACCGACAACATATTTATATGAACGTACATTATCCACGACGTTCTCATCCATTGCCTGCCTCCAACATCTCACTAGGCTTTTAGCAGCCACAAAGGCACAATTAATCAGCCTTAATTATAATAATCACATTCAAATAATTGGGAATTATCAGACACCTCTACACACTATATCTTCTGAAAAATCTCGCTAAGCCTGCTGTATTAAAAATGCAATACAACATAGTATTATTTAATTTGCCTTCTAATAAAATAGAAATATTAACAAAAGGAATTTTTCGGGAGGCGTATTTAAAGATGATGAAAAAATGTGTTAAGAAAACTGGGAACTGAAACGCACCGTGTTGAAGAATAATTCCTGGCACGTGTTGGGAAGCGAGCGTTACACGTGTCGGCGTACAAGTAACACAAAAGGGTAAATCTGAGTCAGCAGAAGACGACAGAAAGTGAAATGATGGATAGGACTTGGAGGTAAAAAAGGTGTGTTTTTTAACTATGGTTCACTGGTCAGGTTATGGTGACTCGTGCCACGTGGGGATTAAAGAGACCTCCACGCAGACAAAAGAATATTGACGGTCAATCGATGATGACGAAAGCTAGTCTTAGTCGTCAACACATCCGTTTAATTGTGACCGTTTCCTTGCAGACCATACCGTCAACGTGTTACAGGAAGAAGAACAAAATGTAACAAAACAAAAACTATATATTAGTCTTATAAACGTATAAATCATTAATAAACTTACGAAATTAGACAAGATTTAGTAGTGAAGTAGTGGATTCAAGGGGCTGAAAATTCTACATGTAGTGTTAAGGAAATAGGAATTTTACTATTGGTTTGAGAACAGGTTCATACTTTTACATTTCAATAATTAAATTAAATTTCAATTTGAGTTGCTCTGCCAATTAGAATATTGTTGTAACTAAAGAACGCAAAAATAATTCTTATGGTGTGACATAATGTAAAAAGCAAAAGTAGACCAGAAGAAGAAAAAGGACAAAAAAATAGTTCACTTTTCAGTATATTTAAACCAACTGCAATTTCGATATTTCTTGCAAATTCTGACACCTTAATAATTATATAATGTCGACATAACTGGGACTTTTTTTTTGAACAAAGGCAACATATTCGTAACCTACTCATAAAACATAAATAACCTTTTAGTTAACGTTATGAAAAAACCACTATTTAACACACACAGATTATAAGTTTAGATGTTTTGTATTTCGTTTTTTTTTTTGCTTTTTTTGTTGATAAAGAAGTCTAGATATCCTTCCAAAAAAGCTATAAATCTTGGAGCAAGACTATGAAATGTGATTGGTTAACATACTCTATGCATGTAAATAAATGAGAATTTGCATTGATATACAAAAACTTGAAAGGTAATACATTTTTAAAAGAAAAAATAAAAATTATATAAAAATTAAGATGCTAATTTAAGATTACCATAAAAAAAATTAATCTGAAAATTATATAACTATTTTATTAAAATCCTTTAAAAATATTCTTATAATAATAAATTATTAAAAGTAAAAAATATATACGACCACTAGAAAGACAACATATAAGTAATTATGTTTTCGAAAAATACACGCCGACTTATTTAAGTCGTTTGTGCGCATTGGAAGAATGTGTTTGATTTTTTATTTTATTTTTGTTAATGTCTTAAATTTACATAAGTTATCATGTTTTTTCTATGTTTGTTTCGATGTGTATTAATATTTTATCTCTAAATTTTTTTATATTTAAAAGTTTACGTTGAATTATATAATAATAATGAATGATGCCGGATCATATATAAATTTTTAACAAACGGAATGATCATAGTTATAACATAATATTTTTAACTTTTTATAGAAAATCAATTACCAAAATAAGTTCAAATATTTATGGGAAAATTACAAAATTTGAGATTATTCTTCATCGTTTTGCTAAGCAAAATATTCATATCAACAACATACATAACTAAAACTTAAATATATATATTTAAAATACGGCATTTCAACACATGATTGCCATTGTCACTAATTTTCAGCCAAGCAAATCAACTAAAGTTTCTGTTTAATACTCCAATATAAATATAGCCAAATCTGCCAAACTAGAGAATTTGGCCAGAGATGTGCTATCATTCATTTTATTCTGTCACTTCAGCCATTTTTTTCAGCGAATTAACTAAGAAAATAATACCATTAAAAGATTAATTAACTAAAATTGTTTTTCGTCTGTTACAATGCAAAAACTGTCGAGAAAGGTAATTTGTTTTAAATTTTTAATTAATTTCAGCTACATAGACCGACCCTACTACTTACATTTCTGATAGAACTTAAAACGTGAATTTGAGAGAGAGAGAGAGAGTCTGAGAGAAGCTCACTGCTCCGCTGATTTTGAGGAGAGAGAGAGAGAGAGAAAGAGAGAAGAGTACCTCACAAGACTTGCACACAGATATAGACGAAGACTTCGCATTGTCTCACTTCTCTGGAATTTCTTCTTCTTTCTTCTGTTCTTCATCATCTTCTTCTTCTTTAACCTCGCAAGGAAGATCAACAAGTCCTGCAAAACCCAGGTATTTTTTATTCTTTCAATTTCTTATATCTGCGAACCTCTGATATGATTCTTGCTTTCTAGTCTCTTCTCCAGAATCCAGCTTACGATAGATTTAAACCTCCCTTTGTTTTTTTTTCTCTTCTCTTTCATTTCAGCTTTTCTGGGTTTTTAAAAGAATCTTTCTCATATTCTTCGTTAGATGACGATTACTTTGCTCTGAAGAGTTTTTTTTGTTGATTTTTATTTTTTTTTCTCATCTGGGTTCCAAAGATTTTGCTTTTGCTTTACATTTTGAGTTGCTACTAAATTCTAATTCAATTGATCCTCGATCAACATGAACAACGTTTCTTCGAGCTCTCTACAATCATCTGAGCTAAACATTTTTACCTCTTTGACGCAGATCAATCAGTCATGTCTCATCATCCCAAAAACCAAATCGCCTCCGCTTCCGATCTCTGTTCGTCAAAATCGGAGCTGTCAGGGCTTAAGAAGAACACAATCGGAAAGTCTCAGTCTGATTACGAATCAGCCTGGAGCCCAACCTCACCTCTGGATTTCAGATTGTTCTCCAGTCTGGGGAATCCCTTTGGTGGATACTCATCGAGGTCAATCCGAAAAGTTCATCACAAGAGCTGGGATTCTGGGAAAGTTTTTTTTGGTCTAAATGTTGATTCTGGGAAAGTTGGCCTGAGTATTGTGGATTCTCTCGATGATCATCACCACACTGATTTTCCGCCGTCGCCGGAGAGTAAAAACATCATCTTTGGGTCGTGGATGAGAATTGGAAACTTCAATTCCCATGCCAAAGCTCCTCCTACGCCTAAGGAGGATAATAAGCCCAGTGAGGATCTGATTGAGGTTGATAGCTCTTGCTTGGTCAGTGCCTCCGAGAACGTCACTGTGAGCAACAATGCTTGCAAGGTGATGAAGCAAACCGCAGAAGGATCACTTGAGAGTGAGATTGAGTTCTCAGAGGACTACACTTGTGTGATTTCACATGGTGCTAACCCCAAAACCACCCATTTTTACGGGGATCAGGTTCTGGAGTCGCTAGAGCACAATGTGGTGAAGAAAGGTTGTTGTGGAAACGAGAAAGAGAGCATTTTTGAGATTGCTCCTCTTGACTTGACAATGGATACTGATGATTTGTTACCTTCCGATGACTTCTTGAGCTTCTGCTGCTCTTGTAGCAAGAAGTTGTGTATGGCGAAAGATATATACATGTACAGGTACTCTTTCTTCTCTCTCAACTCTAAAGAGTCTTAGTTCTTTGTAGTACTTCGATATTTAGAGTGCATAGCTCAAGTCATATGGTTCTTTGAAGTGTTAACCAAAATGCTCACAGTTGAAATTTGGTGCCTTGGTTTGGTTTTCAGAGGATACAAAGGTTTCTGCAGTAGCGAGTGCCGTTCAGAGGTGATTCATGTGGATGATAAAATGGAGGAGGAGGAAGAAGATGAAGATGAAGATGAAGAGACTGACGTGTTTAAGAAGAAGAGTAACGGTGTGGTCTTCACCGTGGGCTGAGGTACAATGCAGCCACCATTGCCATGAAGAAAGAGGAGAAAGTAGAAGCTTAAGCAGATCATCTGTTCAAGAAAGAAAAAAGAGCTGCTGGTTTTCTCTAAACCGAGGCGGCCATGGATGATCGTTTTTGTATATTGCTTGTGCTTTTTCTACTAAAAAACACATTTGGCTTCTGCTTTCATGGTTTTGGTGGGTGATTTATTGGGGGACTATGGCCATTGTTATGGATTTTTTATAATTATGTGGTTCATTTTTATTCAGATATGATAAATCTTAATTATATGTATAAGAGGGTAGAAGCCGGTTTATGTGGCTCCCCTCCGGTTATGTCTTTTTCGAATTGTTAAATGTTGATGCTACAATCTAAAGGTCAATGTATTAAGTCGCATGAAAAGAGAAACTGTGAAGAAAGTTTCTCTTTTTCCTTTCTTTTTGTTGTATGTCATATAATAATGAACAACTCTAATTTGATATCATGAGTTTAAGAGAAGAATGTAAGTTCTGCATATATATCTCTCATTTAATACATTTGATCACGAACAAGAACTTCAGGTTTGGGGTCATTTCTTCTACAACTTATGACAAACCTCTCCTAGCAAATTTGGAAAAAAAGCATTTCTGATGAAAAGCTGAGGTAGAGGAATGTATCACCAAAACCTCCATGGATCCTTGTATGGAGGAACATAACTATCAGTAGGAGGAAGAAGCCTAAAGGATTCAACGGTTCTTTCTAACACCGGTCCCATCTGTCATTTTCACACAGAGACTCAAAATCAGACATCTTTCACACTAACACAACAGATTAACAAAAAGCTTAAGTTACAGGTTTTGGTACCATGTCCCATTGCTTGCCAAGGGTTGAGGCATTTATGGTGTATAAGAACCCTGCACCACGGTGAGATTCATGTAAGCTTTATGAGTTTCAAAAATAGCGTTGAGATGTGGTGAAAAACTTTACCATCACGTTCAGCTGTTGAAGAAATATAGTGTCTGTAAAGCTTTGATGCTTCAGCCTGCAAAATGACATAGCCAAGGAAATAAGTCACATCATAATCAAACCCATTATATCTTTAACTAAGAACGAACTATGCTCAGAAAGGGAGAGAGTTACGATTTTGGTTGGTGATTTTCGGACAAGGTACTCGTAATACCAGTAAGGCTCCCCATCAATCTGCATATAGAAAGCATATGGGACTCATGAGTCTTGTATATTTAATCTCAAATACTTTGTTATAGAAGACCATACTTACATCAGTAGCATGTGCATCAAGAACCGAGCTCTCTTCTAGACGCTGACTTGAGGTGACACGCTGCAAGAAATTATACGCACAAACTCATTCAAACAATCTGATTGAAGTCTAAAGAAAAGGAAATTTTGTTATAAGATGAGCTTACCAATGCAGATTTATCAGATAAAACAGAGTCAGCAACGTCTTTGGCTGTCCATGTTTTCTTGTCTTTTGATGTTAGGAATCTTGAGCTTGGGGGACCTATCTGGATCAAGAACCGTAAAAGACATAATCGAGAGAAATACAGCAAAGAGAAGAAGGAGACTTTAGACTTATGGTAAGTTGCGCAAACACCAGAACTTACCGAAACAGAAATGACGAGGTTGTCGATGAGGTCAACTCGCTCAGAAACAATCCGTAGACGCGCATCAGCTGGACCAGTTGAAAACAGTTTCAGTCACAACTTGATGCATATACAGTACTAACTAGAATGGATATGATCCATGGAGTCGAAGGAAGCACTTACGAGAGAGTGGTGCAGCTGAAGAGTAACGTTCAGGCTTCCTTGATTCGACCCTGCATCATCGAAAATGTAAAGAAGTGAGACACATCTTGAATTAAGAGGAAGCACTTCATCATAAGGTTGAGTCAGTTTTCAGTTTGAGACAGATATATCCATACCATTTGAAGACAAGCTTCTCTGATGGAAGATCCAATGGGTAAGCATAAGAGTAAGCATTTATCTCATCCACCATTGAACCCGTTTTCAGTTCTTCTGCACCCATTTTCACTGCTTCTTCTGCATGAGTGACTGCAATCGCAGAACACAAACGTTAAAGTAAAATGACCATTAATGGCCTAAACAAGCGTAAACGATTCTCTATTGCTTCAATGAGTTAACTTTCTTCGGTCTCTCTACTTACAAATCAAACTACGTTGCCTTCAAGCTAACAATCAAAATCGTTTATTTGTTTAGCAAAAAGGTGAAATTGTCAAACCAAGTTCGTAAGATAGTGAAAGAAGAACAGCAGAAGCAAAGCATTTACCAGCAGTGACTGGCAAGAGCATAGACAACGGAGAAGAGAGACCAATTAGCACCAAATCCCTGCGAGAAAGCCCATTCTCCGAAGAAATCGATCTCGTAGAAACGCCAGAACGAGCAATCGTCAGCTCCTTTGATTCTCCATGATACTTGCTCGAAATGTTGCTGCTCCTACACCTGAGAATCTCATCGAGAATCAAAAAAAGCTTTCGACGAATGAAGACAAACAGAAGAAAAGAGACACCACAGTAGGCGCGAGTAGACGAGTATCGCAGATAACAAATTACCTGAAAAGACGACAGTTTGAAGATGGAAGAGAAGGACAGAGAAGAGCCATGGCTATGGCGTTTCTGGAGCTTTACTTCTTCCTTTAGCTCATATCCATTCACTCTTTTTGTTTTGATTGTTTTTAAACCGAATCTCAATCGGTCTACTTCAACCGAATTTCTTTCGGTCTAGATGAATCTAATGTCCGGTTTACATCCCAGTAATTATTGGAAGTCACGTTCTTTGAACCGAAACATCAGATTCCGGTTTAATGATAAAATAATCATCGTGTGCTTAAACAGACCACCATGTCGTGACGCTCGACCTTTCATGGTTAGTCGTATATATAAAATGGTCATTTCTCGTCTATTAACATTGCCACACTTGTCGCATTAAGGTCTCTGCGTCGTCGAGCGATCTTCAACGTTCGTTTTTCTCTGGTAAGCTCATTTTCTCTCCTCATGTTTCGTTTCTTCTTCTCCTTTTACGTCGATCGTTGACGAGGTCAATATCATTCCTTATTCGTTTTTATTTTGCATATATTCACTCTTCTTCTCATCATTTTCTTTTAATTTGTGTCTGTGTGTGTTTTCTCTGTTTCCGCCATCGGTTATTTGTTCATGCAGTGACGCGAATCTAATGTAAACGCGCTTCAAAGCCTTTTCTTATTTTCATTATATTTTCCAAAGTCTGGTTTTATTTGAAGAAGCGTAAATGGATCTTGAGAGCATGAGCAGAATTTTCTTGGAATTTTTTTGCTGGTTAAAATCATTTTATCATAATTTGTAGATTGTTAGATTTTGCAGCATAAGACATCGTTGAATTTTGTTTTTCCTGTGTTATGTGACTTATCAATGCTCTCTTAATTTGTTTTTCTTTGTTTTGTTGTTAACGTATAATTAATTCGAATTTGGCAGTGTATATAATCCTTACCAAGAAAAAAAGCAATGAAGCCAGGAGCATTTGCATTGAATCCGCATGCAGCATCATACGTACCACTCTCCAAAAGAGTGGATTTTGCTGACATGGACGGTTTGGTGTTTGTGAATTCCCCAACACAAGAGATAAGTTTCTCAGGCGTCGAAGTGTCAATGCCAAAGAAATCATCTGAAATGGCATACAAGCAGATAAAAGATGACGATGATGATTTGGATTTGGATATGGAGATGGATATAGACATGGATATTGAATACCTTTTAGTCACATTCTCCGGTCTCTCACAAGAGTCTATCACTGATGTTTACCTCGCTAATGGCGGTGATCTCGAAGCAACCATTGAGATGCTTAACCAGCTCGAGGTAAATTTCAGTTTATCATTCACTAGTCTAGAAACATCATAGTTTGGATCAGTTAAGTTTCTGAAGTAATGGTTTTTATAGATATACAGCACTGAAGCTGAGGAGAATCTGCCAGAGACGTTGGATATTGGGGATATCTCTGAATTGGGAGCTTCAACATCAAAATCTAAGAATGCAGCTACTGAAGTCGCTGTTGGATCTTCATCATCGGTTATCCCCAATGCACCTGTATCAGCCTGATCTTGATGAATCCTTTGATTGTGAAGAAAGTTTTGTATTTTTTGTATTTTATTTTTGGTTTTCACACCCATAATAAGTACAGCTACGAGAGGGTGTGGTATCAAATGAAGTTGATGGTTATCTTTAGGGAAATGATATATATATATGTAATATGTGAGTGGTTAAATGATGGGAAGATGTATGTATAGTATTTGCTTGGAAGTGCAAATCTGAGTGTTGGGCAGAGATTAGTCTCTTCTGATCCCAAAATTTTCCTTTTCCTATGAATGATATTTTGATAAGTTTATTTTGGTATATTGTCATTTTCTCTCTTGGCATTTGATTTTGTTAACGACAACAACAAATATTTTGGTTGCTTGGCACATGAAATTATGTAATCATCTTGTAGAATCAGTACACTATCGAATAAAAAGAGAGAATCGTTATTTTATTGAAAATGTTGTTAAGAATTGCAACAAATAGTGTTAAGCAAGAAAGCAAAGAAAAGAAGAAGCTAAATCAACTCTTCAATGATATCCAATTGGGGCAGGAGCTTCCTTGAGCTCACGACCTTGATAGTGAATATCAGATGCATAATGGTTAACGTCACGGTGATGCGCTTCATCAGCACGAACCACCATAACTACATCACGAAGCGTCGCATCTGCTTCAAGCTTCCAGTAATCGATAGCAATGGCCGGTGCAGGAACGTTTTCAATATTACCATTATCGAGTTCCTTGAGAAATTCAGTGTAAGAGTGGATTGCTTCTTCCTCAAGGTATCCAACCATACGATGAGCAAACTTCGGCGAGATTAGGTATCCGAAGAAGTAAGCGTTAAAGAAAACTCCCTGAACGGCGATCACGAGAGCTCTTTCGTACCAATTAGGTTTCGCGACTTCCATGAACGTCATCAAGTGCATTCTCTCGTTCTCCGCTTCTTCGAGGAGGGCTTTGATCCAACCGCCGCTTTGTTCAAACCGCCTGAGAGATTTGCAGTGTATCAACATTCCTCCGACCATTCCCGGAACCGCCGCAACCGTTTCCAGCATCATTGCTCGGCATCCGTAGCGTCTCCTGAAGAAGAGATCCGTTGGCCATCGGAGAGATTTAACCGTCCAGTAAGCTAGTTTATCAGGTAAAGTCGATGGAACGTGATGCTTCTTCAAATCTATCGAGAGATCTGCCTTGTAAGTCTCCCATGGACGAAAGCAACTCCATTTCCATTCAGTGCCATCTTCTTTTGTGATCTTCATCGGTTTCACGCCCCAATAACTAACGATTAATTGCTCTCCTTTGTTACCTTCATCAGCCTTGCCTTCACTCTCCGATTGATTCTCCGGTTCCGTTTTCTTCTTGTCAAATGTCATCTTGCTGAAATCTCTCACGCCTCCGATCGCTGGAGCCCTAGGGTGAAGAAGATGAGTGTGAGACACGGCACCACGGACTATGGCGCCTGTAGAGAAGAGCCTTCCAGTCATTGCCATCATCATTGTGGTTTAGAGATGGAGAGAAAATGAGAAATTGAGAGAGGAAGAAAAAGAAGAGGCGTTCAAGGTTAAACTTAAACCTTAGATAAACCCTTTCTCAAAACGGTATAGTTTCTGAGTTATTGGTTTTTTTACAAAAAGAAAATTAAAACCAAAATCAGGGCCAGGCCGGTCAATTCACAGGAGACGTGAGATTTTTCATTACTGTGGTGAAACTTGGATGGACAAAAAGGAACTAGGAAACGAACAATGATTACCATTCAAGAAAAAGCAGAGCAGTGTTGATTTTAGTTTTTAAAGAAAAAGCTCAAAAATGTTTTTGGAATTGTTATTTGAAACTATCCAAGCTTTGCATTCTACGATGGCTACAAAACGAAGGTGAGAGAGTTTTCGAAAAAGCTAACGAGAGAGATTAACGAAACCCAAAAACAAAACAAAAAAAACTACAATTACAGAGAACACTAATATCAACAGAGATTTTAAAACCCTCTGTTTCTTGACCGGTTCCGATCATAGTGTTGCCCTGAGTCGCCGTTTTGACTATCCCACCAACCATCTTGAGTCGCTCTAACAATCTCGGGCCTGAAGCCGGGAGGTGGAGGAGGAGGCGGTGGAAGCTGGTGGCTAGGGACATCTGGCCGCCATTCAGGTATGTCATCGTCGTCATCATTAACAGATTTTCCATACTTGTGAATGAGCTTTCGTACTTGATCCAAAGACTTGGATTGAGCCGGTAATGGCCGAGGAGAAGAAACTGGCACAACCGAGGAGCTGAAGTTAAACTCCGGTAAATCATCGTCATCTCTCGAAGCTACATGACCAAATCCAGGCGGCACATCATCATCATCTGCTGCAGCAGCTTCCACAGCTTTATTACCTCCATAACCATGATGATAATTCCCATTTGATGCAACAACAAGAGGTTGTTTCTCCGTGACATTTACTCTCTGCTTCTTGTTTGCAGGCAGACCGGAGTTTCTAGAGGCAGCAGCAAAAGAAGAAGACGGATGCGGACGTTTCGAGACGGGCTTGTGAACGGTGACTCGTCTCCACACAACAACTCCAACCAATCCAACATCCAAAGACTTGAACTCATCGAGCTTGTCTTTAGAGATGACGTTGGTCAACAAATCTAGAGACTCTCCACGTGTTGGGCAAAGGTAAAGCTCCACGCCTGAGGCTGGCTCTGCGTACCCAACTCTCTCATCAGCAACGTAGGAATTAACAACCTTTAAACCAAAAGAAGAAGAAAGGTGAGACATTTTTTTATTGGACATGTGTTGCTGTACGAAAGGCGACTATAAAAGAAAATTAAAAAAATTGAATTGATTTTTCTTTACCTCAATAAGGCTGCCACGCTGGCTCTCAGGAATGCCGTCTTTACAAGCGAAGTACATTACCTGCAAAAGCATAAAAGTACCATTTATTAGAGACAAGTAGAGCAAACACCTCATGCTAATTTTACACAAAAACATCTAACTTCTTTTTTCTGGGTTTGTTTCATGTCTATGTTTGTGAGCTTTGTACTGGGTTTGGGTCTCTGGGATGGTAAAAAAAGACGACTTTTTGGATTATTTTATTCACCATGTTCTTCCGTGTGGGGTAGAAAGATTCTTAGTAAGATTTCCTGATTATCTTAACATCCCACCACCCAGTCGATAAAATACTCACATACAGAGACATGAAAACGTATTTACATCAATTTTTTTGATGAATATAATACAAAATTTGACCCAATCTTTTTCCCTCAAAACGTGTTGCATTCCTTTCACGCATAACAGGTTAACGAACTGTTTGATTGTAATCTCTTTGCTTTCTGGTTTCCATGAAGAGAAGACAGAAGAGTTTTGAGATGAGACCATAATATATATAAGAAGTTGATAAGTATAACGGATACTTCTATTGATGTTGAAAGCAAGAGAATATTCAATGTAATGCTACTACAGTGATAACAAAAGAAAGCTTTGTATACCATTAGGGAACGGGTTCGAGACTTGGGAAGCTCTTGTATAAATTTCCCAAACCCACTCAGCCTAACTCTACCCTTCACTTCTATCATCGCCGGCCACTCGCTCGTCTTTGCTTTCTCACCACTGCCATACAAAAACCCAATCAGAGAATGTTTACTTTCTTTCTCTCTATACCAAAGAAGCAGTTTAATTATACTCAACGTTTGAAGATTTATTTACTATCAGCAAAGAGAAGAAATAGTCTATATGCTCAAGGAAAATATTATCACAGAAATCAAATAATAGGAGATTATAGTCTAGGTGATAAGAACTTACCTTTTGAATATGCCAGTGACAGAAACCGAGGAAGCCGCACTCATTTGCAGTACTCCATCCCATATTCTTTCTCCCTTAACATCGGCATGGGAGGATGTTTTCTCAAGTCCAGAGACATCGTCATCAAGTTTCACACTGCCACCAGATTTTGGGGAAACTTCATCAATCTTCTGCAGGGTTTGTTGAAGAGAACCTTCTTTATCACTTGGTTCCTTGGGAGATTCTTTTGACTGTGGCCCAACTTCGGAGTCACTTTTCTCAGACGCAGACAGCTGCATTCCAGAGTTACTATGCGGACTTTCAAATGGAGGCTCAGAGTCCAGGGATTGCATGAACTCATCAAGCGATACAATCGGAGGAAGAAATTCCACGTCCTTCAACTCATCATCCATCGCCAAACCTTGCATGAGATCAATCTCTTCAGTTGCGAGAGGAGTATCACCTGATGTTGCTTGATCAGCTTTCGGTGTCTCATCTTTGGCAGGAAGAGATTTGGCTTTGGGACGACGTTTGCTATGTCTATTTGACGTGATAGCAGCAGAAACATCTACTGAGCCACTGTCAACGGGATCAATTTCAACCTGGAATTCCCCCTTATGCGTCTTCCTCACCAGACGTCTGACATCAATGTCTGTATCCCGTAGAACAACCATCTCAGCCATCTTTTCAGCTTTGGCTTGTCGCCACTCAGAAAGCTCCTTAGAGGCCAGTTCTTCGGCTGTCATAGCACACAACCTCTCAGAAGAGATCTCTCCAGACATAACTCTTTCTCTTAGCTCAGGATTTTTCTTATCTTTCAAATTGAATAAGAGAGACCTTCCTTTCTCTCTATACTTTTTGTTCACACCACCAAAAAGCTTAAACAATTCCATTTCAATTCTACATGCCAAAAGTTCTGGATCCTGATATGACTTTTCGACATCGGTTCCAAAATCTTTTGGCTCGCCAAGATCTGAAACATTTTCCAGAACCCATGAGAGTTCATTACCCTGTAAAAGGTCATCGGTGGAAAAAATAATATCTGAAAATGGAACATCATCCCGAGGGAAAACCTCGTCATATTGAGCCTTAAGTGAATCAGGTTGATTAGCATCTTCCACCATCATGTCGACGGAAACCTCACTGTCCTTCTGCACAGAACTTTCAACACCGCTGGGCAGTTCTGAGATGGTCCCTTCACCTGTAGGCACACTGATGCTGATGCTAGCAGATGAGTCCAGAGTCATCACAGGAGTTCCCTCCGTCTCAGAATTCTCTTTCCCTTTCGGAGAATCATCATCTTTCTGAATCAAGGCCAACGCAGCTGCCAATGACTCCCTCATTTTAGACCTCACAGACGCATTTACCTCATCCTTCGATTTCACCGAGCCTTGTGGCGGGATATGCTGTTTCTTGTTTACAAGATGCTTTCCAGGTTTCTGGAGATTGGATTCCGTCTGCGTCACGTTCTTGCCATGAATCAGCGAATGGAGTGTCTTCTGAGAAAGCGCATTGGTAGGAATATGCAGAATCCCATTGCTTGCTGGAGACACTTGCTGTAACCATGGTCGATACTGCTTGTTTGGTGCCTCGGATGCAGAAACATTGAAAGTGGCTTCAGGTGGTGGCTTCCGATTTCCTGCAAGCTGCATCGACCTACTTATCTCTGCCATTTTCATCAAAGTTTTTTTGTTTTTTTTTGTTTCTTTGCAAATTTCTTAATCCGTAGAGAGAGATCCAGATGACTTTAACATTCACCTCAACAGCTGCGAGATAAACAAACAAACAAAAGAGTCAGTCAATTTCTATGCTCGAATAGTCGAATCTGCTTGTTAAGATAAGGATGCATCAGAAACATACATCTCAATTGTTTTCGAGAATTTAACGACCTCAATTACACAACGGAATCAAACAAACTCCGATGATCCAATCAAAAATCGAAATCGATAGGCGAAAAAAAAAACTGAAAATTCGAACGTGTAATGGATTGCCCAGAACCTAAAATACAAATTACGAGGATGAAGAAGATCGAATTAACAGCATGCAACCAATAATCCGAATCAAAGATAAGGATATCAACTAGATGTATCTAAACAAAGATGATTGATCCAGAAGCTTTCAACCCTAGAAACAATCCAATAAATCGAACAATTCCGTCTCACGTAAATTTACCTGAACACAGACGAGCTTAAGGAAAATTAGCGCCTCGTATGGATCGGAGCACGTAGATGCAGAGATTCAGCGGCACGCAAAGGGATAAGAAACCCTAAGAACAATCCGGATGAGACGGAGAAGACGGATTAGCGGTTGTGTTAATTTTTTTTGGCTCTTGTGTGCTGCTTGCTGATAAAAAGAAACTGTGTGTTCCATGTGGATCGCACGTGTGACTACATATTGGGCCAATGGGCTTCAAAACGGCCTATTAGGCTGATTTTCCTCTTTTTTCTTTTTTTCTTTTTTTTCTAAAACTTTAATTCCTAATCCGAAGAGGGTAAATTATGGATATCTTTTGTTATTGAAAAGTTTTTGTTTGGTTATAAGTTATAACTTTCAACTTTAGTTTTTTTTTTTTTCCATCTGAATATTATATTAATTTGAAGCAAAGTAATCCCAATGTAATACATCTGATAAGAACAGAGGAACACGAGAATAAAAATTAAAAGGAGAGAGTATATCTAAACTTTGTTTAGCTAATCTATCTGCCACTTTATTTTCTTCTCTCGGTACCCAGGAGATTGTTGCATCCTCAAATTTTCCTTGCCAAAACCACGCCTCCACCAACCAATTATAAACATCAAAGTAGTTTTATGGCAAACAACCTTACTATCCATTATGGTTAGTAGGATTTGGGTTTGTCATTTTCAAATTGAATTTTGCATTCATGTTTTGTTTGTCAACTTGAGCGTTAATGTTTTGAAAGAATATTTGTAAACCCTCATCAGAATATTCTGAATTTTGTATTTGAACTTCTTAGGATGAAGTGTGGCCTTGAGTTGTAAACAAAACTTGTCAAAAATTAAGTTAATTAACTAAACACAAACGAAATTCGTAAGTTTCTTCTATGCATGTTCGTAAACAACAATGAGTCACAACGGATACTAGGAGAGTTAGATCTTGGGAGTTAGGTACAGCAACAAATTTTCGACACTAACCCAATTTTAATGGCTTGATTAGTACACAAACGTGATGTATTACACTTTTATTCTCGTGGTCACCATGATATCCTCAAAAACCAAATATAGTAAAAAGACAACATTTCTTCAGCCTTCTCATACAAGAAAATAGATATAAGCAAGACCTTAATTTCTGCCTTATATAAAAACCCTACGCCACAACAACTCTTTCGGTATAAATTAACCATCTCATTTCAAAAGCACCAGAGATTAAAGAAATTAAAATATATCTTCTTTTTTGAAAAAAAAAAAACCCACACAGCTTATACGGAAAAAAAAACAATGACCATTTTTACGGCTTACGAACGCTGAGGAGCTTAACATCGTCGATCACTGGACCACAGAGCGACGAGAAATCATCGCTTCTCATGGCGTAAAACGTGCTGTAAAACATAATCCTCGTGCGGTTGGAAACCGCCACAAACCGCAGAGAAGCGCGTTTAAAACCTCCTTTCCCTCGCGACGCATAAGGCACCTTTAAAGTGTCTCTTCCCGCAAACGCCTCGACTATCATCGATCCTTCGCACGCATTGTTGGCATCTCCAACAGCAAACGAAAGCACGTAAGTCTTTCCCACAATGGTCCGAGCCACCTGAGCGATTGCGCTTTCTTTCCCCGCCACCAGCTCCACGGCTCTACGGCCTTGTGGGACAGAGAAGTGCTCGACGTCAACGTATTTGATGGCTTTGAGGGATTCGATCATCCATCCCGGTAAAGGAGAGTGGTCATCTTCTATGAAGGGAGGAATCAGAACACCGGTTGTGGAGTTTGGTAGTATATAAGGACCTTCTTCGAATCCTCCGTTTTTCAATACATTCTCTGTTCCATATAATAGAAAAAATGATTTAATCTTGTTTTTCTTGGCTAACACATGCCACTTGTAACCAATCTTGAAAATAAAATTTCTGACCCAAGATTATAATAAAAAATTATGAAAGAGGATTTGCATAAAGGCACTTACTATTGGTAGGTCTAGGAGGGTAGAGAGCCTTGATAGCGACACCATCAATGAGTGGTCCACAAGCAGGATCCTCTTCCTCGCCAGGGTTATGAAACAAGATCTCAGCCACGTTACTCTCGGCTTGAAACGCCCAAGCGTAGAGGTCCCAACCGCTGCTACTGTACACAGTCTGGATCGGAATCACGCCCGAGTCAGGTGCGACAGATATGTTGAGCCGTTCGTCTTGTGCGCAAGTCCTGGCGGCACTGAACGTGAGCGAGTAATACATTCCTTTTGTCACGTTAAGTGTCTGTTTGATCGTTGCTTCGTTTCCTAGCCGGACGGCGAATTTTCCGGCGGGGACTACGAGAAGCATGTCTCCTTGTTTTTGACCGGATTTTATGTACTCGACGAAGCCTGAAAGTTCCCAGCTTGGAATCGCGTTCTTGTTTATCACTTGTGTTCCTTTCATGTCCGATGGTTTTGGTCCTAGCTCGAAGTCGCCGTTTGGTAACATCCCTGTGAATCATATCACGAAATTGCCATCGGTTACAATTAATTAATTCCATTTTTTTGGTAAAATATGAATACAAGTAAGATTTAATCCCCAAGAAAAAAAAAAACATAGAATCCGGATAATTATTGGACCCAATTCATGTCATCGATTAAAAATGTACAGAGTGTTTGTCAGAAATTGGCATAAAGGTAAAATAGACTCATAGCCGACTTACAAAATTATCAATTCCAAAAAGAAAACAAATAATACTCCCGACCAGAATTGTTTTTCCCGACCAACTATTTTTGTTAAAGACTTTGAAAGTTTGAATATTATAACTTTTAGAGAAATATACTTTTGTCACTAAAAGAAGTGCAGTTATATCATCACTATATGCTTATATACATGAAAGAGTATAAGTAGGTAATGTAATGATTACCGTCAGTGAAGCAGAGGACGGAGGTGACGGTGGCGATGAGAAGAACGAAGAGAAACGAGACGCTGCCTCCTTTCATTGTGACGGAAGAAGAAAATCAAAGAACTAGAAAGAGAGATTTTGATAAAATTATGGGAAATTATGAGAGGAGCGGCAATTGCTTATATGGATTTCCAGCTTGGAAAATACCTCTAGGTTTTGCTACAATTTACTTGTTTATGCCACTGATGTGGTTTGCGTATCCACGTGGGACCATGACTCACTCTTTTGGGATTTAGCCGAGATTTCAGAAGAGCAGATAGACAGGGTTATTTCTGGAAAATTCTTTATTTCCTCAATGTTTTGTTTCTGCCGTCAGATTATCCTTAAAAAGAAAAGAAAAAAAGCTTAAGCCACTAAAATTAGAAACACTCGCATACTTTTTCCATACTTACGAATAGTAAACACATTAATGACTCTAATTTCGATGCTGTTACTATTCACACATTTAACATTTAGTGTGCGTTAATTAATGGCCTTAAACAATTTAAACTCCAAATCGCCGATGAACGTTTTTCCTTTGGTTTTTGAAACTCTCTTGTTACTACTGCCATCAACTCTTATACTCTTCTTGCTGATGTCGACGGCAGAAGTGAGTTGGCGAAACTTTAAAAGAAATTGCGAATTGTCTCATAGACAGCTTTTGCATGTTATATGTGTTAATTAACATAAATAGTACTAACAAAAGATTGTGTTGATGCATATCCACATGGTCATGAATGCAACACAAATGCCAACTCACGGAGACATTTGATCTCTCATATTCAAAATACATGTCTTTACATCTACACAATATACGATATGATCTGCTAGCTAAAGCAAATGTCAAGTATTGATCTTATACTCAGTCATAGTTTTGGGACTTGCAAATCTTGAGAAATCCCTAATATATTAAAAAGAAAACACTTTAAAAGTAACTTTTAGTTGATGTATTATTAACAAGAATACCATGCTGATGTGTCATCACTAGAGAGTTTCTTAGGTTAGTTATGAAATAAGGAGCTTACTAGAATAATTACAAACATTGTCATTCATATTTTTGGTTAGAGAATCAAATATGTATTAAATTAATCATATATATAATTATTAATAAATAAAAAAATATCATTCCTTCTCTTTCCTTAATTGACAACTACGAAAATTGGTAAATAAGGAAGATATGAATTCAATTTAATTCTATCATAATAATTTCTTTTAAAATCACCATATATCTCCTATTATCTTCATGTAATTTTATTTTATAAAATAATTTGAATCACAATATACAAAATTTAATAAAGAAAATCTAAAACTTTTCTGTACATGCTATGATTTGAATTTTTAAAAACAAAATAATATAAATTGTTTAGTACATAACCTCATTTAGTAGGTATCCAAAGGTAAATTATTATTTTTATTCCATTTAATATGTTTTTTAATTAAATTCTATAATCAAATATATTAAAAAAGTTATTTTTCTATCATATTTGAGTTTGAGTTTTATGTATCTTCCTTAAATCTATCATATTTAATATATGACTACGATCAAAATTTTAATTTAAAAAATAGTTTAAAATGCTTAATTTCCATACTATAAACGAATAAACGAAGACAATAATCTAACAAAAGTTAAAAATCGTGACATAAAATTTTGAGATATTTAAATAAACATTTTTTAATAAAAAAACAAATCCAGAAACCATCACTCCGTGCAGGGCGCGGGTCAAACCCTACCCTAGTGTTTTAAAATGCAATCAGCGATAAGGGCAGTTTGGTCACTTGGTCATATGGTTGAGATATACAATGGTCAATGGATGGATATGCGGTGGAATTGCTACGAGGAGGATTGTGTGAGCTTTTCTTTGTGATGCTATTGTATAAAGTTATAAGCAGTTGGATCTCACTTTTTAAGATTTGGTAATTGATTTCTTTTTTTGGACACATTTGAGTCATTGTCATTTCTCGGGAATTTTGTCTTCTTTACATGTTAAAAATTCAGTTGTGGTGACTGGTCGGCTATGCCATCGCTCTGCTAAAATATGGACGTAGGGTAGGACTTTTCAATGTCGGCTAGAACGTGGCCTTTGCACTGCGTCTTGTTCTTTTGAAAGAACAAAAAACTCAAAATAAAAGAGGAAAGGGATTGTAGAAGAAAAAGAAAGAAATGATGTAACTTCTAAATTCTTGGATTCATTTTTACTTACAACTCGTTTGAAATCGCATGATCTGTTTGTTATGCAGGAATCAGGATAGTCCATTTTAATGTCATAACTGGAGTTGGAGTAGTATGATGAGAAATGAGTAGCATAGGGACAAAACCGGACAAGAACGGTGAATGAGTGAGAGAGAAGAGGAACGTGGGTGGGTCCTAGCGGCTGACGGTGTAGTGTGGATGGGGCCCACTTGGAAAAGGAGACGGCAGATAGGAGAGAAAAAGAAAACAGAGCGCTAGATCCACCATCGTGCGATTGTCTCAACCTCTTTATTAGTCATCACTTCTTTTACTCTTTCATGGGCCCATGGGCCGAATCCACCTGTGCTCAGACAACATTTACTGATCATAATTATGCAAATAATAGTTACTGCAGTATTATTAGTACAGTTTGTTTGATAACGATGCATCGAATACACAGCACACCAATTTGTTTCTCGTCTATCATTGAAATGTTCCCATAAGTTGAAATATAAACTTCATCCGATCTTTACCTAATGATGTATTTATCACATAATAATCACTAATCCAAACTACTTCCACAAATGCAATTGTGGATAACATTCTGTCTATTTGTAAGAAATTTATCTAATTTCGTAGTTATTATCTTTTAAACAAGATTGTGGTTTCAATAATAATTAAATAAAACACTAAAGAACTATGGATCATTTCAGATTTTTTTTATCTTTGATTTTGTCCCGTTTTAATTATTGGAGAATAGAGAAAATAGAGAAAATTTTGCAAGTGTGCATTAACGATTAAGGAATGTTGAGTGTGGGCATGTGAGTGTGGACCGAGTCTCCTGCATCTTTCCGGTGGCGGTTAACGTCGATCCACTTGACTCTGTCAGTTGACGTCAACCTCTCAGGCCGTGACGGTGGAAAATCTGTCTACCATCCATATTTAACGGCGGCTTATACGGCTCACGTGGCCTTCCCATGAAAATCCAAAACCACTCTCGTCATGCCCCAATTTCTGAATCACGTGCCACCATGCATCGAGCCACTATACTCTCCCAAGAAACGATGAAAAGGTTAGGACCTACTATTTTATGTAACCTCCATTCCCTATATCTTTTTTTTTTGTCCTTTTATGTAATTAGGACCTACTATTTTTTAATTACTTTTTAAGAAAAGGTTAGGAGCTTTTTTGTTTGTTTTCAAACAAATACTAATCCAGTCATGTTAAGTGATAGAGTTAACATTTTACCCAAAAAAAAAAAAAAAAGTGATATGAGTCCAAATATATTTCCAAAGTATCACCACAAATTATTTGAGCTACTTATTTAAAAAGTTTAGACACTTACATTAATTTTAAATAAATTTATGTCGGATCTAACTTATCTCCGTGACAGAGACAACCTGATCCCAATACAAGAAACAATTATTACTCAATCGGCGATATATAAAATTTACACACTCCTTACTTGTGCATGTATGGGAACGTTACGAAAGATTGAAACTTTTATACGATCAAACAGTAAATGAGTTGCTTCAAAATATATTTGAGTCGGTATGATTATCCGTTACGTTGCATTATCTCAGGAAGTATCGCAATCAAATGTCTTCAAATACTCTCTTAGTATCATAAGGAAAAAAAAACACAATTGGTATCAAATAATTACCAATATTAGTTGGGAACTTATTAAGAGCATTAATGGAAGACAAGGAGGATAAGCTCATCAATGTTTTTAGGACCCTCGTGTGTATGTGACTCACATGGGAAGGTCTTCACTATCTTCACTTGATGCCTATCCTTTTCTGGAAACAACTTCTCCACATTGATCTCATAAATTGCAAAATCCGTAAACTCGTCATTTGTTTACGCCATGAGTTAAAACTGTTACAAAGAACATTCCTAGCTTCAGATTTTGAAGCGAAAAGGCTTGGACTTGGATTTTGGCCCATAGATTTTTCTCATAAGAATTTTCCCCGAATTTGCCTTATACACATAGTAAAAAGTAGACGCGCTTCCTTTGTTTTCTTGTGGCTTTGAATGAGACGTTATCTTTTCAAAGGGTTGAAATCTGAGGCTACTTTCACACTTGAATCAAATTCAACCTCTATAACCCAAACAAGATGTATTAAAATTTTGAAACCAAAATCTGCAAATTTATTCATCATATCAACCAACAATGGGAAATTGTCTAAAGCCTCTCAAAGAACAACCTCCTTCAATCGCTCTCAAGCCTCTCATCATCCCTCCAATTTCATCAGGTACACATCTCTGTTTCTTTAATATGACTTTACCTTTTTTGGGTAAATATAGTATCTAAATAATTTCAAAGGGGAGACAGAAGAGGGGAATTTGAGAGTGTTCAGCTTTGCGGAGTTGAACAAGACAACCAAGAAATTCACACAATACATGAGAATAAATGGTGATCCAAGAGGCTTTTCACGAACATTCTACAAGGGGTACATCAACGAGACCACATTTTCTCCATCAAGAACTGAAACTAGCATTGCTGTTTCTGTCATGGAATGTCATCAAGCTGATTCACAGCCTCTAGAAGAGTGGAAGGTAACCAAAAACCTTTCCATTTTTAGGCTACTATTTATAATAAGCAAGACCTCCTTACAATTAATGATTAAGAATATGAGTATTTAATCTAGACAAACCGGTCTAAACCAAATGTTTATTTTGGGTTTTTTTAGCATTTGATGTCTTGTGTATACATTTTTCTGATGAGGACAAAAAAAATTACTGAGGTGCAGGAAGAAGTGAAGTCTCTAGTAAAGATGTCACATCCCAATTTAGTCAAAATTTTAGGTTACTGTTGTGAAGATAACAAATCCTTCCTGGTTTTCGAATACTTGCAAAAAGCAAATTTGGACCGTCACATTTTCGAAAGTTAAGATCCTCTCTAATTCATGGATCCATGATATAAAAAACCGTTATAGACAATTTTGCTTCAAATGTTGGTTTCATTATTCTTTCAACAGAGGAAGAAGAGGCATTACCGTGGGACACACGCGTTAAGATAGCTATCGGAGCAGCTCAAGCTCTCGCATTTGTACATTCGGTCAAGAACAGCGCGTTATATCGAGATTTTAGAATGTATAACATTTTGCTTGATGAGGTAATTATTGACTTTGGTCCACTCTTCTTGTTCCTTACTGTTTTTATGATTTTAATAAAAAATTAACACTTGGCGTTTTGGATATTTGTTCATCAGCAATACAATGCAAAACTGTTCTATCTCGGATCAAACAGACTTAGTTTGTTAGATGAAAGTATCACAACTGCATTCATAGGAAGAACCGAATACATAGCTCCTGAATATATAATCTCAGGTACACCAAAATATTCTCAAGGTTAAACAGTAAATGTATAACTTTGGTTCCACGTCTAAGTACATTTGTGTAATGTAAATATTTTTAGGTCATTTGGCCACGAGGAGTGATGTGTATACATTTGGCGTGATCTTGCTCGAGATTTTGACTGGTTTGAAAGCTTCAGATGGAAAAAGAATGGACAAGAAGCAAAACATATTTGTCTCGACTAAACCTTTCTTGTCAGATAAAAACAAAATCCGAAAAATAATCGATCCACGACTTGGCGAGGACTATCCTCTGAATGCAGTGACAGAGATGGGCAAACTCATCAAAAGATGCATCAAGTTGGATGCTAGGAAACGACCATGTATGCAACAAGTTGTGGATAGCTTGAATGATATTGCAGAGATTAAAGACTAATGTGTAGAGGTACTGAGATTTGAAATTGGAAAAGTATGGGGTTAATTTGTGATAACAAAAAGAACCATTAGTCCATCTATAAATGTACTGAAATTAAAGGTACAACATATTAGTGACCAATATTGCTTTTTCCTATAAGTTTCTATAAAGAACAGAGTCGATATAATTAGATTTCAAATATTCATTCGATTTTTGGACTAAAGCCAAATGATAGAATTCACTTAGATTTGGGACCGTTAGAAAATCTGTATCACCCCTCTATTTCTCACCGACTAAGCTATAAGAGTATAACAAGTCAATGAAAACTTTTTACTAAAATGGACTAAAGTTGTGTAATTGTTTACTTGAGTCTAAGAGTTTTTTCCCAAATCTGCCTTAAATGGATATATTCGTAGAGGTTTCTTGATTTCCTTTCTTTTGCCTAAGTGAGCAATTGACTCATCAACGTGTTGAATCTTAACTTGGTTTTGTCCAGCTTATTGTTGAAGATGCTTCCACGCTTGTTAATCATTTATCAACCTCTTTATAAAAATCAAAAACAAGAAGAGGTGTTAAAATCTTGAAACCAAAATTCTCACAGATTTAAGATTTAATTCATCAACAATGGGAAACTCTCTAAATCATTTCAAAGAACAACCTCCTTCATTTGCTTACGAGTCTCTCACCACCCCTCTAATTTTCGGTACATCTCTGTTATTAAAAACATCTTAATTTTTGTTTATATACACAACCAGTAATATATGGAAAGTGTTGACAGAAAACGAGAATCTGAGAGTCTTCAGCTTCACGGAATTGAAGAAAGCAACGAAGAATTTCACAAAAGACAGGGTCGTAAAAGGCGAGGATGGCTCTGTTCGAACATTTTACAAGGGCTACATAGATGAGACCACAATTTCTTCATCAAGAAACAAAACCAGCATTGCTGTTTCTGTCGTCGAATGTCTTCAAGATAGCTCCCAGGCTCTACAAGTGTGGAAGGTATGCCAAGTCCGACCATTTTTACTAAACTATTTTTTTTTTCTTACATTATGTATAATTGATGGGTACAAAAAAATTATGAGTTGCAGGAAGAAGTGGAGTCTGTAGGGGAAATTTCTCATCCAAACTTAGTCAAATTTTTGGGATATTGTTGTGAAGATAACAAAGCACTCCTTGTTTTCGAATACTTGCACAAAGGAACTTTGGACTATCATATCTCCGGAAGTTAAGATCTCTTCATGTTTTTTTTTTGTTGGTTTTAATCTTCATGTTATTAATGGGTGTATATATATAATATTGCTGCAAAGTTTCATGTTTCTCTCAACAGAAGGAGATGCATTGCCGTGGGAAATACGGATTAAGATAGCCATTGGAACAGCTCAAGCTCTTTCATTTCTCCACTCGATCAAGAACAGCCCGCTTAATCAAGAACTCAGAATGCATAACATTATGCTTGACGAGGTGAGTAACGACTCTTGTTTTCATTTTTCCTCTTCTTCTTCTTTTTTTTTTATGATCATAGAAACTAATACCTGAGTTTGGATTTCATCCAGCAATACAATGCAAAACTGTTTTATCTTGCATCAAACAAACAATGGTTGAAACCATATTTGGAAGATGGATTCACATTTGTGGGAAAATCTAAATACTTACCTCCTGAAATGTTTCTAAAGTCAGGTACACCAAAATCTTCTTAACTTTTGTTTCTATATATTCTGATTAATCTTTCACTGTTCAATTGTTTATAAGAAGATTGTGAAATGTATGTAGGTCCTTTCGGAATGGAGGCGGATGTTTACACATTTGGTGTGATCTTGCTTGACCTTTTAAGTAACTTACATGTTCGGAGTAGATCTCTCTTGCATTTGAATTATAAGATTGATAAAATGATTGAAGAAATAAACGATCCCAGACTTGGGAGAGATTATCCTGTGAGTGCAGCAACACAGATGTGCACACTCCTCAAAAGATGCACCATGGAGGACAAGAAGAAACGACCATTGATGCAAGAAGTTTTGGATGTTCTGAATGATATTGCAGAGATTAAAGACTAATGTGTAGAGATACTCATATTTGACATTGAAAAAGTTTGGGGTTTATTTGTAATAATAACTGAAAGATTTGGGGATCTATATTTTGAATACAAGAATAAGTTTTTAATCACTTTTATAGCAGATTTTCTGTAATTGATATTAGCCACACACACACAAAAACTGGAGCTTATGAGATTCTGAAAAAAAATCTAAAGACTATTGAATGTTTTGGTGGGATACAAAATAAGACATTTATGACGTTAAGATCCCAAACATTGCAACAAGAATGTGCTTGAACCTAAAGGAGCTTTAACATTATTACAGGAGCTTTAACATCTAATCTCCTTACACTTTCGATATCTGATTTTGATTCTGTTTTGTTACCTTCTAACAAACTCTCTTGTAAGCCTTCATGAAGTATCTTGCATTGCTGCTAGCAAGCTTGTGCATGCCACATTCCTCCAAACGATTTTGATACACACGTCTCTGTTTTTGCTCTGTTACAAATTGTAAAATCTTCTTTCTTTCGCTCATGTGTCATCAAAAGTAAAGAGTCCAATGACTAAGGTATCATCAATGTAAATTTCAGTTAAAGGCTTGGAACCGTCGTAGATGTTTCCCCAAGAAAAATCAACTAAGCAATAAGCCATATTAAATAACTTACTAAATGGGGAAACCGCGTTTCTGTCACTGTTTGCTTAAGTCTCTGAATTTTTTTCCATAAATTTGCCTTTTATGGTATAGTCATAGCAAATGTTGTGCTCGCTTGTTTTTCCTTTGTTTTGCCTTAAGTGAGCAAAGTGTTGAATTACGAGGTTGTCCAACTAATTAATATATGAAGGTGCTTTTCACAATTGAACCAACCTCACCCTAATGAGATGTGTTAAGTAATCTTGAAATCAAAAATCATCTCAACAAGAATGGGAAACTCTCTAAATCCTTTCAAAGAACAACCTCTTCCATTGGCTTACGATTCTCTCACCACCCCTCTACTAATTTCCGGTACATCTCTGTTACTAAAAACATTACATATTTGTTTTTTTGCATAATAATCTCTAAATACGTGATTCAAATTTAAATATATGAAAAAGAGGAGGCAGAAAACGACAATGTGAGAGTCTTCAGCGTCACGGAATTGAAGAAAGCTACGAAAAGATTCAAAGTAGACAGGCAAGTACTGGGCATGGACGGCTGTGTTCGAAAATTCTACAAGGGAAAAGGCTACATCGATGGTACCACGTTTGCAACATCAAGAACTAAAACCGGAATCGCTGTTTCTGTCATGGAATGTTTTTATTCTGATTCACAGGCTCGAGAACTACAAGCGTGGAAGGTAAGCAAAGTCTGTCCATTTTTTATCCTTGTCTTGTCTACTAATTAATGCAATGATGCGTGTGACTGGCAACAAAAATGTATGAGTTGCAGGAAGAGTTGACGTCATTAGGGACCATTTGTCATCCAAACATGGTCAAAATTTTTGGTTACTGTTGTGACGATAACAAAACACTATTGGTTTTCGAATACTTGCACAAAGGAAGTTTGGACCATCACCTTTTCGGAAGTTAAGATCTCTTCTAACTAAAATAATTTTGCGTTACATAGAGTTTCATTTAATGTTTCTAATTTTCTATCAACAGAAGAAAAGGCATTGCCGTGGGAAACACGGATTAAGATAGCCATTGGAACAGCTCAAGGTCTTATATTTTTCCACTCGATCAAGAACAGCCCGCTAAATCGAGAACTCAGAATGCATAACATTATGCTTGACGAGGTAATGTCTTTTGAGTTTTGATTTCCATTCTTCTTCTCAATTTTGTTTATGATAAACTAAGACCTAAGTTTGGATTTCATGACAGCAATACAATGCAAAGTTGTTTTACCTTGAATCAGAGCAACAATATGTGGTAAACAGAACGATATATGGGGAAGAATGGATATACATGGCTCCTGAATTCCTAATCTCAGGTACACCAGAAGCGTAACTTTTGTTTTAAAAATCCTGATTAATCTTTCATTGTTCAAGACGATTGTGTAATGTATGTAGGTTATTTGGGAACGGACACCGATGTTTACACATTTGGTGTGATCTTGCTTGAGCTTTTAGCTGGTTCGGAAGATAGAGCAAGAAAATTATTCAAGATAAGCCCAGATGGTTGGATTAGACCTTTCTTTATTGGTGAAATAATCGATCCCCGACTTGGGAACGACTATCCTGTGAAGGCGGCGATAGAGTTGGGCACACTCATCCAAAGTTGCACCATGATGGACAAGAAGAAACGACCGGTGATGCAACACGTTTTGGATGTTCTCAATATTATTGCAGAGATTGAGTATTAAATCTGCAAAGGTACTTACTTATATTGGACACTAAAAAAGTTATAAGGGTTTATTTGTAATGAGTGAAAGAATCAGTACAGAGGTGCTAAGACAAAAATTAGAAAGCTGGAAGTTATCATTGAAGATATTTTAAAACAAGAAGCATGTTTTGACTTTTTTTGTAGCAGATTTTCTGTAACTGAGATGATTAGCCAAAAAGAAAAAGGAAAACTAAAAATATAATCCGAGAGAAACAAAACTGGAGCCTATGAGATGATTCTGCAAAAGTTAAAACTCTTGGATGTTTTGTTGAGATATAAAATAAGCCATGGACAACGCTAAGATTGCATGAACCCGATCTTGCACGAAATCTACACCAACTCATCACATATCTGTTTTGCATGGCAGCTTCTTCCCCTCCTCTGTTGTATACAACATCCAATTATGTTTTCTTTCAAGAGTATGAAAGTGCTGTTGATTTTGGTTTAGTTGTATGGCAGATTCTACCCCTCTTCTTTTGCATACCATGACATTGAGGATAACCTTGATGGAGATTATGAAGAAGCTACTCAGGCTGAGGTTGATGCAGCATTTGCTGCTCTCTATACTGATATAAGGGCTAGCTTATTTTGAGATGCAAGATTCTGCTGGAGAGGCCTTTGCCGATAATGGTTTCATTCGTATCTCGGCCGTGTTCACCTCATTGATGCTTTTGCCGAATTGTTTTATGATTGACCGAATGAGGTTGAGGAGTATGAGTTTGAGGAGGAGGATTAGGGTTGTGGAATGATGACTCTTTTCTATTTGCTTGTAATGCCTAGAGACCATGTTTTCAGTTATTTGTTATGTTTTTGGATACTGTTTTACATTCCTTGAGCTATGACTTGATTTAGAGCAAGAAAGTTTATTCATGTTTTGACCTTTTTGTAGCAGATTTTCTGTTACTACAAGATTACATAGTCCGAAATAGGACAACATCCTGCTCGGAAGAATAAAGTTTCATCCTTAGTTTGTATTCAGAATTTCTTGACTCACTTAGTTTCTTCTCAAGTTCCATCTCCTTGGCCAAAGACTTCTCAAGCAAGCAGATCACCAAACTCGCTATCGTTTTGAAATACCGCATTTACCCTCCAGACCCTAACAGATTGACATTTTCAGAACATGAGAATCATGACAACAAAGTTCAAAGAAAGCATGGATGATGGAGTTAAATTTGGTTTAGAGTTAGGTTTCTGACTTACATCATCCAAACCAGAAGATAACTTGTGAAAGTTTGAAGATTGCTTCTTCATCTCTACAGATAAGCAAGAATCGATTCAAGTTCCTTCACCTCTGAATCGAGAATCGAAGACAAGAGATCAAACTCCAACGCCTTCTCAGCAGAATCATCATCTTTACTCGAAGCTTCTTCTTCTTCTTCTTTGATAGAGACAAAGGAGGACTCAAAGTCGTGCTCCCTCGAGCCGAGTTGCATAGTAAGAAGGCTTAGATTCACCAGCTTCTCAGATACAAAAGCAAAATCCAATTCAACTTTTGTGAGAACCCTCCAACGCAGCCTTCTTCCACAGAGATGAGGAATTTGTGGTTCTCCCAAAGATCACGCACAAGCTTCTTTATCTATAGGGGTTTGCAAAATCTTGCATCAGCTATAGTTTCGAGAGAAGCGTGTGAGCATTCTGACAGTTCTGAACCATGGCTCCATACCCTAGCAAAGCCACGTATTGACCTTGTACAAGAACTCTTCCTCTTCCAATCTACTCTAATATGATAAAAAGCAGTTCTTGTGTCAGAGCACACTCTGTTTTCACAACCAGAAAATACTTTAAAGAGATTAGACTGGAACTTACTTCAATTGGTAATCCAGTGGGGACGAGATAATTCTTGCTGACGATTGCACCTCTAGGGAACCGGAAACAAACTGAGCGGTCAGTGACGTAAGCTGCAGTTGCAGATGGTTGGATTAGACCTTTCTTTATTGGTGAAATAATCGATACAGTTGGGCATACTCATCCAAAGTTGCACCATGTTGGACAAAAAGAAACTACGGATGATGCAACACGTTTTGGATGTTCTCAATAATATTGCAGAGATTGAGTATTAAATCTGCAGATGTACTTGCTTTGGACATTGAAAAACTTATAATGAAGTTAACATTGAAGATATTTAAAAACAAGAAGCATGTTTTGACTTTTTGACATTGTAGCAGATTTTCTGTAACTGAGATGATTAGCCAAAAAGAAAGAAGAAACACTAAAAATATAATCCGTCATTGTAAACTAATGACAAAGAGATAAACAAAACTGGAGCCTATGAGATGATTCTGCAAAAGTTAAAACTCTTGGATGTTTTGTTGGGATATAAAAATATGCCATTGACGACGCTAAGAAGATGAAGAACATTGCAACGATAATTTTCGTGAACCCAAGAGCTCCAACATCTAATCTCCTTACACTTCCAATATCTGACTTTGACTCTGTTTCTTCCTCCAACAAAAACCGTGACCATCATTAATGTTGTAAATTTCACTTTAGATGCCTGCAAACTCAGAATTTTACTAGAGAATGAATAAATTTACCGCTAGATAGTGACGGTGCCTTCACGTTTACTTTCTTGATGGTCAGACTTTTGGTGAAACTTCACTTCCATTTCCACTCTCTAGATAACCTGTCTTTCCAATTTTCTTCAACTTCGCCATCAACATCAACACACAATTCTCTCTTGACAGTTAGTTATCTGCAAAAAGAATCACTAAACCTAAGCATCTAATATGAAGATGATGATGAAGCCTACTTATAATAAAAGGATAATAAAAGCTCTAAAACCTAAGAATATTCTAGAAATCTCTTAAATAAACAATATTAAATAAATAAACATTAAAATATAAATATAAATAAATAAGTAAATAATCTTAATAATCTAAGTAATTTAGGTAAATTTCAAAACTACATTTTTTAGGTGTCAATTTTCAAAAATACACATTTATGGTGTCTATTTTCAAAACTATTTTTTTCTTCATTGAATAAAAGAACTCTAAACCCTAAAATATAAATCCTAAACCCTCAAATCTAACCTTGAATCCTTAAATCTAAACAATAAACCCCAAAATCTAAACATTAGTCAAGTATTAGTGAACCTAAATATATATATTAAAATTAGGAAAAATATATTATTAAAAATGATCACATGTATTTTTGAAAATTTACATGTATTTCTTAAAATTCTTCTTAAATATTTCCAAATATCATATTGTATTCTTGCCGGCCAAAATCTTTAATCGATTTTGCCATACCTGTTTTGCATGAACTCGATCTTGCACGAAATCTACACCAACTCATCACATATCTGTTTTGCATGGCAGCTTCTTTCCCTCCTCTGTTGTATACAACATCATTGATGACTATATTCAGGGAGAATATGATGAAGCGGATGAAGCTCAGGTCTATGATGAAGCATTTGCTCAACTTTATGCTCATCTACGGGCTAGGCTAAATGTCGGTCTTGTAACAGCGGATTTATGAAGATTCCTACAATGGAAATTGGCCAATTAAGTTAGTTATTTCAATGAGTATGCCTTAGCGATCTGATTTCATTGTTTTGCCATATTTTATAACAGGAAATCTATGCACCAACCGATGCTGAAATCGCTGCAGGACCTGTGGGACACCACTTCGGTCTCTTTGTCTATTACGGTGATGATGAGAATGGGGAACCTTATTTTGAGATCTAGGACACCCGTGGTGAGGCCTTTGGTGATGGTGGTTTCCTCCGGGTCTCGGCTCGTGGTCAGCTCATCGATGGCTTTGTTGACAGGTTTTACAACTAGGGTTGAGGAGGACGTTTGAGATTGCTTGTAATTTCTAATTCTAGGCAATAACCTTGCATGTTTGTTTTTGGATAAACAAACACTTGTAGTTCTGTTTAGGTTCTGTTTGTTTTTGGATAAACAAAAACCTACTTGCTTGTAGTTCTGTTTAGGCAAGAGACCTTTCACGTTCTGTTTTTGGATAAACAAAAAATCCTTTTTGTTATGTTTTTCAGTGTTGTGTTTGCTTGTAGTTTTTGTTTTCATGTTCTCAGTGTTCTATTTGCTTCTGTTATCATCATAACAAAGAGCATAACTATACATCGTTGAAACACGATATGTAAAATTGAAAAGGGATTCAACATTAATGTGCGTGTGTAAATGTAAATCAAGTCATACAGAGATTCCTTGAGCTTGAGCTTGATTTACATTTACACAAGGAATGTCTGTATGACTTGATTTACATTAATCTTGCTTGAGCTTTTAGCTGGTTCGGAAGATAGAGCAAGACAGTTATTCAAGATAAGCCCAGATACAGTTAGGCACACTCATCCAAAGTTGCACCATGTTGGACAAGAAGAAACGACCATGATGCAACACGTTTTGGATGTTCTCAATAATATTACGACCATGATGCAACACGTTTTGGATGTTCTCAGAGTTTGAGTATTTAATCTACAGAGGTACTTGCTTATATTGGACATTGAAAAACTTATAATGAAGTTAACATTGAAGATATTTAAAAACAAGAAGCATGTTCTGACTTTTTGTAGCAGATTTTCTGTAACTGATGATTAGCCAAAAAGTAAGAAGAAACACTAAAGATATAATCCGAGAGAAACAAAACTGGAGCCTATGAGATGATTCTGAAAAAGTTAAAACTCTTGGATGTTTTGTTGAGATATAAAATAAGCCATTGACGACGCTAAGAAGATGAAGAACATTGCAATGAGAATTTTCTTGAACCCAAGAGCTCCAACATCTAATCTCCTTACACTTCCAATATCTGACTTTAACTCTGTTTCTTCCTCCTACAAAAACCGTGACCATCATTAATGTTGTAAATTTCACTTTAGATGCCTGCAAACTCAGAGTTTTTACTAGGGAGTGAATGAATTTACCTCTAGATTAGTTACTGAAGTGACGCTGCCTTCAGGTTTACTTTCTCGATGGTCAGACTTTGGTGAAACTTCACTTCCATTTCCACTCTCTACATAACCTGTCTTTCCAATCTTCTTCAACTTCACCATCAACACACAATTCTCTCTTGACAAGTTGGTTATCTGCAAAATAAAGTCACTAAACCTAAGCATCCACTAAGAAGATGATGATGAAGCCTACTTGGGAACCAGGTAATGTCTTAATACCTGTTTCTGAAGGCGTTCTCGTTCAGCAGCTAGCTGCATGACCAGTTTTTTCATGATCTTGTTATGTACACCGATATCTTTAGCCGTTCGCAGTTTCCTTTCTTCTGCTTGCTGCAAATACTTCTCCATGTCTTTCAATCTACCTTTGAAGAATTTCAGTTCATCGTTGAGATCTGCATTAGACTCAGATACAGTGATCAGCTTCTCTTCAGTGTAATCAGCCCTGTTTTCAGCCTTTGAAACTTTTGATTTCAGATCCTCGATCACATCCTCCATATCAGAAACAGTAGAGTATAACAGACTCTGCTTTTCTTTACTTGCTTCAACAGCTGCAACCGCATGTTCTAGCTGAAGATCTGAGTCCCTCAAGTGTTTCTCAAGCGATGATAACTTCTCCAGAGTGAAGCCTTTTGCTCTGAAAGTCTCCAACTCGTCTTCAAGCTCCTTTTTCCCTTCTTCTAATAGTTTGCATTTGGATTCTGCTTCCTCAGCCCTTGCTTTCAGTTCCTCGTTGATATGTTCTTCCACATCTTCTGCTTGAACCCCACACTCATTCAGTTGTTCCTCAAGGGAGCTAACTTTTTCACTTAATGCGGAATTCTCAGTGCTCAACAGAATATAATTATGTTCGGCTTCTTTCAAACTCTCTTTCAAGCCTTCTGTTTGTGCCACAAAAAAGTCGTTGAGCCTTGCGTTGCTGCTATCAAGCTTGTGCAAGGCAGAATCCTTAGCTTCTAAACGCTCCTTTGAATCAACGAGCTCAGACTTCAAGTTGCCTTCCCGCTTGAAAGAGCCGCTTAGATTGAACTGAAGGATCTGGAGTTTCCCAGACATCTTCTTTGACATCCCTTTGAAGACTTCAGCAGCGTTATCTGCCTCAAGCCACCTCAAATACGCATCTTCGATCACTTCTTCCATGTAGACAACATCCTGCTCGGAAGAATATAGCTTCATCCTTAGCTCGTATTCAGAATTTCTTGACTCACTTAGCTTCTTCTCAAGTTCCATCTCCTTAGCCAAAGACTTCTCAAGCATCCTCAAAACGTTCCTCTGCTGATCAGCAGTCTGCATTTTGATCTTAGCACTCAGATCACCAAACTCACTATCGCTTTGAGATCCCGCATTTTGCCCTCCAGGCCCTAACAAATTAACATTTTCAGAATCTATACAACAGTTTCAAGGTTCAAAGAATTAACAACAGTTAGATTTTTGACTTACAGCTTCCATGTTCATCCAAACCAGAAGATAACGTGTGAAAGTTTGAAGATTGCTTCTTCATTTCCACCACTTGGTCTATTAACTGACCCAAAGATTGTTCAGCATCATGCAGCTTCCCTTCCAAATCCGAGATAGCTTCTCCTTCTCCATCATGTTGAAACGGAGAAATCATGACACGTGCACTTTGGATTTCGTTCTGGAGATAACCGAGAATCGATTCAAGCTCCTTCACCTCTGAATCGAGAATCGAAGACAAGAGATCAAACTCCAACGCCTTCTCAGCAGACTCATCATCTTTACTCGAAGCTTCTTCTTCTTCTTCTTTGATAGAGACAAAGGAGGACTCAAAGTCGTGCTCCCTCGAGCCGAGTTGCATAGTAAGAAGGCTCAGATTCACAAGCTTCTCAGAGACGAAAGCGAAATCCAATTCAACTTTTGTGAGAACTTCTCGTGCATTCGATAGCTCTGGATTCATCACTTGGCCGCTTAGAGAGATATCTTCGAGAAGGCTCTCTTTTGTTGAGCTAGGCTCTGGTATGAGGCTGTCGTTGTCATCGACTGAGAAGTTTCTATGGTGCTCCGTTTCTGTTTCCATCTTTCACGTCCAAACCAATAGAGAACTGCAATCATTTTTGTTAAAAACAATTGATTAAGACTCGAAATTAGGGTTCTTACTAGATGCAACGATCCTGGGTTTCTGCTAAAATCAGAGTTAAATTCCGATTCACGGAAATTTTCAACAACAGATTTGATCAATATTGTACTTGATTCCGATCGACGACACAAAGATAGGAGAACGGGAAGGATAAAAAAACTTACACTTGGAAACGAAACCAGACGATTGAAATCAAAGATGCTTCCTTGGGAGGAAATGATCGAGAGAGGGAGAGATCGAGAAGGAGGAAGAAGAAGGAAATGGGGTTTGTAATTAGAAAGAAGATGTTGGAGATTGCGAATGTGACAGTAACTCTTTACTAATTTTTCTAAAAGCGTTTATTAATTACCAAGTATGAACAAGTCCAATATACACGTCTATCTGTATTTTGTTGTTTCCAGATTTGGTACATGTTCGTAACACCCAAATTGAAATATCTGAGACTTGTAAGTTGTAACTGTATATCTGTATATTAGGAATGTGAGATTTTGACAACTGATAACAACAACAGAAGAAGAAATAGAGATATGAAAATTTGGGAAAACCATAAATTCAAGACTTTTACACACTAGAACAATTTCGTCCTTAATCTGTAAAATATTCACCTGTACATTTACAACATAGTAACATACATAGCAGATTCATTTTTTCAGCAAAAAAACTTAATAATTACACTGATCATTTACTGCTCTCATTAAGAGTTAAAAAAATCATAACGTGGTGCCTCTTTGAAGTCTGTAAAGGTAAAAAAATCCACCACATACACAGCTTAAGCTTTAGCTCATGAGGAGCAATGCTTCACGAGTTCGACCCAAAAGACTCAAAGCAGTTGCTGCTATGTGATGTCCGGTTAGTCCGGCAAGAACAAGCTGCTTACTAGGCGATGCTTCTTCGATGTAGCCATCTGGTAACACAATCGGTCTCCACTAAACGAATGTTTGGTGAGTGAATTAGATAGAATCCAAAACCAACAAACAAACAAAAAAAGGATAGTGGTTTTGATTTGTGTGTTTACCTTGATTTTCCCATCAAGCTGGCCGTCGAGGGCTATGAACTGCGCAACATGAGACCCAAACCCTCCAACGCAGCCTTCTTCCACAGAGATGAGGACCTTGTGGTTCTCACAAAGATCACGCACAAGCTTTATGTCAAGGGGTTTGCAGAATCTTGCATCGGCTACAGTCACGTTCAAACCGAGCTTCGAGAGCAGCGTGTGAGCATTCTGACAGTTCTGAACCATGGCTCCATACCCTAGCAAAGCCACGTCTTGACCTTGTACAAGAACTCTTCCTCTTCCAATCTACTCTAATATGATAAAAAGCAGTTCTTGTGTCAGAGCACACTCTGTTTTCGCAACCAAAAAAGTTTTAAAGATATTAGATTGGAACTTACTTCAATTGGTAATCCAGTGGGGACGAGATAATTCTTGCTGACTATAGCACCTCTAGGGAACCGGAAACAAACTGGGCGGTCAGTGACGTAAGCTGCAGTTGCAACCATGTTCACAAGCTCATCCTCATCGGCTGGAGCCATGGCTATCATGTTTGGTAAGGATGACATGAAAGCTATGTCAAAAGCTCCACACTGCACAGGACCATCCGATCCAACAAGCCCTGCGCTTGTTATAACAAATCGCACCGCCTTTCTCTGCCTATCTACATCATGGACCACCTAATAAAACCAACCATCAAATAAACTACTAAGGCCCTTTGCTTCTAAGAGTATATTCTTACTCCATGCGAGAGAAAAGTGAAACCTGGTCATAAGCTCTTTGTAGAAAAGCAGAGGGAATAATGCAAAAGGGCTTGAGACCTCCAGAAGAAAGACCAGCAGAGAATGTGACAGCGTGCTGTTCAGCCATTCCCACATTGAAAAACCTGTCTGGAAATCTCTCCTGAAATGTAACAAGTGATGGATCCATCTCCATTCCCGCATGAACCACAACGATATCTCTATCCTTCTCTGCCTCCATCACCAAAGCCTCCACAAAGCAATCACTATAAGTTCGTCTGTCTGAGACACAAAAATAAACTCTCAAAGTTTAAGATTTAGATAGTGCCAAGAAAATAACATACGCACAAAAATATACCTTTGACCACGATGTTCTTTGAGGTTTCTGTATCTCGTTTTCCCTCAGTGATCACATGGACCAACACAGGACCCATTGAATCTAGAGAAGCTACTTCTCGGAGAACACAAACCAGATCTTCAATGTTGTGTCCATCAACAGGACCAATGTAGTACAAACCAAGCTCTTCAAAGAGAGTTGATCCTGTTGGTCCCACCATACCACGCGCATACTCATCGACTTTGGCTGCCCACTCATACATACCCTTTCCAATTCTTTTCGTCATCGCCTGCCAAAATCCACAAATCCACAGCAAAAACAAATAATCAATTACGCTAGTTGTTGAACACTAAAGATTTAAGCAGCTAAGTTTGATAAAGAGAGTATGGAGAATGCATACTTTGGCTAGTTCTCTAAATTTCCGAAAAAATTGGCTAGACTGGATTTTGCTCATGAAGCTGGATAGTGCGCTGATGGAAGCCTTGGATCCATCCTCCATATTCGGATGCAAAAAAGAGTGACGGTTATCATTTAGTATAACAATCATATTAGAATCCAAGTAACCAGCATTGCTCATTGCCTCATATGCTTGGCCTGCAGTCATTGTCACATTGTCTATCACAGCAACGACCCGGTCCCTCTTTCCTTTCAGATCTCGAGCCACTGCTAATCCTAAGCAACAGAAACACAACATTTTTAGCACACCAAAGTCTAATTCTTGTTATATGACTCTTGGCCAAAGGGTGATAGAAAATTTACCGAGCCCAGCAGAAATACTGTTGCAGCCATGTCCGACTCCAAAAGAATCAAATTCGCTTTCTAATCGAGAAGTGGCCACAGAAATGCCATTCTTTTGTCGTGATGGTATGGCAGACCAACGTCTTGTTAAGACTTTATGTGCATATGTCTACATAGCACAAAACAAGCTAATCAACACAAGAAATTCTTCCTCCAAAAACATAGGAAAAATCATGATTTTCAAAACATAAAGCTTACTTGTTCCACAGCATCCCACAGTATTTTGTCAACCGGGGCACGGAAAACATAATGCAGAGCAAGGGTCAGCTCTATCGCAGCCACACTAGGATTCACAGACTTTTGGGTCTTCCATAGCACAGAAAGAAGCTCTGTACGGATTTCACCAGCTAATTGCTTCAACTCCTACGACAAGAAGACTATCTCCATTAACTCAAAAGGCTTTAGAGTTTCAATTTCAACTACATATATGTATTGGATATGAACATCAAGACTTTACCTTTACACTCAAATTCTTCAACTGCGATGGAGTTTCAATGCTGTCTAGTATCGGCGTCTCTGATTTCTCATCGCAGTACTCATCAGTATTTGGCAAAGCATATACCCGAGCTCGATTTGGAAATTCCTGGGAATCAGAAGCTACATTATAGGAGAATTCCATCAACGAAAAACGATCTGAATCCGACCCAAAAGACGCAATTGATAGAATTAATGAAACCCAGATTAAAGTTTGGCACTTTTTTTATTGGCATAAACCAGAATTAAAGAGATAATCAGACGGGTCTTACCTTGTGAGTGGAGCTTGCAGCTGAGAAGAGGCTCTTTCTGGGAATCTCAAATTGGCACGGAAGCGAGGAGAGAGTAGTAATATATGACCTCGAATTAAAGTTTCCATCACAAGGAGCTGAGATTCCGAAATGATACCCAATAGAAGCCGAACCCATGAAGAGGGAAGCCTCGAAAATCAACAACAGAAGAAGATAACTCTGAATAAGAAATGAAACATAGAGAAAACTCTAGAGAAACTTCATGCGAATTCGAAATAAATGCCGCGAAAGACGCCTAAAATGCAGAGAAGAAATATGGAGGATGGAGAAGCTTTAGGAGAATTACAAAAACCAGAGAAGTCGTAGAGAGAGAGAAGAAGAAGATCATTTTGTTCTGCGTTTGAGGCCTGAAGATATCTAATTAAAGCCTGTAAGTTTGGTTTTGGATAAACCCACTTAGTACCTGGGCCACAACCTCTGTAATCAGGATTACAATTCTTATTATGAACCTACCAAAGTTGCTATAAAAATGTGTACAAACGTATAAGATGAATCTAGGCAGATTGGTCGATCAATCAATGATGGTCGTTCATTAATTTCATGTTATGTTGACACATACTGAAGAAACTCTTTAATCATTGCTTTGAACTTAAAACCTAATTTAATTTCGAAAAGCAAAAACAAACACAAGGAAGACAGTACAACCCAATCTCACTCGTTTGTTTTCAAACAGAAAAAAACTGACAACAAAAAATCATGCTGTCACTGAGCTTTTAGGCGGACTCTTGCTGTCGCAAAATGCCAACTCCGAAACCAGTGCAATGTGATCGCTTCCCCATTTCTGTAACAAAACAAGAAATACAAAAATAAATTAAAAAAGCCTGCAAAAGTTAAGACTAAACAAAAAAAAGCAAGATGATGGGATTTTTTACTGGAGTTGGGAAGCCTGGTGTCCACAGCATTGCTTGTTTCGGCATTGGAGCAAGCACACGCACCGTTTGGAGACCTTCCGACCGCCTATACCCAAACCACAAAGATTACATGACAATCTAATCTCAAGGCTTGTCACAAATGGTTTTGAGTTGTGTGTTTGAATGCTATTTACCATATGTAGTCAACTGTTCCCATGAAACATCTGTGATAACTTGTCACTACAGGCTCTCCGTTTTCATCTCTTGTGTTCGCTTTACCCTAACAAAAAAATTTAACAACAGTTTCTTACAAGTTTAGTTTTCTCAAGTGCAAGGACAAAAGCGTAGGGAAGATATTCTACAGTTACCTCCACTTCTGAGTAAGTGCTTTTAAGCTCCATAGCGTGTTCAACCGTACTTCTTTCTTGGTCGCCTGTTGCGGTTGCTATCTCCATTGGAGTCCAAGAGGACGGATTATAAGTGATTCTCTCACTATCGAAAGCTTCAGAGCCCGATATAGGTGAAATTTCACTCACAAGTTCCTCTTTTTGACTCAAGTCCTCATCATTATCGTGTAGCTTAGCCAAAATTTCCCCATCTTCACCCATACCTTCATCGTCTTGCGCGAATACAGCTGGTTCGTCCAATGTGCTAACCTTATCGGAGAGACTAAATGAAATATTCTGATCACTGGACATATTTTCCTCTTGTGTATGCTCTGTTGCTGACAAAACAGAACTTACTGAAAGTTCTTCATTCAACAAATCATCTTTCGCACTGGAAGCATGCTTAGGTTTTGGATCTGATATGCTTACTGCAGAAAGATCTTCAGCTATAGAGAGATCCCCAGAGTCATCAGGATTTCTGTTTACTGTTCCTAAATTACAATCTGAGGCCGGACCCTCGCCTGGTAAAACTTGTTCAGACGTCTTTCCAACATCTATGTTGGAGTTACTTTCCACATGAGCATTTGCGATCGAATCTTGTGGTTGAATTTGACCTTGTGGAGCTTTATTGGCAGACTGAAATCTAGAAAAGTTGAATAGGCCTATCAATCATACAGATAAGAAAAGAAGAAAAAGCAGAGCAGAACCCGAAATTTTAGGTTAAACATGAAGATGGTTGGTACAAACAAAATTCATAATGATTTTCAAGAACTTGGTGAGTTCATGCTCTACCTCGTTGTATAAACTTCTGGCCTTTGAGGACGAATTGTAGCAGAAAGTTGCCCCGAAACTTTGTCTCTGGCCAATCCCGAGAGATCCAACTGTAGAGAGCAGTACAAAATACAATGTGAGCCATATACATAGTGTTGCTAACTAGGTGTAGAAACTGCGTTTACCTTCCGCTCCGAAATAAAGTTGTACAAATGACTCTGCAACCAGGTGAAAAGAATGTTACTATCCATGTCACAAAGCAAGTGCTTTTCGGTATATCAACTGGTTAAGGTAAGAATGCCCAACCTTTGGTGTACAATTGAAATCCCCACATAGAACAACAGGCGCATCATCCCAGAGTTTCGAAACAGCATGAGCTCTCTCTAATAGTGTTCTGACCTGTCCCAGCAGAGATAAATATATAGATGACGACTGACAATAATTAAGAGTGCAGTGTTTCATGAATGTCTCAGACAACTAACTTATAGACATCAGAGTATCAAATTGTCGTTTGGCAATATATTTTCCACAAACTAGAAGAATATGGCGTAATGGTAAAGTACCTGACCAAGTTTAAAGTCTCCTCTTTTAGGATTAAAAAGCACGTGGATATTACAAATGACAACTCGGCGGGAACAGCTGCAAAAGCAAAAGGCAATTCACTTAAGAAGACTGAAGAAAATCAGTCACGTTTTCTAGAGAATGGCAATTATACACTGATAGTAATTTACAGATATCATCATTAGGTTACCTTTCAGACGGAGAGACATCATCTTCTTTTGTATGTGAATTCAACAGCGTCTATACAGAACAAGATTAAAATTAGATTAAAGAGGCAAAAGTATGTAAGTCACTATCAACAAAAAGGTATCTGTATTACCTCAAGCACACATATCTGAGCAACATTATCCCGGAGACCAAGTTGATTGAACTGGATGCTTTCCTCGTGAACCAACTTGAATCTAATACGATAACAGTGAGAACCCAAACGAAATTCCGGACTGAGCCACACTAGGAAGAACAAGGAAATCAAACCTATTTGATCGCCAAAATATTGCACAGCCGTCAACAGCATTACCAGTCCGCATCTATAGATTCATACAATAGAGTCAGTGGATAACACAAACTCAGGGCTAATTCTTAAGAAAGAGAGATTAACCCCTAAAAGTTTTTCAACAAATTTAGTAAAAAAGGTACCTTCCAAATTCCACTATATCCTCGGAGCTTCAGATCCTCCTCTAAGTCCTGAAATTTATCAACTTCCTGACACATGCAAACAAATATTTCATCACTGTGCTTATGGAAGATACAAACACACATGAACAAAATGCAGAAACTCTAACCTGGAGGCACATTATATCTGCAGACCAGAGGCCAAGCTCGAACACTATTTTGCTCTTTCTCCATCCCCAACTCAACATATTCCTCGGTATGTGAAAGTACAGATTTCTCCAGTGATCATTTGCAAGGTAATCCGCCAATATGTTATACGACAAAACAACGAACTTTTCTGCAGGAAGAAAATAGATCAAAATACTAAAGCATACAAAGTGGCAGTCAAAGTGCAAAGAGATGATCAGCTTTAAGGAAAAGTTACCGGACCCAGGAGACGGTGCCGTTTTGGCGTATTCCCATTCTCGGTAATCTGAGGGCTTTGACCGTGGCCGTTGACGGAAGCTCCGCTGCGGAGGCGGCCGAGACACCTGGTTTTGATAGAACGGAGGAGGAGGGCACGCCGTATAGCTTTGACTAGACGGCGAATGGTTAGGTTGATAGAGCTGTTGCCATTGACCTCGAGGAGGCCGAGGCCGAAACTCGTAATTCTGATTGAACGGCGGTCGCTGCCCATGATTGAAGCGACGAGGATCGGGATTCGAAGAGGAGACTCTGTTCCCGTGCCGGAATTCGAGATTGGCGTCATGGACTGACTGGAAATGCGAGTCTCCAGTGACGAAATTATCTCTTCCGGCGTCGCTGTACGGACGATTGGAGAAACTTCTCCCGCCTCGGCCTCTCCCTCGCCCTCTGCCACCTCCGTACTGCTCCGTCAGAGACAAACCCAATCTTCAATTAAGCAAAGCGCAATGTGAAATCGCATCAAGAGAATGTGCTGAGTAGAATTTACCAGAGGACGACTAGACATGTCGACGATGGGAGCACAAGTAGTTGAGGCGTTAGAGAGTGCAGCGTCGGAGAAAACTTGGACAGCGTAACGAGAACGCCGCATCGATCAATCAATGAGAGTGAGAGAGAAAGAGAGCGAACTCGGAGTGCTTTAATTGCAGAGACGACGAAGTCAATCCGATGAACGGAGACTCGTAGACAGTCGTGCCGTTTTTAGGAGCCTATAATTACACAGCTCCCTGTCTTCACGCTAAATAAACGGCACGCAAGCGAAAACGATACACACCAAAACTCGGCTTTACTTTCTTCAACACTCATCATTACAAAATATGGAACCTTGCCTCAATATCTTTATAGCATCATCTCACCACCATCAAGAGTATTGAGTAGTGATAATTAAGATTGAATAGCAAAGTTAAAACTAGAAAAATGGATTCACTAAATCAGTACTCTCATCATTTGTTGGCTTAAGATTGAGCAAAGGATTTTGGTAACAACATAACAACCTCTTTGGATCCATGTCGATACAAAAAGGTGAAAAATCAAGAGGTCAATAGAGAAAAGAGAGTAAGAATGTAACCATGAATAAAACTCGGAAACCGTCGCATCAAAACGTTTACAATAATAGATTTTGAATTAAACAAACAAACTAGGGGAGGAATGGCTTCCCCAAGTAGTGTATTATCGTCTTTCAGTTGCTGGCTTCAGGTTGAGCAAAGGACTTGGTGACAACGTAGCAATCTCTTGGCTCGATGTTGATGTAATAGTTCTCTATGGTGTCTGTGATCTCAAACCCAAACTTCTTGTAGAACTTGATCGCATCTTCGTTGTTTGTCTGAACGTGCAAGTATATCTCACACATGTTTTGCTTGGAGCACATTTCAAGAACATGATTCAATAGCTTTGAACCTGCACCAAAAGAGAAAAAAAAAAAAAGAAAAAAAAAAAACAAATTAGAGATTTCTATGTTATTCATGTTTTGTCATTGTCAAGATTCAAAAGATTGTTAAAGCAGATTTATGACTCACCAATGCCAATCCCGCGGTATGGAGCAAGAACACCAAGAGTCATTATATAAACTCGCATGGCTCCGCCTTCTTTCTTCTCCAGTCGACAAGCAATAGCTCCAACACATATGTCACTGAAATAAGCTGAGAGGAAGCAAATCCCATCATTAGAAACATCAAGGATTGGTTTTTTCATGCCTCACAGATTGGAGAGAACAATGTAACCCAAAGAAACAACACTGTCTAATATACAAGATGTTAACTAGATTGTGTGGAATTTAAGTTGTTAGTCTCATGATTGCATGTTTTTACAAGATATCATACAACAAACTGGTTCGTGCATGCATTTCAAGATGCATATAACTAAGAACTAGTAGGTACAAATAAGCATGAGACTAAGAAACCATTCTTCAGAGAGCGGCCAAAAATCGGTCAATGCTAAACATAAAACCTTCACTAGATTTAAGAAAATAATGCAAATATTCTTCTAAGAACAGTTCATAAACCCCCAAAGGAACTAACTTTCCCTATTAATGGAAGAGATGAATGCTTCCGTAAGGCAAAAACACAGAGAAAAAAAAAACACAATCCGATCTGACTCAAAACCATATTCCTAGAGAAGCTCACGATTAGCAGAACCAATGTAGCATATAAATAAAAGCACACAGTAAAGAAGCCGAACCAAGCTTGGTGAATTCGCCGGATGCGATTGCATCAGCGTAGTACTTGTCGTTGTACCGAACCGGGAACAGGACCGTGTTGAGTTTCTTAAGCTGCATCTGGTTTTTGTCTCTGACATCATCGAGCGATATGCTGAGTGCTCGCCCAGTCCCCATCGCCGTCTTCCTCTCTCTGCCCGAAGAATCTAGAAAACTATCACAGAGATCGATTCGTCGTCGTAAGGACAGAGGAAAGACAAAATCGAAGGGAGGCTTTATTTAGGGGAAATCGATATATTATAATTCGGGAAAACTTTTTATTAAGCTTAATTTCCTTTTTCTTTCTTTCAGACATAGACAAAACAGATTATAAGGCCTCGAATATATTTTGGGCCTCAATTGAGCCCACATAGTTCTTTCCTTCTCAATTTATCATCGCATGTTAGTATTTTTTGTCATTGCGATTACAAATGTGTTTTTGATTCCTTTGGGAATGGAAAACTCGCAAACAGTTGCCATACTCGCTGGTGGCCAAAGCATCTCCTTAAAGCTGTCCTTTTTCATCTTAAGTCCTCTTTTTGCATTCACTGATAAAGAGAGAGAGATGCACATTACTTAACTGGTCTTCTTCCTTATGTTGATATAAGTCAGGATGTTCAGGTGACTTGACCTTTAAGTATTTAAGAGAAACCCTACTTTTCGTTTAGTTTTGATGATTTGGGTTTTTGTAATAAGTTTTGTGATTTTTTTTTTTGGCTGTTTAGGAGAGAAAGCTGATGCACAATCTCCGCCTGTACACTGTGCCTCTTCAGCGTTACGTGGCCCTCATGAATCTTCAGGTGAGTGACTCTTGTTCGAATTCCATGTTTAGAAGTGGAAACTGTGTCCAAGCTCATGTAAATTGAATATTGCCGGAAAGGAACGAAAGGTTGTTCTATAAGCTATTGATTGATAGCGTGGAGGAGCTGCTTCCAGTTGTGTACACACCAACAGTTGGTGAGGCTTGCCAGAAGTATGGTAGCATTTGAAAGAGAAGTCTCACCAGGCCACTTCAATTTTGAATATAATAAAGGAATAAAGAATTGAGAAAACAGAGTAAGAGATAAAAGATATAATGTTTGGTGTTTGATTATTTACGAAGAAATGAAGTAATAAAGAATTGAGAAAACAAGTAAGAGATAAAAGATTATCTCTTCTCTTATAATAAGAAGAAAATAAACGAGGAAATTGATTTATTACTCTGAAGCTTGTTATTTTTACATTATTACAACAATGGTTTATATAGGTAACAAACACAGGCACAACAACACACGAGTTGTGTCTCTTCATAATTGTGACTGAAACGTCACGACCATTAACGAAACTCAATTATGTTCCAACACTTAGGGAGGCAAGATTCTTGAAGTGTCGAAGAACTGGCCTCAGAGAGGGATTCAAGTTATCGTTGTTACTGATGGTGAGCGTATTCTCGGTCTCGGAGATCTTGGTTGCCAGGTAATAAATTGGACCCTTCTTGATTTAACACTTGAAACTGCATGTATGTCAACACAATCTGCATTTATCGTCCGTTTGAAACAATGTGTAATATGTTTGCAGGGAATGGGAATTCCAGTGGGGAAACTTTCTCTTCACTCAGCTTTGCGAGGAATCCGTCCATCGGCTGTAAGCTTCAGAACATAAAGCTGCAATATTCTACTTGACTGATTATTCAGTTTTCGTTAAATGAGAAGTTGCTGAATGATGAGTTTTACATTGGACTTAAAGATGTAACAGGAAACAGAATAAATAAGATGATTATCTGTCCAGCTGCCCTTCTCTGTTTAGCTTCCTATAACTAAATAAGATGATTTTTCAGAAACTGGGAGTTTAATTTATTTTTGTGATTCAGGAATATGCAAAGTTTCTATACGAGTTCATGTGACTATGGAGAGAAAGTGTTAGTGCATGTGAGCCAGAGAACCAGTTCTTGCTACGATATATTGATGGTTCTTGTTAGAATTTTGTTCTGAATATGTCCTGATACATATTCTTCTTTTCAGTTTGAAGATTTTACAAACCACAACGCATTTGACCTTCCGTCTAAGTACAACACGACTCATCTGGTCTTCAACGACGATATCCAGGTACCGTATTTTCTCTCAAGATTGATCTTTTTGTTAATATTATGGTTTGAAGCTGTCAGAGAGCTAACGTTATCAACAACTTGTTTGGTCTTTTTGGACCTGTACCTTACAATCTCATTGAAGGAAAAACTCTTCTGCGGGTAAAGTCTTTCTACTCCGATAACTTCTTTACTAGATTTGAAATTGTTATGAAGTGGTGACAGTTAGTAAAACCATCTGTTTGCTTGCTCTAGGTCTGGCCACCAGAATGCTTTGGCTCGTTGTCGTTGAGATGACGAACTTTGTTTTATACATGACTTTTACTAGACCATGTTAAGATTCATATTTTTAGACCAAGAAAAAAGCCGTGACTTTTGGGTGATAAATGTGGCATGAACAAAGTTAAAGGCGTTTTGATCCCTTTGTGGAGGGAAGCAATCTAGAAGATAGAGAAGTGGTTTAAACCGAACCAGTCTTAGCCTTATTTTCAAGATGTTTTTGATTTCGGGAATGTTCTCTAAACCGGATCGGACAGGCCGATAGTTACTACTGCCATGCCAACTGACCAGAAATTACAGTATGTGTTTGACGTCAATAGTTAATCGAAGTTAACCACAATAGCTTCTTCAAATTTCTTCATTTTGGTAAAAAATAAGTAATAGGATTTCTGGATCGTTTAGAGAATACCAAGATATATTAAAATGTATCTTTTAGGTGGATGGTCATCGATTAACCAAATCTACAGAGAGATGTGCAAGCGCAGGAGAAAATGGTAAATCAGCGTAATAATATAAAAAATTATTGAAACCTGCCGAATTAGAACATGCCGAATTTTTTATAATTTGTGAAAAAAAACAAAAAAATGGCACGAAGTCAAAGACAATCATCCGTTTTTTAGTTATAGCAGTACACAGCTCTCTGTCTTTAACTGAAAATAAATGGCACGCAAGCCAGAGTATCGCACTTGAAACATCGAGATAAAAACACCATTTATTTAAACATCCAGATAAAAAAACATGATACCTAGGGTATTGAGCTTATTCTTCTCCCTACAGGGGCACAGGTTCTATATCAATTCAGCTTTCTGCTCCGGAGTCAAAACTAATAAGAAAAACAAAGAATTAATGAGAGGTGTTACTTGGTTAAAAAAAATCAATAATCAAGAATCAAGAATCAAATTTACTTACAGTGCCAAATGATTTTGATTCTTCTGGTGACGCTGGCAGACTAACCGAAGTAACAACAATGTTTAATCCTCTCACTTCACGTCCACTAAGTTGCAGCGCCTTGTCTATTGCGTCACCTACCTCCATACGAAGGAGCGCTTGACTGTAAAAATCAACAAAGACACACAAGTCGTTGGTTAGCGTTCGAGTTGGGAAAGAAGAAAATTCACGACTCGTTTGTCAGCAAAATTTGGGAGAGAGAAGCCACAAACCTAACGCCTTGGTCTTGAAAAACAAAGACATTCCCGGCATAACTACATGAAGAGAAATGTTCAATCAGCATGCTCCTAACATAATCATCAGAAAGCGAAGTGTCATATCCCGTGACTCGCATCCTAGATAATTTGATCGCATGCATGAGATAATTTCATCAACATGACAACGACAAGAGCATATACAAACAAATCTCAAAAAAAAAAAATTAAAAAAAAAACACATTACACGTGTTGTCGTTCGGTCTCTGCCGCTATCATAGGAGCCAACTCAAGATCAAGGTACGTTTCATGAAACGGGTAAGCCTTAGTGACTACAATCCGTCCTCCCATGTCACTTCCACTAAGTTCCAACGCCTTCTCTTCTGCACCTTCTCCACGAACATAAATGAAGCCATATCTGTTCGTAGGGCCAATACAAGAGTTTATATATTTAATTACTTGAGATGGGATAAGGAAAAAAAAGCTGGAGGAAGAAGCCACAAAACCTGTTGAGTGTCTTGACAAGACGGCTTGGGCTTCCAACCTCTGTGGGAGTATAAACATGTACCACCTCTCCACAGGAAGCGAAGTGTTCTCTCAAAGCAAGATGGACATGATAGGCAGAGAGCGAAGTGTCGTATCCCTCAACGTAAATCCTCCTAATGCTACTGCTGCTATTGACTTCCGTAGGAGCCAACGCAATACTAAGGTCTGTTTCACGAAACGGGTAAGACATAGCGTCTACACTCCATTCTTCCCCCATGACACTTCCGCTAAGTCTCAACATCCTCTTTTCTGCACCTTCTCCACGAACATACACGAAGCCAAATCTGTACGTATAGAACAAATACAAGTATATAAATATATATATAGATATAGTAAGCCGCATTTAACTTGAGCTGTGAAAAAAAACTGGACGAAGAAGGCACAAACCTGTTGAGACGACCGCTTCCAACGTCTGTAGGAATATAAACATGTACCAACTCTCCACAGGTAGCGAAATGACTTATCAAAATACGTTTGACATCAACGGCAGGAAGCGAAGTGTCGTATCCTTCAACGCAAATCCTCCTAATGCTACATCAATAGATTTGATCGCAGGTGAGATAATATTATTAACATGACAAGAGCAGATATTACAAACAATTCTCAACAAACAAGACACATTACATGTCTCCTCGCCGGCTCTCTGGCGCTTTTATAGGAGCCAAATCAAGATCATAGTGTGTTTCACGAAACGGGTAAGCCTTCGTGACTACATTCGGTTCTCCCATTTCACTTCCACCAAGTCCCAACACCTTCTCTACTGCACCTTCTCCATTAACATAAATGAAGCCAAATCTGCACGGAGAGAAAATACAAGAGTTTATATAGTGTGCATTTAACTTGAGCTGGGAAATAAAATAGAGGAAGAAGGCAAAAACCTGTTGAGAAGACCGCTTCCCAAGTCTGGGTGAATATCAATATGTAAAATCTCTCCACATGAAGCGAAGTGTTCTCTCAAAGAGAGAGCGACATCAAAGGTCCGAAGCGAAGTGTCGTATCCCTCAACGTAAATCCTCCTAATGCTACTGCTGCTATAGATTTGATTCTAGGTGAATTGGTGATCGATCATTTTATCAACAAAATTAACATCTCACAGATGCAAAATCGGAAAAAAAAAAAAAAAAAAAACACAAGTTACCTACTCTTTCGTATGTCTGCATCACTACCGTTTAGGTCACGCAATTCCAGACCCTAATATACAAAAGATCTAATCATAAAACAGTACTACTTCAAATAATTTTCGACAAATCCCATAAGGAGAAGAAGAAGAGGTTAAAGAAAAACAAAATTGAGGATCGAAGAAGATTACTTTGATGGCGGATTCGTCCATGGAGAAGTTGAGAAGAAGCGATTGCTATGTTTTCGAGAGGCAATAGTTTATGTTGTTGGCTCGTCATCAACCATTTATGTATGTAGGAGAGGCCCGATTGGATTAGTGTTTTTGATTTCTTAGGGAATTGAAAACTCGCAAACGGTTTACAGGGGACTCGATAAAGAGCCTCTAGATCTCGGAAAACGTTTGTATATTAGTATTGATAAAGTCAACTGGATTCGGTACGTCGCACATCATTCAAATATATATATATGTGGGATTATGAATATGATTTAATTTTACTCTAGTGAAAATGCTTTTGTCTAAGCTGAACAGTCGAATTGTATAATGATCATATATACTCTTGGGTAGTAATTAATTAAGGCAAATGATGATGCGTGAGCTTAAAACAAGGTTGCATTGCATTAGTCTTCGTCTAAACACAAAGGAGCTTCGTCTTCTCCAAAGAGAGAGCTTTCGACTCCGTAGTCCGTACGTAGTCATGTTACCTGGCTAAAACAATGCACAAAATTAATTAATGAGAGGTAATTAACATGCTTTGTTACCAAGAATCAATAAATCAAGAATTCAAATAATCAAATTGTTGTACTTGGGAATTGGGCGGCGCGAAGGAGGAATATAGCCAATCATTCTTCTGTCTTTTCTGGGGGGACAAACCTTAACAACAACGATATTCAATCCACCCACATCACGTCCACTAAGTTTCAGCGCCTTCTCTACTGCGTCTTCTCCCCAAACGGTAACCATAGCCTCGCTGTAAAAACCAACAAAGACAAACAAATCTTTGGTTACCATTTGATAGAGAGAGAGAGAGAGAGAGAGAGAGAGAGAGAGAGAGTTGGCTACGCAGAGAAGAAGCCACAAAACCTGTAGAGACAACCCTTTGCGACCTTTTGAACCAAAAAAGATAGCATTCCACATGAAGAGAAGTGTCTACGAAGCATGCTCTCGACAACTTTCTCGGGAAGCGAAGTGTCATATCCACTAACTTTCATCCTAAAAATGAGAGAGAGAGATCCTAATTAATCTCCAAAACAAAAAACATAAACATAAACGAAAATCAACATACGTTTGTTGCAGGCTATATTCCGCTTTCATAGGAGTCAGCTCAAGATCAAGGTATGTTTCATGAAACGGGTAAGCCTTAGTGACTAGATTCCTTCCTCCCATGTCACTTCCACTAAGTTCCAACGCCTTCTCTTCCGCACCTTCTCCACGAACATAAATGAAGCCATATCTGTTCGTAGAGCAAATACAAGAATTTATATATAGTAATCCGCAAATATTTTGAGCTAGGAAAAAAAAAGGCTGGAGGAAGAAGCCTTCTTCTACATATATATACCTGTTGAGAGTGAGACAACGGCTCCCAACGACTGTGGGAATATAAACATGTATCATCTCTCCACATGAAGCGAAGTGTTCTCTCAAAGCAAAATTGACATCATCGGCAGGAAGCGAAGTGTCGTATCCTTCAACGTAAATCCTCCTGATGTTACTGCTGCGACAGATTACTTGGCTGGCGGATTCGTCCATGGAGAAGTTGAGAGAAGATATGCGATTGCTAGGTTTTCGAGATGCAATAGGGTTTTAAATTATATCGCCAATATATACAAATAACCCCTTCTTTTTTAGTTTTACTTTCGACTCTTGATTTCTCTATTGCCTTTTTTTTTTTTAATTACTCAAAACAAAGATACTATAATTACTCAAAAATTGAATCTTTTTGGTTGTTTCTCAAATTCTCATCGGCATATGATTTCTTGAATTACCTTAGATATAATACTCATTATACTCATTTTTAGTTTCCCATCGATCCTCACATAAAAACCAGTACCAAAATTGTTGTCTCTTAAAAGTTAAAACCTAACTTGTCTACCAAGACAAAGCAAATCACAGAACAACAGATCATAAAAACTCCAAAAACGAGAAAGAACAAATGATTGGGCCAAGAATCTATCTCAGGCCTAGACGAGGCCCACGTAGTTCGAATTTCTTAGTCACTTCATTAAAAACACTTATCATTAGCATTTGTGAAGAAGAAACATCCGAAAGAAATAAATTTGGTGAGATGGGGAAGAAGGGAAAAGCGATCATCGTAGGAGGAAGTATAGCAGGCGTATCGTGCGCACACACGCTCACGTTAGCAGGCTGGGATGTTTTAGTGCTCGAGAAGTCTTCCGAACCTCCGGCTCGGAGCCCTACTGGTGCTGGGCTCGGACTCGACCCCCAGGCTCGGCAAATCATCAAATCCTGGCTTCCTCATCCACACCTCTTAGATGAAATCACCTTGCCTCTCTCGATTGATCAGGTAAAAAACAAAGATTTTGTCGGAAAAATTAGCTGAATTTTTTTTTACAGTCGATTTGATTCGAGAATTGCATTTCCCGCCCTGCAAAAGTTTCTTTTTTTAAGAAAAAACCTTATTGTGTTGTGTATTTGTAGAATCAGACAACAGATAGTGAGAAGAAAGTGACGCGAGTTTTAACGAGAGACGAGAATTTCGATTTCCGAGCAGCGTATTGGTCAGATATTCACGCTCTTCTGTATAACGCATTGCCTCAAACCATGTTTCTTTGGGGTCACAAGTTTCTGTCTTTCACCGATTCACAAGATGAGTCCTCTGTAAAGGTTAAGACTTTAGTCATCGAAACTCAAGAAACCGTTGAGATCCAGGGAGATCTACTCGTTGCAGCTGATGGGTGTCTCTCTTCCATTCGGAAAACATTCCTACCAAACCTTAAATTGAGGTTTGGAAATAAGAGTATGAGATTCATTTCTTGGCTCATTTCTGTGGACTTGCTCATTTTGGCTCTGTTTTTTGTTATATGAAAGGTACTCTGGTTATTGCGCTTGGAGAGGTGTTTATGATTTCTCAGGGATTGAGAACTCGGAGACGGTTAGAGGAATCAAGAAAGAGTATCAGGATCTTGGGAAATGCTTGTATTTCGATCTCGGTACACAGACTCATAGCGTGTTTTACGAGCTTATCAACAAGAAACTCAACTGGATTTGGTACGTCAATCAACCGGAGCCTGAGCTCAAGGTTAAAAACTGAATCCAGTCTCTCTTTTCTTTTAACATTAGAATGCTAGTTTTCATGATCATTTATTGTTCTTGTTACGAAATTGCAAAAGCAGAGCAACTCTGTTACTCTAAAAGTAAGTGAAGAAATGATGAAGAAGATGCATGAAGAAGCAGACACTATCTGGATCCCGGAGCTGGCGAGACTCATGAAAGAGACAAACGATCCATTCCTTAATGTTATCTACGACTGTGAGCCTTTAGAACGGATCTTCTGGGGGAATGTGGTGCTGGTTGGAGACGCAGCTCATCCCACGACCCCTCATGGTCTAAGAAGCACGAACATGTCGGTTCTTGACGCGGAAGTGCTAGGCAAATGCTTGGAGAAATGTGGACGTGAGAATCTAAGTTTAGGTCTTGAGGAATATCAGAGGATAAGACTGCATGTTGTTTCTGAGCAAGTCTTGTATGCGAGGCGTTTGGGGCGTATCAAGCAAGGTCTGGATAGTAGTGGAGGTTTAGGATTGGAACAGAAACACATGCCATTCTTTGCTAGTGCTCCTCTTGTCTAGTGATAATATTTGGATGTTGCATGTTATTGAGTGATTGTGTTAATGAGAAAGGTGCAACATAAACATTGACAATGTATAAAGGATACTTGGAAATACAAGATATATAAAACTGATAGGATTTAAGAAAACAGTTTTATGTTTACAGACAGGTCTAAGAAGGCTGAAGCTACAAACAAAAAGAAAAAAAAAATGTTTGTAATATAGTTATTAGAAAGAGAGAAAAAGGTTTGCGTCTGCCGGGAGTCGAACCCCGGGTCTATTGCTTGGAAGGCAATTATCCTAACCGTTGGACTACAGACGCTTTTGTTTAACGAAAGCAAATGACATTATTTAGATTTGTTACTAACGACGTACTCGAATACTAACGACTTGCTTTGCTGTATAATGTCAAGACTCAAGACTACTTCAGTCCAAATCTAATTCTTATATAAGACGTCAAGACTTTAGTTCAGTTCTAAGTTCTAACATATACATCCCAAGTTTCCACTTAAGCTATCTCAGCTCTCTAACATGCGTATGACTTGTGTGGTCATGTAACTATGATGAGACAAATTGAGGCTAAATTCAAGCCTGACAGAAAAATTCCAAAGAGCATTGAGTCGGGAAAATGCAGAAGGGGAAAACTGAAGAAGATGCCACGGGAAGATAACGCTTTTGTGGGACCCGAAATCTTTTGTCTACAGTGTAATATTCATATTTTTGCCATTATCGATAGTATATACAAACAACGTTGCTGATGTTGATCCATCCAAGATCCACAATATTCCTCGTCTAACCAAAAGGGACCATCGATATACATTATGTAACATGCATGTAAAGTAGATTACTTGTAGCTGATACACTTGGATAACTTGTAATTTTCTCCCAGCTTAGTCATGAGTCTATAGTCTATAGACTCTATTTAACCGTGAGTTAGGACCATTTTAGTTAGCAAAAGAAAAAGTAAGGACCATTCTATTATCCCAAGCATGCATTAATAATGAGTCTATGTATAGATTTTGTTTGAATTTGAAATTATACCAAGTATTTCAAGTTGATCATGGTGCGGTGGCCCTTCGTAATTAGTCTATTACTATACTAATGCACACTGCTCTTTGAATTGCTTTGTTAGTGATATAGTTGGCTTTTTAAGCTTCTCTTTTACGTCTTAGTTACGTTGAATAGTATAATAAGGTCAAACCTTAAATCGCTGAGATTTAGCATGCACTAAATCATGATCTACCGCTTAATACACTACCATGCGCATACATTTCTGAATATTATAATGTTGTGTAAATCATAAAAAAAAAACAAACCTAAAGTTAAATGATTCATAATATGTTGCTTTGAAAAAAGATGCCTTCACACAATTATATTCCAACCTCAAAGGAGATCATAGGGGAAGTGGAGGTCGGCTGCATTAGTTGACATTTAACGAAGGAGTGGTCATTACAATTTTCCACATCTCTACTTTTTATATGTGTTTGTTACAATCCTCATTAACTATTCTTGTATACTCCCTCCGTTTCAAATTAGTTGTCGTTTTGACAAAATGTATCTGTAAATATTTGGACGTATCTGGACGTGTTTTGCATTGCAGATACGTCCAAATATTTGCAGGTACATTTTGCCAAAACGATAAATAATTTGAAACGAAGAGAGTATATCACACTCTAGCCATCCCCCAAACCAAAGTGTAGAAGTTGTTTGTTATCTTTGATCCTTTTTTGTAATCTTTCTTTTGCACGAAAACGAAGCCAATTCTTACTTTTATTTTGGATGTTTCTTCAACAAAATTGTTGACAACCGTTTCCTTCTTGCTCAAGCTCTGATTAGTTGTGAAAAAAGGCCAACTTCATTTCACCTTTTTAAATGATCCTCCACGAATACTGATGATGGAAAATAAGGTCAGAAGGCCAAATAGACCTTTTTTAAAGCAAGAGATGTTAATTATTAGGCATTTAATTAATAACATGAGTCTTCTATTTCTACTTTCTTGACCGCAACAAACTTTCGGTAGAAGATTAATTATAAAAAGGTTTATAAATTGTACGATATATTGTGATGATCGTATTTCAAGTATTTTAGCTTGTTAACGACATATAGCCGATAATCAATGTTTTTGTTGTTGTAATAGTATACACCACTACGTACACACAACATAATGCAATTATATTTGCATATTTTGTCAACCAAAAAAAACTGCATATTGCATTATCAAGATATGTTGCTTTGGACAAGCAGAGCACCATAGTAATAAATTCTAAGCATAATATTAATCACACTACTTGATTGCATCATCGCATGCATAAGAAATTCTGACAGTATTTATTCTTTTGCAGTAACTAAATATTTACATTATTTTTTAGCATAAATTCCTCCTGGTATTTTTTGCATATAATATTTTGGTCACTATTTTGGTAAAGCCAAGCCACGGAATGCAAAAGAATTGCGTAAATGACATTTATAGTAGAAAATGTAGTCATTAATCGTAGAAAAAAACAGTTTGACTACTAGAAAAGAATCTATGGCAAAGATTTTTTCAGTAGTTAAATTTAATATCTGCACCATTTTCCCCCTCTTAGACCTACTCTACTCCCCCTACAGTCCTACACATCTACTCTCTCTCTCTCTCTCTCTACCCAAACAACAAGAAGATGAAAAACTCATAAAACCCATTACTTATTATAGGCATTGAAAAACACACAAAAATCCTTTCCTTTTCTCTCACGCCTTCTCTCTCTTTCTCTCAAGCATTTACACCTCATCTTTGTTCCTACACGGTCTTTATACAACTTGGTTTCTTGGTTTTTCCCGATAAACATTAACAGAAGACCCTAAAACAAGACACTCCTAAGGTGCGTGTGATCGTCAGAGAAAGATAGAGACAGCTTCTTTCTTCTTCCTTCTTCTCTTTTTCTTACTTATCTATCTTACTAAATCGACACATGGGGACATGTAGAGAAGCAGAGTATAGTCAAATCTTCGTTCCTGGTCCGATCATCGTTGGTGCCGGTCCGTCCGGTTTATCCGTAGCGGCTTGTTTGTCAAACCGGGGCGTACCATCGGTAATCCTTGAGAGAACCGATTGTTTGGCTTCTCTATGGCAAAAACGAACCTACGACCGTCTCAAACTCCATCTCCCTAAACACTTTTGCGAGCTTCCTCTTATGCCTTTCCCTACAAACTTCCCAAAATACCCCTCCAAGCAACAGTTCATCTCCTACGTTGAGTCTTACGCAGCCCGGTTTAATATCAAACCGATATTCAACCAAACCGTCGAGAAAGCCGAGTTCGATGTCAAGTCTGGTCTGTGGAATGTGAAGACGCAAGACGGTGTGTACACGTCCACGTGGCTGGTGGTGGCCACAGGGGAAAACGCTGAACCGGTAGTTCCGGATATATCCGGTTTGCAGAAGTTTAATGGACCGGTTGTTCATACCAGTGCGTACAAGTCCGGTTCGGAGTTTGCAAACCGGAAGGTTTTGGTGGTGGGTTGTGGTAATTCCGGTATGGAGGTCTGTTTGGATCTATGTAGATACAATGCTCTGCCTCATATGGTCGTTAGAAACTCCGTAAGTGGCTAAATAATTATTCTCATTATCAAAAGCTTACGAAATAATTGGATTATGCTGAACTAACCGGGTCTAATTACTTTAAATTAAAATAATGAACGCAGGTACATGTGTTACCAAGAGAGTTTTTTGGTCTATCGATTTTTGGAATAGCAATGACACTACTCAAATGGTTCCCTCTAAAGCTGGTGGACAGTTTTCTCCTACTTCTTGCTAATTTAACGTTGGGCAATACCGACCGGTTAGGCCTCCGAAGACCTAAAACCGGACCAATTGAGCTCAAGAACTTCACCGGGAAAACTCCCGTTCTTGATGTCGGCGCCATATCTTTGATCCAATCCGGACAAATTAGAGTAAGTTCATAATATGATAATACTATAATTAATTGCGTGCGTTTGTACTTTGTTTCTGACTGATTTTTATGAGTTTTATTGAATTTTACTTAAACACTGATGATTTGTCTTGTGGTTATTAGGTGACGCAAGCAGTGAAAGAAATTACGAGGAACGGAGCAAAGTTTGTGGACGGGAAAGAAATGGAATTCGAATCGATAATATTAGCGACCGGGTATAAGAGCAATGTGCCCGATTGGCTCAAGGTACTTAAAACCATACATATTAATCATTCTTTCTCACTAGCTCGTCTATATATGTTACACATATACGCATGCAATGCAATTGAAAAAAGCTCGTTTTCAAGAATAACGGTGATGGTGATGGTAAAATGATAAGGATAAGCATATATTGATGATATAAACACACACGGAAATAACGTACATAGGCTATAAATAATAATAGTAGTTTCTAGTGTTATCATTTAGCGAATCATCCATCGCTTTCTATGATATGGACATAACACATGTAACAAAGGGAACAACACTCCAAAACTCTTCTTTTCTCCATGCAAAATGGAATAAAACCTTTTTCAATATTTTAAATTCCCCAAAATTACGACAAACAAATTCTCGATGTCATCTTGTTTTCTTTGTCTCCTCTCCCTGTTTATGTTTTTTTTTATAGAAAAAGCAATCTGATCCTTTGAATTTTGCAGGACAACAGTTTTTTCACAGACGAAGGAATGCCAAAAACACCGTTTCCTAACGGATGGAAAGGGGAGAATGGACTTTACACGGTGGGTTTCACGAGAAGAGGACTCTTGGGAACGGCCTTTGACGCCGTTAAGATCGCAGAGGATATAACAGATCAATGGATGAAATTTAACGGTCCCTTGGGTCGCATTAATATTTGTAGTTCCCATATTATCCACCTTCATTTCAATAAATCATGATAATTCTTCGGCTGTTTTTTTTTCATGTTCTTGTTCTCATTTTTGACTTGTCTCTCTTTCTTCATGGTCTATTCCCTAATAATTTAGTTTGTATTCTGTTTTTAATAAATACGTAGTAGATTCCCTGATTTTCCAGCTATCACATGTTGTAAATTTGGGTACTTTTTGCACCTTTCGTTGTAAATATATACATTTCATGTCCTGTTCTCTAACTTTTGGTGCAACTTAGATAACCAGAAGTATCTTGTAATATGTGCTTCGATATATGAATACCGAACAACATCAAGCACAGTTATTGATTCTACATTGTTGAGTCACTGTGTGTAGTATCAACTCAATTTTGTCCTTGGATATTGCATGTAGTCCAGTCCTCAATGACTTTGATTGGTTAAATCAGTTTCACTCTATCTTAATCAGTCTGAGCTGTAATCGTGACATACAAAAAAATCTGATATGGTTCAACCCGACTAGCCTCACAATTTATTTTGTTTGCTGCATCGAATTTTATTACTAAATCATTATTAGAAAAAATAATGGAAATATAGGTTTATGATTTGGTCATCATTTTGACATATGGATAGACTGTGACTGAGTGATGAGATGACTTCAACATCAATATCAATCGGTAATTTAATTATTTTGCCAAGTTGTCCTCAGTATGTAAGTGTAAACCTAAAAAGTTGGTCAATATTATTCAGTTATATGAAATTTACATGAATTATAAATCAAAATAATTTATCAGTTGTCCACGAGGACGACAATGATGGAGCTCTGACAGATTTTGGATCATCTCGTACGAGAACTATCAGACAAGATTTTCTCCAAAACTTTTTAAATGCTTACGTCATTAATATTCAGCAAAAATATGCACGTATATATAAATGTGTGTATGTAACTATGTATATACACCTATAAGCAAAAATCGTAGTATTTGCCTTACATCATATCACCAGATGGGTTAAATTTTAGTTAGAAGCAACATTTAATGAGAAAAGATTGATAGTTTTCTTTGGGAAAGATTTTGAAAGTTGTGATGATTATTAAATGATAGTTTCACAAAGTCAAGTCTAGATAGTGGGTTTCAAATGTTAGCAGAAGATTCCGGAAAATTAATTACTGTAGTAATTTTAGTAGGTTTTACTCAGTTTCCAGTATTGTTTCCGCATATTTTTTTTTGAAAAATTAGTTGACGAATTACAAAATCTGTTTGTTTAAAAAAACAAATAAAAACGATCCGTTGTTAGCTTAATTAAACTTTCATCCAAGTACTGTACACTCAATCTCTGTTTATTGGTTGACCAAATTAATTAGCACATCCGTTTTCAACCCTTCTAAATTCCTTTTCGCTACCTTTACACCTTTTCTTCATTCACCTCAAATTTGAATCCCGAACTTGGGTAGTGATGATTTGATGATGATAGATGATATATGATTGAGAACCTCGATTCCAAAACCAAAACATTTATATGATTGAGACCATCTCTACTTCCAATGCCCATTCAGTTGGGAAATCTGGAGATCTATTGCAAGACGCATCAATCTCCAACCTGCTTGCATGTGGATAGATTCATTAGCTCAAATGATCTCTCTATTTGTAGGTAAACTCGGGAACATGCTTATACTGTTAGCTTGGCAGACGACGATTTACTGAATTTGGCATGAAAGAAATGGGAGACTTCATCGGCAAATCTTCAACTCAGGTGACTCTATTATTGTCTTGATAGATCGTCAGATCAAGGCACGAATTGCTAGCTTTAGAGGCCAAAACGCTTTGATGGCTTCAAGACTTCTGCAACTATGGCTCTCAACTGACTGTCGGTGATGAAGACTCGTGAATCGGAGAAGACTGATCGGATTCCTCGTCATCATCACTCTATTGTCAACATCTGCACTTGGGCTCCCCTGGTTACCTTTTCTATTGTATAATTTCTAAAAAGTTCATCTAGGCTTTTTATATTACACTATAGCCTTGGGCTTGTAATCTTTTTTCTTTTCTTTTTGCAATTAAATATGAAAGCCAGTTCTCAAAAAAAAAAACAAAAACATTTATAGGAAAAAAAAAAAAACTTGGAATAACAATAAGAAGACGAAGAGAGTGGGCCCAAATGTGAAGAAATCTCAGTGGTATGTTGCTTTTAAGAGCAGCTTGACCTTCGCTGACAATATTGACATTGTATAACAAAACAACATTTTAAAAACCTAATAAGAGTTCATGTCATCATCCTCTGTGTTTATTACGTAGGCTTGATACGAGAGGGACCTTTCACTATCCCTACCTCTTTTGATTCCCTCTGCCTTCTCTTGTTTTTCTTTTTGTTTATTTATTCACCATTTTATTTTGTCTCTTTTTAAGTTTTAGCAATGTTTTTGTTTTGTTCGCTATAGTTTTCGGTCCAAATGTTTACATGTCGAATTTACATTTTGCACTTATATGACAAGTCTATGTAAGCGAGATATACGACACGTGATCGAGTTTTAGCAGGATCCGATCTTATTATACACACACAAACATTTGTAGAGGTAGAGTTGAAAAGAGTCGTTAACTTCATAAGTTCTGTTTTCGATGTCTAAATGGGCCATTACAAGCCTGTTATAGGCCCATTTATGGATTTGAGGATTGAAGTGGGTACTCTGTTCTCACTTAACATCCCCTGCATCTCCTCCATCTCGTTCGTTTAGATCATCTACCAACTTCTCGTCTTCACGAGCAGCATTTCTGTGCGATCCACGCATCTTCACGAGCTTCCTAGGGTTTCTGCAACCCTTCAACACATCAGACATTGCTTCTGCTCTATGCAATATAGACTTCTTTCTATCTCTATCAAGCGGCGCATCAACCACTTCCCTGTACGTATCTGGCAGCTTCCTCGAGTGAGGAGGAAGAGACGACACTACACTGGACAGTCTCTTCGCCATCTCGATCAACCCTTTCGTTCTCAGCCCGTCATCGATCATCTTGAACGTGATGTACTGTGGAATAATCCCTCTCCTCACCGCGTTCTCAAACTCTTCCAACGCTTCTTCCAACATGTCGAGCCTGCACAGCAAATGCATCATCATCGTCGTCGTCAACAAGTCCGGATCGATTCCTCTGTTCTTCATCTCCTTGTTCACTTGCATCGCCAAGCTCAGCTTCCCATCTTCACAAATCATTTTCAAGATCAAATGGTACGTAAACCGGTCCAGGCTATGTCCAGCTTCGATCAGCTTGAAGTACAAGTTCATGCCTTCTTCCGTTTTGTTATGCTTTGAGAAGAACTTGAAGAAATGGTTGTACGTCCTCGGTGTAGGATCAACGCCACGGTTCATCATCATCTTGAGAATCTTGCTAGCTCCGGTTAAATCTCCGGCCTTGCAGAAATTCTTCACCAGTGAATTGTAAGTCACTATGGTAGGACCTGATTCGCAGACGAAGAACCTCTCCATCATACCTAGAGCTTCTTGTAACCTCCCGGATTCTCCTAAACCGTCGATGATCGGGTTAAAGACCATAAAACTGAGCTCCATCTCCGCCATCTTCATTTCTTCGAGAACCTCCATAGCGATCTCGACACGACGCATCCTGCAGTATCCTTCTATGAGAGTACCGTAAGTGACGACCGTCGGTTTCACATTCATCGCTTTCATCTCCGCCCATAGATTCTCCGCGTGCTTGAGTTTTCTCGAGCGAAACCATCCGTTTAATAAAATGTTGAAAATCCGAACAGAGGGAACAAAATCTGAATCCATCCTTCGTCTTCTCTCCAAGTACATCGAAGCCTCTCTGACATTTCCTTCTTTGCAAAGAGCATCTAACAAAATCTCAAGCAATTTAAGTTCCGAAGCTGATTTAGAAACCGGATCGTAGCTTTTACCGAATTCAAAAGCTCGTATAGCTTGCTGCACCATACGTGCACGAGCATACCGTCTGATCAAAACGACGAATGTATCTGCAGAAACCAAATCCGATCCTCCATCGCTTCTCACCCGATCAAAAACCAACGACCAGGCGATCTCAAACTCACGAGCTTTACACAAAGCGTTGATTACAGAGTTAAATAGTGAAGGAGAAGGTGTGAATCCGGGTTTCGTCTCGGCCCATTTGAATACGGAGTGGAGGAGAATCGGCGATGAACTTAACCGATCGAACAGCGCCTGAACCAACTGGATGCTCGGTTCGATTCCGGTTTGATCCAGAGCGGACTCGAGAGTTGGGCCGGGAACAATGTTCGGGTTTTCGAGAAGATTCGATATGGTGGAGATATCGGTCGGTGAGAAATCGGGGAGGGCGATTTGATGCGGTGGAGTACATGAAGAATCGGGCGCGGCGGGTGACTGTAACCGTTGGATGAATGGCTCGACGGGAATGGGCGGCCATGAAGGGCGAGATGATAAGAGTTTGTGAAGAAGGAAGTGATAATGAGGATTAGGGTTTAAGGGAAGGATCCGGCGGAAGGAGATGAACAGAGAGTTCATTTTCTGCCGCCGTTATGAGTTAAGTGGCCGCCGAGCAATTAAGAGAGACCTGGCGCGTCCGATTACGCGGCTACGCGCCATTATTTTGTTGTTCTTCTACTGCAATGGGGCTAGCTTGGGCCAATCCAACTTTTTATCGCTTATATTTAAAAACAAGACCGGCCCAAATAATATAATTTTCAAATATTTATCTATTAATGTTTCTACAAATCAAATTTAGTTCAAATGCGTATGAGACAATGAGTTAATCGGTTTGTTTTATTTATTTATTTACAAAAGTATTTGTAACCTTGTATAAGCCATAGTCGATGAATTTTTCTGATTTTTTTTGAAATATGAAAAAAAAAATATATATATATATATATATATATATATATATATCGGATAGAGACATGTACCCGATTGTTTATATTTAGTTTTGTTTTTCCAAAACCGCGATACAATTTTGTTGTTTCCTTTAAGTTATGTTGTCATTCTATAATTTCATTTACTTTTCAGTTATATCTTTTACTTTATTTCATCTTTTTATTAACGTCATATCTAATGAACGTATATCTATCTATTAAAAAATAATAATAATATGCTGACCCGTGTCAAAATCGCAATACAATTTTGTTGTTGTTTTGTTTAAATTATAATGTCATTCTCTATTTTTTAATTTAATTTTATAGTTATACCCTTTTACTTCTTTCTCATATTTTTATTAACAGAGTATCTTATGAGTGGATATCTATTTATTTAAAAGTTTCTTAATATGTAGACACATGTCAAAACGACATTAACGTTATTAATGAACTCCGTGTCACAAAACATGTTCAAAATTGATAATATGCGTTTGTGAGTTGTAGGCGACAAAAATATATTAGAGAAATAAAACAAATAGTTTAATGTTCTCAAATTAGTAGAAATGCATTTTTTACCAATTATAATTGAAACTAATTTCTATATGTACACACAATTTCTTATGAAATTATTGACAAAATGCAAGTAATGTAAATATTGTTTCCCTTCCATTCCTTTTCAAAATTATTCAGTTTAGTCTTCCCTTTAAAAGAGATAATAACACATAAATACTATTGACCAAAATATATTCAATTTAATCAAAACAAAATAGCTGGTGAAAGAAATGTACATATTTAACCCTTTGCTCATAAAAAACAAATGTGCATACATTTAGTGGTACACTCTAATATTTGTAGTTTTCTTGGGTTTAGATACTAAGTCTTAAGATCGAATTTGCCAACTGTTTACAACGGACGAGACCGATTCATTAAACTGTTCGTGCAATGATCATAATGTAGAATTATCGTTGTTTGTCACTCTGTCAGGTGCATATACCATCTTTTGAAAATGAATAATTTTTAGAGAGCTACACATTTGCATTTTTGGTTGACTGGTGTATTCTTATCATTAATTTTGGGTCAACAGACTGGTATTGTGATTTGTATATTTTAATAACCTCAATATATATCTATAATTTTAATTTATAGGAAACAAATATTATACAGTTGCGCTGTTCCACGTATATAGTAACGAAGACCAAGTTATAGAAAACATTCTAGCAAGATTTTCCCAGAGAAAGAAGATTTTCCCAAAAAAGCCAAGAATATTTTTTATTAAAATCGCATTTTTGTCTAAATAGAAAGTTTATTTCTGATTTTCTTTAATCCAGAAAATCCGAATTTCAAACAGTACCTTTCACTGAGTCGCTTCCCCCGCTCCTCTCCGCTCTCTCTCCCCACCTACACATATTTCAACACTCTCTCTCTCTACTGTCACCCATTTTCGTTGCTGCTTCTCTCTCTCTCTCCGTTGCCTTCTCTATTCTCATCTGTCATCTGTGAGCTTCTCTCGACCGCCATTGGAGGTCGTTCGTAAATTTATAAATCCAATTTCTGAGCCCAGGTATTATCAATTTATCCCGTCTCGTCTGTTTCCGGTTTTTTTTGGATTTCCCTATTTTCTGAGTTTTTCATTTTCTGTTTCCGGAATCGTAGCTTGTTTCTCTTCGTTTTGATCGATCGGACTTGATCATAGTTTGGGTTTTAGGCTCGTCGATCTCTCTGGCGATTTTTTTTTTTGCCTTCGATTGAGATCGCTCCTCTTTGTTGTTTCCGCTTGGATTAGCGTTTCTCTATTTTCTCTTCACGCATGGGTAATCTCTCTGGAAATTGAAATTGTATAGATCGTACCTCTTTGTTTATCTGGATTTTCTGAAACGTCTCTGTACTCAATAGCTCCGGTCATCTTAAGTATTTGCTATTGTACTTGTGAAGAACAATGATTAATTACATCGGTTTCGAATGATTAGCTTGAAAATTGGATTCTCCGATGAAGAATTAGGCGAAGGAAACATGATAATTGGTTGTAATTAGCTAGCTCGCTCGAGCTGACATCACTCAATAGTTAGAATCGAGTGAAATTGAGTCGTTTCATTTTGCATTATATGCTTGTTTCTTCCTGAAATTTTGTGCTGCATTTGCAAGCTGATTAGTCTTCTTGATGGAGGCTAAGAGAAATTATTGGATAGAAATATTGAGTATGACCTGTTTGTTCTGCAGGCTTGGCTTTCTCAGAGTAAATTATGTATTGCTGCTCGTCTTCGATGCATCCAACTTCAAACAAAGAAAACGTCTCTACTTCAGATGTTCAAGAGAATTTTGTACGAGTTACGAGATCACGAGCTAAGAAGACCTTGGCAGGAGTATCAATACCTCCAACAAAACCTTCTTTTAAACAGGTACTGAAACGTGTTCTTATAAAATTTCATAAACGAATTGCAGCATCTGATGCCAAAAATCTCTAATCTTCCTGCATCTGGTGTATCAGCAGAAGAGACGTGCGGTACTCAAGGATGTGAGTAATAATACTTCTGCGGATAATATTTATTCAGAGCTCTTGGGAGGAGGCAACGTTAAGGTAAAGATTTCAGATGCTGGTTTTCGTTTTCTTCGTTTGTGTATATATCTTATGTTGGTTATAGCCTTCAAACTTCCCTTTTGAGCTTCTTATTGTTGACATCACGTTACAGATTAGCAGAAAATGTCTCAAGGAGACTAAAAAATCAGCAAAAGAAGGTGCTAATGTTGCCATGGAAGTTCTGGTAGATTTGCATAAAGAAAAGTCAAAACTAGCAGAAGATTTGTCCAAGATCAGGATGGCTGAATCCCAAGATGCCTCTCTTTCTATTTCCAAAGATGAAGAAATTACTGAGCAACGTAAGAACTGCAGTGTGCTGTTAAGAGTTGAAGCAAGCAAAGTCTATTTTCATATTTGTATATTTCTCTGAACTCACTCAAGGTTTGTATCGTTTACTGGATTGTGCAGAAGAAGACGGATCTTGTGTCATGGATGTCCTTCAAGTTGTAGATATTGATTCCAATGTCGAAGATCCCCAGTGTTGCAGCCTTTATGCTGCTGATATATACGACAACATTCATGTTGCAGAGGTTTACATCTTTCCACAATCAACTTCTTGTAAATAATCTCCATATAAAGACTGGAGTATAACTTATCTTTTTCCTGCAGCTTCAACAACGACCATTGGCTAATTATATGGAGCTTGTGCAGCGAGATATCGACCCAGACATGAGAAAGATTCTGATTGACTGGCTTGTAGAGGTTAGTTTCCTTTAAACTTAGCACATATATATAATAATATAAACCTTATCATGTTTCTTATTGAACAGGATACTAAACATTCCTGCTCATAGCTTGCTTCAAAAATTTCGAGCACAAACTGAGAATACTTTTCCAAGCGTTCTGAGTAACATTATTCACTGCGTGATAATTTTTTCCAGGTTTCTGAAGACTACAAGCTGGTTCCAGATACGCTTTATCTTACAGTGAATCTTATTGATCGGTTTCTGTCAAACAGAAGCATTGAAAGGCATAGACTCCAGCTCCTTGGTGTCTCTTGCATGCTTATAGCTTCGTAAGTCTCAACTTTGTTGCTTTTTGCTTTTTATTAATGTCTCTATCCAGGTTATAATAGTGTGATTCTATTAAATAGCATTTACATCACAAGGAGAGAAACACTAAGACTCTTTCTTGCTTGTACTCTTTTTCGTTGAACCATCAAGAAAATACGAAGAGCTTTGCGCACCACGGGTGGAGGAGTTCTGCTTTATTACGGCCAATACATACACAAGACCAGAAGTAATTAAGATTCAAATTACAGATATCTCAGTGTCTTCGATGTGTATAAATTCTTGATGAAGTAAACATACTAGAAAATGTGTTTCAGGTGCTGAGCATGGAGGTTCAAGTCCTAAATATTGTGCACTTTAAATTATCGGTTCCTACTACCAAAACCTTTCTGAGGTTAACACTATGAATCATCACATCTTCTCAACTTAGTTTCATAATAGCATACCACTCATTTTTCATCTTACCTCAACACCATGTTTTTCAGGCGGTTCATTAGAGCAGCACAAGCTTCTTACAAGGTTTTAAGCAGTGTGATCCATCCGCCACTTATTCTCTCTACTATGGAAACATGGAATCTGATTCTGTTCCTTCTCTCTTACAATTCATGCAGGTGCCTCTCATTGAACTGGAGTTATTGGCAAACTATCTGGCCGAGCTGACACTAGTGCAATATACTTTCCTAAGGTTCATGCCATCACTAATTGCTGCTGCAGCTGTTTTCCTAGCCAGATGGACACTCGACCAATCTGACCATCCTTGGGTCAGCTCATGTTTCCTGAATCTTGAAAAATGGGATTTTTTTGTTTGCAATTTTTTGTGTGCTGATAGAAGAATGCTGTTGGTTGCAGAACCCTACTCTGCAGCACTACACCAGATATGAGGTAGCCCAGCTGGAAAGCGCAGTACTCGCATTGGAGGATTTGCAGCTCAACACCAGTGGCTGCACCCTCGCTGCTACTCGCGAAAAATACAACCAACCTAAGGTAAGTTCCTCTAGACAGTTGAAAAACAAACTGGTGATTGTGAAGTGGTTCTAACTCCTACATGAATTTGATAGTTTAAGAGCGTGGCAAAGCTGACATCTCCTAAACGAGTCACATCACTTTTCTCAAGATGACACCAAGCATTGCCTTCTTCTGATTAAACCACCGGAAACTAAAGCATAACCAAGCTCAGACATTGGATTATATGGTCTCATTGACCAATTAGTTCCCAGTATTTCTTTTCTGGGATAGTTTTGTCTTGTCTGTTTTTTTTCTGTAGCTATTGTGTAGCACCTGGTGCTTTTAGATCATTTACTTAAATCACATTTAGGTTCCTTCTCCTTTGCCTTAAATAATTGTTATGGAATTCTGTAATCCCCATTTTTAGAAGTATTCATCACCTTGCGAGATTCTGTACCTAGGAGCTCTTGTAAAACGAATAGAGACAAAAGTTATAATGGTAATATAAATGATTCATGTTTCAAGGATTGTTATGTTGTTTGTTCTGATTTCATAATGGTATGTATATTCATATAGGCTTCTCGGTTCTGTAGGGAGCAGTTATAGAGGTGCATATATCAAGATACTGGAATTATGAATACTGCAAGCGAGATTATGATCTTCTTTTGGAACCTCCTCTGTTTATACGATACTCATTGAAATTTTTGTCTATGTGCTCTGATATTGAAAAGATACTGACTAATGAGCAAAGTCCCAGAGAATAAACAACTAACAAAACACGTAGGGTAAGTGAGAGCAGATAACACAGCGGACAATGCCATTTATCCTTTCTGGCGTTGGCAACAAAGACAAGTCACAAGCGCCGTACGAGTGTCAAGAAACTCACTTGAGCTTAGATTTTGCAGAGCTCATAAGAGGTTTAGCAATGGGACGAGCAGGAGCGGCCTTCTTGGCTTTATTCAAGTCATACTTAATCATAGAGAAAGCGCAGACCATCGCAAACACCATGGTTGGGTACACATACACGGTTCTCGATGGGTCGGTATTCACTGGCTTCCGTAAGATCCCTTCTTTGACAAGACCCCAAACTAGTAGCAATGACCCAAACATGCTCATCCTACCTGGCTTTAGCAAACCCACAAACGCCCCAGCTACAGAAAAGTAGCTCCCTGCAAGAACCTGCCCAAAAATAAACCACTTGTGAGACTTTCAATGGGAAGAAGAATCAGGACACATGAATCAGTAAGAAAAAATCAGAACGTGAGAATGAAACTCTGTTAGGAGATCTGGGGATGGAAAAACCGAAACCTCTAGGCGCTGAAGATCGGGCACTGCAGATGCTTCTTTGACATTGGTGAGGTTATAGATATCTAAGACTCTATCCCATTTTGGAAACGTCATGTTCCTGGCAAGACCATTGAGAACAGCACCAGGGTATAAGAGAGCCTTGATCACCGGAACAGGAAAGATCTCACTAGCAATCAACTGAGAGGATGTCACATGGATAGGCGACATACACATACCAGATCTACATGGAACCCTGTTTTTAAGATTATGATTCAAGTCAGATTTACTAGAGAGACAACCAAGTAATGAAATGATCAATACAAGTATAAGAGTCCAATCTACGATCAAGTTCAAACCAAAAACTATTACTGCTTTTTTTTTCCAAGGTTCAGTTTTTGATTGAGCTATCTCTTGATTCAAGTCGACTAACCAACGAAAACGAGCTTTCAGTTTCTTAATCTAGCAAGAGATCCAGAAGTGTAGTTATAAATACATACTACAAAGTGACAAACTACGCGGAAACTTGGAAGTGAATCCAAAATCAAGTATTCATCAAACTCACGCCAAGAGAAATACTTATCGTATTGGACACATAGACGTATTTCGTTAATTAACGAAATCTAGGGTCTGAATTCCGCAGGTGAGAGTTAGTTTATAATCCATTTACCTGAAGAGAGGGATCTGGAGTATGATCAAGAGGAAGTAAATCCGTGAAGCCATTGACGTAAAGCTCATAATCCATCGCTTTCGTTGCGCTGGATTCGCCATTAACAAGCCGGAAAAATTAGAATCTAGAGAGAGAGCGAGATCAGTTTTCTTCTGTCGAGAGAGAGAGAGAGAGACAGAGTGGACCCGTTGTAACTAGACGATAACGACGAAGAAGAAAATAAATTTATACACTAGAAACAACACGCTTTGCTATATTGTATAAACAAAACAGCATGAGTTTTTAGCTCCTTGAGGTCGAGACGACGCCGTTTGGAGGATTTATTCGATTCATAACCCGTTTACTTGCTCTACTGAAAGCAGCAAACAGTTCGATGATAAAAGCTATGGCAGTTGCTCTATCTTCTTCCTCCGGCGTCGCCTTTCATCTTCATTCTCCGTCGTCAGGATTATCCGTCAACAGACTTCTGTTTCGTAATCGGAACTTCAATCCTTGCTGTCTATCTCTTCCAATTCATCGTCCTTCTCGCTCTGTACTTGTTTTTGCTCGTGGGAAGAACAGGAAGGGATTCGCATCTTCGTCGTCTTCGTCTCCGAAGAGAAATAAAAAGGTAAGCAAATGACACAACTCAAGAACATTTCTTTGTACCCCGGAGAAATTGAATTGCTTTCGCCGAATTTTTCTGGAACTTTGATACACTATGAGCAAAAATTCGCTTTTGATTGGTTTGGTTGCCTTGTCTCTTTTTGATATCGTATCAGCCTTCGATTTCATTGTTGTTGGCAGAAAATTTTTCAAGGAGATGATAACGGAGGAAGTGAGGAGGACGATCCATTTGAGGCATTGTTCAATCTATTGGAAGAGGATTTGAAAAACGATAAATCTTCGATAGATGATGAGGAGATAACCGAGGAAGAGCTAGATGCATTAGCAGCAGAGTTAGCTGAAGCATTAGGTGGCGGTGACGATGTTGATGGCATTGACTTGTTTGGTTCAGCTACTGGTGATGACGCTGATGAAGAAACGGATGACGAGGATGATGATGTTGTTGCTGATGGTGACGAAGAGGATGAGGAGGATGATGACAGCGAAGAAGATGAAAGACCCACAAAGCTCAAGAATTGGCAGCTTAGAAGATTGGCTTATGCATTGAAAGCTGGGCGCCGTAAAACTAGTGTAAGTTCCATTGTTGCTTGCCAAGTTCATTGTTGTATTAGCACTTCCCTTGAGCGAGTAAATCCTCTGATTCAAATGCATCATTGTGAAAAGGATGGTTTTTGTTGTGGTGGTGCAGATTAAGAATCTGGCGGCTGAGCTATGTCTTGAGAGGGCTTACGTTCTTGAATTGCTTCGTGACCCGCCTCCGAAGCTTTTAATGCTAAGTGCTACACTACCAGATGAAAAACCGCCGGTAGCAGCACCTGAAAACACCTCACCTGATCCAGTTCCTGTAGAATCGTCATCGGCTGAAGATGTTGTTGGGGTGGAAACTGAGGGAAAAGTAGAAGAAGGAGAAGCAGTACATGTGATGCAACAGAGATGGTCTGCTCAGAAAAGGGTGAAGAAAGCTCACATTGGAACACTAGAAAAAGTTTACAGACGATCAAAACGACCCACTGTAAGGGTTTTTCCTTTACATTTTTATCTATCCTCTGTGTTACTTGAATGAATGTTTGATTTCTGTTTATAGAATGCTGTAGTAAGCAGCATTGTTCAAGTTACCAATCTTCCAAGGAAGAAAGTTTTAAAGTGGTTCGAAGATAAAAGAGCAGAGGATGGAGTTCCAGAGAAGCGAGGTCCGTATCAAGCGTCGGTTTGATTTTTAATGTTACATTGAGATGAGCAATGAGCAGATTCGAACGGTGTTATGTTAGCTAAGTTTTTTAGGATTCTCCGATTTCAGTTCGTAATATGAATGTCTATCGTTGAACAAGTGTGTGACAAAGGCGTGCACATTTCGGTTTTGAATTTCTTTTGGTTTAAGTGATACTGAAAAGGAATTTGGTTCGGTTTGGTAATATTATTGATTTTTTTGTTTTAAGTTTTAACAACAGTATTATTTGATTTTCATGAAGCACAAAAGAAAATAAAATTACTTTTATATTTAAAAACTGTCCTATGTGTGGGCCATGTGGCAGAATGAAAGAAGTAGGGCCAAACTTTCTGTCGAGGACAGGCATGGGGTCCACGTATTCCTCTTTTCCTCACTTCCTTGTTCAATATTCACCGTAAGATCTGAATAGATCCGACGGTTCAGCTGCCCCCACGCTCCCATCTCATTTGCCTTTGGATCCTTGTATTTCCTCAAGGCTCATTTTCTTCCACGATTCACTCTCTAAAAACGTCCGATTCTCCTGAGATCTAACGGCTGCGACAACACTAAATCTATTCTTTCCCAAAATTACTCCGAGTTAGATTCTTCCCAGTTCTGTACAATCCTCTCAAGTCCCGCTCTTTTCTTTCCTCTTTATCCTCCTCCTCACCAGCTTCTGTAAATCATACAGTCTTATCTATCTTCAGAGGAGATTCGAAAAGTAAGAGAATGCAGGAACAAGCAACTAGCTCTCTAGCTGCAAGCTCTCTACCATCAAGCAGCGAGAGATCATCAAGCTCTGCTCCGCATTTAGAGATCAAAGAAGGTTAAGTTTTTTTTTCTTCAATTATTTTCATCTCCCTTGCTTGATCTCATTGATTTTCATCCTCATGCATTGGATATCAAGTGAATTATCATTTGTTTTCTCAATTGGGTGCGTAGAGTGTTTAGTCTGCCCGATAAAACTCTCGAGATCGAGAAGATCTGCAACTTCAAGTTTTGTGTTAAAAGTTTCGATATTTTCGCCTAAAGTCTTCTCCTTTTGCTTCCCGTCAGGACTAGAAAGCGACGAGGAGATACGGCGAGTACCGGAGTTCGGAGGAGAAGCTGCCGGAAAAGAAACCTCCGGTCGGGAGCCTGGATCGGGGACCGGTCAGGAGCGGACACAGACAACTGTCGGAGAAAGTCAAAGGAAGCGAGGGAGGAGTCCGGCGGAGAAAGAGACAAAGCGACTAAAGAGGTGTTCTTTTTCATCTTCACAAAATTTTACATTTTTACCCTTCATTAGCGTTAGACGTGAGAGTTGGTAATTATTTTGGCAAATAATGGTTGCGTGATGGGGTTGTTTGGTAAAAAGGTTGTTGAGGAATAGAGTTTCAGCACAGCAAGCAAGAGAGAGGAAGAAAGCTTACTTGGGCGAGTTGGAAAACAGAGTGAAAGACTTGGAGAACAAAAACTCTGAGCTTGAAGAGAGACTCTCCACTCTGCAGAACGAGAACCAGATGCTTAGACATGTACGTTTTTATCTATCTGACCATTGACTTTATTCTGAAAATGTCAATGATTGAACATTTGTTTTAAGATATTACACTGCTGGAAAAATGATGAATTAGCAAGCTTAGGATTCTTTAATGGTTCGTGGAATGCTCATTAACTGTGATCTGCCTAGTTTTGCTGTTCAAGTGCTGGAGAATGAGAATGCAAAGTTAGATGCTTTGAATTTGTGTGGTATTTATGGTTACCGAACAAGTTTTGAGTTGCTTTTTTTGGTGAATGCAGATTCTGAAGAACACAACAGGAAACAAGAGAGGAGGAGGTGGTTCTAACGCTGATGCAGGCCTTTAATCTTCTTCCTCTTGTTCTTTTTTTGCTATTTTTGTGGATAAAATTTTACAGGGAATTGTATTATTAAATAAGTATTTATATTGTATGGGTTGTGACTTGTGAGTTCTAAAACCGCAAAATTGTAGACCGAGTGTCTCTTGTAGCCTACAGATTTTCTTAATTCAAAAGCTAATATTGTTGTATTACATTACATGACTATTCAAACGCTACTTGTTCCTCTATGTGTAGTTGCTCTTGACCTCTTGTTGGAAATTTCGAGGAATCAGGCATGTGGAGAAAACCAGCAGCTAAACAACCTTTTTTAGCTACTAGTTTCAACTTGCAGCATTCTCAGTCAACATTGTCAATACGTTCAATATTCAATGTATATACGAAGCCTCTTTATAATTTCTTCTTCCACTAGCTCTCCTTAAAGCTCTGTGATTATTGATCTTCTTTCCATCGCATACTTACTAATTAATGGATTCTTCTTTTTTCCTTGCCACTGTTGCTGCTGCAATAGGATGCTTCACCCTTTTAAGAAAACGCAGATCCCATCAACAAGATAACAAGGAAAAGGATTCTTCTTCTTCATCACCTGCATCTTCTTTGTCTCCTTCAACAGCTCCTCCACATCCTTCTTCATCTCGCATCTGGACACATCATGTCTTTCCTAGCTTCCGTGGGGAAGATGTCCGCACAGGCTTTCTCAGTCACATTCAGATGGAGTTTCAGAGAAAAGGGATCACTCCGTTCATTGATAACGAGATCAAAAGAGGAGAATCCATCGGTCCCGAGCTCGTTCGAGCTATTAGAGGGTCTAAGATTGCAATTATCTTGATCTCAAGGAACTACGCTTCTTCAAAATGGTGTCTTGACGAGCTAGTTGAGATTATGAAGTCTAGAGAAGAGCTGGGTCAAATTGTGATGGCCATTTTCTACAAAGTGGATCCATCTGATGTGAAAAAGCTGACTGGAGATTTTGGGAAAGTCTTCAAAAAAACTTGTGCCGGCAAAACAAATGAAGACATTGGGAGATGGAGACAAGCTTTGGCAAGAGTGGCTACCATCGCTGGTTATCATTCAAGCAACTGGTTAGTCCAAGAAAAATCTTTCTTTTTTTTAGTATTTGTGTGAGTTTTGATTGAGTATTCTAATGGATGTATTGATTTCTTCCATTGTTAGGGATAATGAAGCTGCTATGATCAAGAAAATCGCTACTGATATTTCAAACATATTGAATTATTCTACATTGTCAAGAGATTTCGACGGGTTAGTTGGGATGAGAGCTCATTTGGAAAAGATGGAACCTTTGTTATGCTTAGAGTCAGATGAAGTGAGGATGATTGGGATTTGGGGTCCTTCTGGGATTGGGAAGACCACAATCGCCAGAGTTGCTTACAATCAACTCTGCAACAGCTTTCAACTGAGTGTCTTTATGGAGAATATCAAAGCAAATTACAAAAGGCCTTGTTCCGATGACTACAGCGCAAAGTTGCAACTTCAACAGCAGTTTATGTCTCAGATAACCAACCAGAAGGATATGGAGATTCCTCATTTAGGAGTTGCTCAAGATAGGTTGAAAGACAAGAAGGTTCTTGTGGTTCTTGATGGAGTGGACAACTTGGTACAACTAGAAGCGATGGCGAAAGAAACTTGGTGGTTTGGTCCCGGGAGCCGAATCATCATTACAGCACAAGATCAGAAGCTTTTTAGAGCACATGGGATTGACCATGTTTACAAGGTTGATTTTCCAGAGAGTGATGAGGCTCTTCAAATCTTTTGCATGTCTGCTTTCGGTCAAAAGTCTCCTAAACATGGTTTCCATGAGCTTGCTAGGGAGGTCACAGAACTTGCTGGTAAACTTCCTTTGGGGCTAAGAGTTATGGGTTCCTACTTCCGAGGAATGTCCAAGGAAGAGTGGGAAAAGTCACTACCAAGGTTAAAGACTAGCCTTGACGCCGATATTAGAAGCGTTTTGAAGTTCAGCTACGATGCTTTAGATGAGGAAGATCAATCTTTGTTTCTTCATATAGCCTGCCTTTTCAGCTTTGAAAAGATTCAGAAATTTGAAGAGCATCTTGCAAACAAGTTCTTGGATGTGAGGCAAAGACTCAACGTCTTAGCTGAGAAATCTCTCATATCTATCGGTGATGGATATATAAGGATGCATGCTTTGCTAGAGAAACTAGGTAGAGACATTGTTCGTAAACAATCTATTCACGAGCCTGGACAGCGCCAGTTTCTTCACGATAAGAGTGAAATTTGTGAAGTTCTGACTGGTGATGCAACAGTAAGTTTTGATGCTAAAAGCCTTTTTCCCTACATATTCTAGTTTATTTGATAACTGTCACAATCTCTACTTTTTGTTTATTTTCAGGGTAGTAAAAGTGTGATAGGCATAGAGTTGGACTACAACAAAATGGGGAAAGAATTAGACATAAGTGAGAAAGCCTTTGAAGGAATGTCTAATCTCCAGTTCCTAAGAGTCCGCGGTTCAGCTGGGAACACATTGCAACTATCGAGAGGTCTAAACTATCAATCTCATAAACTTGGATTACTACATTGGAGCTATTTCCCAATGACAAGTTTTCCCTCTACTGTGAACTTGGAGTTCCTTGTAGAGCTAATCATGGATCACAGCAAGCTTGAGAAGTTATGGGAAGGAATCAAAGTAAGTAATTTTGATTGTGTTTATGTGCTTTTTTAGTGGTTTTTTTTCTCATGTATTTCACTGCTAAATGGATGAAACAACCATGTTCTTGTTGTTTGTCTGTACAGCGGCTTCCAAGTCTCAAGTGGATGGATTTGAGTTATTCAGTAAACTTGAAGGAGCTTCCTGATCTCTCAACTGCCACTAACCTTGAGAAACTGTATCTGAATAAGTGCTCCAGCCTACTGAAGCTCCCTTCCACTAGTGGATATACCGATAATCTTGAGAAATTGGATCTTCGTAAGTGCTCGAGTATGATCAACCTCCCTTCCTCTATATGTAACGCCACTAAGCTCGAGAAACTATATCTTGGTGGATGCTCAAGCCTTGTGGAGTTGCCCTTCGTGATTATTGGAAATGCCATGAATCTACAAACTTTGGATCTTAGCGGTTTCCCAACTCTGGTGGAGCTCCCTTGCTCAATTGGGGATGCCACAAATCTAAAGCAACTGGAACTTAATGAGTGCTCAAATCTGGTGGAACTTCCTTTTTCCATTGGAAAGCTTAAGAAGTTGTGGAGATTAGGTTTAAAAGGATGCTCTAAGCTAGTGAATCTTCCCACCAACATCAACTTGGAGTCTTTGGATGTACTTGATCTCCAAGATTGCTCTATGTTGAAAAGCTTTCCTGCTATCTCCACAAACATTAGAGCTCTCGTTCTCATAGGAACTGCGATAAAAGAAGTGCCTCTTTCGATCAAGTCATGGCCTCGTCTGGAGACGTTGGAGATGTCATACTTTGAAAACCTCAAGGAACTCCCGCATGTTCTTGAAAGAATCACATTTCTGCAACTGAGCGATGAAGAGATACAAGAGCTTCCTCTGTGGGTCAAGAAAATGTCTCGTCTGAATGAATTCGTGCTCAGGGGATGCCGAAACTTGGTATCGCTCCCACCGATCAGGGAGTCACTCGATTTCTTAAATGCAAGAGACTGCGAGTCCCTGGAGAAACTAGAGTGCTCTTTTCACAATCCAAACGTTTGGCTCAACTTTGCCAACTGCTTCAAACTGAATCAAGAAGCGAGAGACCTCGTCATCAAGAACAGTGAAAATGCGGTCATACCCGGTAAACAAGTGCCTGAATACTTCACTCACCGAGCTATCAGTGGGGATTCGCTGACGATTAAGGTGAACATAAGACCTCCTCTTCCTCCTAAACCCATTAGATTTAAAGCTTGCGTCTTGCTGGTTCCGGTTAATGAAGGTGAAGGTGACGGTGACGATGGCTGTGACGATGACGATGACGAGGAGGCTCGCTATGAAAAGACAACGAGGGAAGTGGTTTTTGTGAATAGAAGTCACGAGCATATCCTATATCCGCCTTTAGCAGAGCATCTGTACACATTCCGAGTCGAAGCAGAGGTGACTTCCAGTTCCAGCGAGCTTCTCTTTGAGTTCAAGATGAAACACGATGACCTGTGGAAGATAGGAGAATGCGGGATAGTTCAGTTTCATGTTGATGAAGACGATGAGAGCTTGGGCGTTGGCCATGGTGGAAGTGAAACATTATGAAATAATGATTCCTCTGTTTTCGTTCTTCTTTTCCGAAATGTTGTCAGGGGTAGAGTTAGAAATTCAGAAAAAACAATAAGTTACTAACTGGGAGAAGAGAGCCCTAGATTTAGCTCATTTCCGCTTAAACCCTGAATTCGCTTTCTCTCAGTCAGGTTTATGCCTTTTCTTGTTGCTTAATTTGTGGTCGACACATCTCAATCGATCCCCACCAGCAGCTCGAACAGTAACATACATACATCTTCACGAACAAGAGAGAGGGAAAAAGCTTACTAGAGTGAGTTGGAAAATGCTCGTTGCTCGATCACAGACAAGTCAATGATGGTGATGTGATGTTCATCAATGGGCTTTTATCTGCTCATCGGACAATGATGGTTGATTTTTAAGATCTCAGCTCGAGGGATGAACAACCTTGTAACTTGTAAGTACATTTTGACACTTTTGCGTACCTTTTTCAAATCAGTTTTTTATTTTATTTTTATCACTGATTCCTTGAAATATTATTGCTTGTGTTCGTATGATTCTACATTCTTTCCTTTTAATTACTGTTTTCTTACAAACAAAAAAAAAGTTTGGTGTTTTCTATTTCCAAGCTTTCTCTCTTTGCTAGTTGCTCTTGTAGGACCTCTTTATTACTGTTGTTGTTCTTGTAATTTTCTGTGAGGAAAAATATCAAGGAATTAGGTGTATGGAGAAAACCAGCAGCTAATCCACCTTTTTTTCAACATTTCGAGTAAACGGAGTCAACGTTGTGTGTTCAATTATTTGCATACAAAGCCTCTATAGTTTCTCACTCCACACAGCTCCCTTTACGGCTCTGTATGTAATACTGATCCTCTTTACATCATACATACACACTAATGGATTCTTCTTTTTTCCTTGCCACTGTTGCTGCTGCAATAGGATGCTTCACCCTTTTCAGAAAACTCAGTTTCCATCAACAAGATAACAAGGACAAGGATTCTTCTTCATCACCTTCATCTTCTTTGTCTCCTTTAACAGCGCCTCCACCTTCTTCATCTCGCATCTGGACACATCATGTCTTTCCTAGCTTCCGTGGGGAAGATGTCCGCAGAGGCTTTCTCAGTCATATTCAGATGGAGTTTCAGAGAAACGGAATCACTCCCTTCATTGATAATGAGATCAAAAGAGGAGAATCCATCGGTCCTGAGCTCGTTCGAGCTATTAAAGGGTCTAAGATTGCAATTATCTTGATCTCAAGGAACTACGCTTCCTCAAAATGGTGTCTTGACGAGCTGGTCGAGATTATGAAGTCCAGAGAAGAGCTGGGTCAAACAGTGATGGCCATTTTTTATAAAGTGGATCCTTCTGATGTCAAAAAGCTGACTGGAGATTTTGGGAAAGTCTTCAAAAAAACTTGTGCTGGTAAGACAAAGGAAGACATTGGGAGATGGAGACAAGCTTTGGCAAAAGTGGCAACAATCGCTGGTTATCATTCAAGCAACTGGTTAGTCCATTTGATTCCCATTTGCTCTTAAACTATGTATATATGTAGCTTTTAAACAATACCCATTCAAGAAATTCATATAAATTATATGGGTGATTTTCTGTGAATATTCTAATAAATGTAATGATTTCTTCCATTGTTAGGGATACTGAAGCGGCTATGATCAAGAAAATAACCACTGATATTTCGAACATGCTGAATAATTCCATATCATCACGGGATTTTGATGGGTTAGTTGGGATGAGAGCTCGCTTGGAAAAGATGGAACCACTGCTATGCCTAGAGTCAGATGAAGTGAGGATGATTGGGATTTGTGGTCCTCCAGGGATTGGGAAGACCACAATCGCCAGAGTTGCATACAACCAACTCTCCAACAGTTTTCAGCTGAGTGTCTTCATGGAGAATATCAAAGCAAACTATACAAGACCTTGTTCCGATGACTACAGCACAAAGTTGCAGTTACAGAAACTGTTTATGTCTCAGATGACCAACCAAAAGGACATGGAGATTCTTCATTTAGGAGTTGTCCAAGATAGGTTGAAAGACAAGAAGGTTCTTGTCGTTCTTGATGGAGTGGACCACTTGGTACAACTAGAAGCGATGGCGAAAGAAACTTGGTGGTTTGGTCCTGGGAGTCGAATTATCATTACAACTCAAGATCAAAGTATTTTTAGAGCACATGGGATTAACCATATTTACAAGGTTGAAAATCCACGTACTAGTGAGGCTCTTCAAATCTTTTGCATGTCTGCTTTTGGTCAAAAGTTTCCTAAACATGGTTTTGAGGAGCTTGTCTGGGGAATTATACGTCTTGCTGGTGATCTCCCTTTGGGGCTAAGGGTTATGGGTTCCTATTTTCGTGGAATGTCCAAGCAAGAGTGGATAAAGTCACTACCAAGATTAAAGGCTAAGATTGACACTGATATTTGGAGCATTTTGAAGTTCAGTTATGATGCTTTAAGTGACGACGATAAATATTTATTTCTTCATGTAGCATGTATTTCCAACCGCTGGGGCTTTGAGAAGGTGGAAAAATATCTTGGACAAAGTCTAAGTGGCTTAGTTGAGAAATCTCTTATATCTATCGACGGCGACTCGGATGGAAGAATATATATGCATAGTTTGCTAGTAAAACTTGGTAGAGAAATTGTTCAGCAACAATCAATTAATGAGCCCGGACAGCGCCAGTTTTTGATTTACAATGAAGAGATTAGTGAAGTACTAACTAGTGCAGCAGTAAGTTTTGACGTTTGTATTTCGTTGCATTGCTCCCTACAAACTTAATTTATTTGACCACTAACCATCTCAAATTTTTTGTTTTTGTTCCATTTTTCAGGGTGGTAAAAGTGTCGTAGGCATAAAGTTAATATATGCATACGGAGAAGAACCGATTGTAACTTATATAAATGAAAGAGCGTTTGAAGGAATGTATAATCTTCAGTTCTTAAGTATTGTCGTCCCTGATCGCAATACATTGTATCTACCAAGAGGTCTAAACTATCTACCTCCGACACTTCGATATCTACATTGGTGGTATTTTCCGACGACATGTTTGCCTGCTGTTTTGAACTTTGAGTTCCTTGTCGTACTACGTATGCCTAATAGCAAGCTTGAGAAGTTATGGGAAGGAATTAAAGTAAGTAATTTTGATTTCCTTATTTTTAATTTGTCATTTGTCTTTTGAACAGTCTTTAGCCTAAAAAGAAAATGATCTTCCCGTTTACAAGTGGAAGTGCTTTTATGTTGGTGTATAAACAAATGTTTTTTTTTTGGTCTGCACAGCCGCTTCCAAATCTCGAGTCGATCACTTTGACTGGTTCAGTAAACTTGAAGGAGCTTCCTGATCTCTCAACTGCCATTAATCTTGAGGAATTGTCTCTGAAAGGATGCTCGAGCCTGATCAGACTCCATTCCTCTATTGGAAATGCCATTAATCTCCAAAGGTTGTATCTTAGTAATTGCTCAAATCTGTTGGAGCTTCCCTCGTCTATTGGAAATGCCATTAATCTCCAAAGCTTGTATCTTGATGATTGCTCAAATCTGTTGGAGCTCCCCTCTTCTATTGGGAATGCCACCAGTCTGGAGAATTTGGAGCTTAGTTTTTGCTTAAATCTGTTGGAACTTCCTCTCTCAATTGGAAACCTTCAGAAGTTGAAGAAACTGGAATTAAGAGGATGCTCTAAGATAGAGTTTCTGCCCACCAACATCAACTTGGAATCTTTGGATAAACTTGATCTCACGGATTGCTCCATGTTGAAAAGTTTTCCTGAGATCTCTACAAACGTTCTCGAGCTCAGTGGAACCGCAACAGAAGAAGTGCCTCCCTCGATTAGGTCATGGTCTCGTCTTGATGAGTTGCATATGCCATACTTGGAAAACCTTAAGGGAATGTGTCATGCTCTTGACATCATCACAGAGCTGCACTTGAGCGATACAGAGATACAAGAGGTGCATCCTTGGATCAAGGGAATCTCTCGTCTTAGGAAACTCGTGCTCAAGGGTTGCAGAAAGCTGGTATCACTCCCACAGATTTCGGATTCCGTATTATTCATCGATGCAGAAGATTGCGAGTCCCTGGAGAGACTAGATTGCGAGTTTCACAATCCAATGGTGTCTCTTAATTTTGCTAAGTGCTTCAAACTGAATCAAGAAGCGAGAGACCTCATCATCCAGACACCGAATAGTGATTATGCTGTCGTACCCGGTGGACAAGTGCCTTCCTACTTCACTCACCGAGCTATCAGTGGGGATTCGCTGACGATTAAGTTGAATGAGAGGTGGCCTCTTGTTACATCCATGAGATTCATGGCTTGCATCTTGGTTGTTCATGAAGGTGCCGATGAGGCTTGTCAAAGTGAGTTTTGTAGAGGTGGGTATTTCAATGTAAACTGTGGAAATTGTGGATTTAGCTTCCGTTATCTAGATCCGCTTCTAACAGAGCATCTGTACACATTCCAAGTCGAAGCGAAGGTGACTTCCACTTCCAGCGAGCTTGTCTTTGAGTTCAATCTCCAAGTCGAAGACCGTTACGGTTGGAAGATAAGAGAATGCGGGCTAGTCCAACTTAAGAAATCAGAGAGAGAGCAAGGTTTTTAAATCAAAAAAATATTATGTATAGTTTATTGAAGAAGAGAGGGTACTTCAGAAGTGCGTCTCAAGTCATGAGATGATCTTCAGAACATGTTGATGACTCAGCGTCAGATGCTGCAAGCTCAGAGTAGGCAGTTCCCAAACCCTGAACGCATTCCAAAGGTAGATTGGTAATACAATAACAGCTTAACTCTCGATTACCTTTTAGTTGTTGACGAATTGATGAATGTTCTGAATATAAATTTGAATCATTTTCTTAAACTAGGCGAGGAGATCAATGTGCCGCATAATGCATGTACTGACAGAGAGAACCGGATCCCAGAAGATCAGCCGAGATTAAGAGAATGATGAATGCTATAGCAGAGGCTTTGGCACAGTATTAAGTGTAATACTTAATTACTAGTAGTATTGAAGAGGCTGAAGACGATTTGGTTTTTGTTCTTTGTATTGGTCCATTGCTTGTGACCGTCATGTTGCAGTATGTTAGAGCGATATGCACATTGTTTGTAAACCCATGTCTTTGACCCAAGCCCACAATCTATAGTTCTAACATAAGAAAGCAAATAAAAAAAGTTTGTTTTCACAGTTATTGGAACTTTAGTGTTTCGTTTAGGCTGCTAAGAACAATTTTAAGAAGTCTGTTCAGTCGACAAAAGGAAATTTGTTTAGTTTTGGCACTTGAAAAGATAATATAATTCTGTGCAACGCGAAATGAGAAAAATTTATCTCTGTAGCTCAACAATACAAATTCTAAGACAAGATATTGAGGAATAACTCAGAAGGACAAAAACGTGAGAAGAGGCAAAACTTCTTTCTCTCCTTCATTCAATAGCTTACATCTCCTCCATCAAGGTATCATCTGAAAGTGAAACCGTAAACAAGATTTAGATACAACATTTGGTCCACAAACCAGTATGCCAAAAAAGAAACAAAAATCATTACCTTTCTCCTTTCCATCGTCGCTGCTCAATTCGGATTCATTATCATTCTCAACATAGAGAAGGTCTTCTACATCTTCTTCCTCATCCTCGCTTTCATCGGACTCTTGATCTTGATCTGTTGTTTGAGTTTGAATCCCTGCAGCTTTGTTGATCTGCCATAAAAGAAAGGTTTTGTTCAAACTATATAGCCATATGCGAATATAACCAGGGTGATGACAATTGATTAAGAAGATGATTGATATGTAACCTGGGCTGTGACAAGTTTCAAGCGTCCAGATAACTGTAGTAACTGTTGAAGAGCCGTTCCTCGGGACTTGGTAATCTGGACGAACAGTATAACATATTTAAACCATGTAATTTTACAGAACTACCAAAATCCTAGGCTCTACTCGTATCTCCTATTACCTTAAGCAATGTATTAAGTAGTTGTTGGTCTTTTGGTTCTTGGGACATGATGTAATGACTATGATTCACCATTATGCTGTATATCCATGGAAGAAGATGCTTCCCACCACATCCCCTGTTCAAATAAATGCAACTTTTTTAAGACCAAACCAAGAAGATTTGAATCATTATGATAGCTGAACAATACACGAAAATGCTAGTTTAAAAGAGAAGAACATTTGAGTTTCCAACGATAATAACTCCAATAGTAGCATCGATGGAACAACAGTATATAGCATAATAACAAAACAGAGAACCAACCTCGTCTGCCACATAAGAACCAGAGCTTCTAGAGTCTTGAACGCAGTGGAGGGTGTCATTGAAAGAACAGCAGACTTTAACTGCCAAACAAAAATTTATATGATAACTACGATTAGTAGATTTAAAGAAAAATCTCCGGAAATCTCTACAGAAATGCGCCAGAAAGATGTACAAATGCCAAAGGGAAATATACCTTCTTTGGTGGTAGATAAGCCTCAAGATCAATTCCATCAATTACTGAAGCATAGGAAAGATTGCTTGGCTCATCTGTACCTTTAAGTATCCCTAATGATCTCAACTTATCCTCCATGCTAAATGTTTCTACATAATCTGAAATTTCAAAAAAATAAAGAAGTATGAACCAAAAGGCCACAGCAGTTCTTGCACTGAAGCATCTGCATATATAAACACTAAAAGAGCCAAAACAATCACAGTCTCTTATCAGTACGGTGATAGTGTTAATGAGAGGTCTGATAGTGGACTTCAGTTCCGTGATGTAAACTCACCCGCTTGACTTTGGTCAACCATGTCTGTATCCTTATCAGATGAGTGTGGTTGTGCACTCTTTTGATCAGCCACTCTTGCGAATGGAAGCAAAGCATCCTCCGCATGTGCACGGTCTAATGTCGTAACTGTACAAAAATAATATCACATAGTCAGCCATTGTATTGACATGAAAGGAAGGGAAATGGAAACAGCAATCCATAGTGAGAAGATTCAATAACATCAATTTGCTGAAGGAAGTTGTAGAGCCCATAGAAGATACCATAATTCTGCACGCCTTGCCCCTTCTTGGACTTGGAAACTGGCTGAGCGATGGGGAGAAGGATCCCACTCTTAGAGGCATTCAACACCAAGTCGGTGCCAAACTGCAACACCATTTTCTGGAATGAAGGTTTCACCAGCAATCCAGACGCAATAAACGCATTTGCAGAACCAGGCTTCAAAACGCCTTGTAATTTTGCAGCAAAGATTAGAGGCAATGAGCCCTTGTGATGTTTAAGCGAAGAATCTTCAGTTGCCAATGCGACTTTCGTAGGCTTTGCATTGTTTAACTCCTCGACATTTGATCCATACCAAAAATAGCAGACACCTACTTCTGAAATTGCCAAGACGTATAATCCTTTTTCATCTGTACCCCAGCTATCCACAAAGACGGGAGGGTGCTCCAAGGCAAGGACACAGCTAGCTGACTGCTTCTTAGCACCATGTGTATTCCACAATGCAATATATCTTTCACCAACCGCAGATGAGAGCACGTATTTTCCATCCTCGGTAAAAGCCACACAACGCACACCTCCCTATATAAGATTAAAGACTGTTAAGCACCTTCTAATGTTTAAAATAGAGGCAACCTCCTAACAGTAAAACATGGTAGATTAATGCCGGCAAAAGGTACAGGTACTCACAGGATGGCCAGTAAACTTCTGTATGTTCTTGAAATCAGAGCAGTTAAAAGTCTTCAACTGAGCAGATGCAGTCGCTAATATCTTTCCATCTACAATTGGGAGGAAACAAAACGGAGCAAAAACAACATCAGCAGGTATGTACATGTTGTAGTCTATGCATTGTTAACGGAAATATCCCTGCAATTACTTTCTATGAGGCCTTTTAGACCAGTCAAAACATATTTGAAGAAACAAATGGAAGCACTACGTCTCCAGAAACACACCTGGTGAGACAGATAAAGAAGAAACAGCTTTTGTTGAAGCTTTGAACTTCCTGATCAGATTTCCACTATGGGGATCAATTTCACAAACCATCCCATCGGCTCCACCGCTGTATATGCAAGAGGCCTTTGTTGAAGATGAAACAGCATTGACACCACTGCACAAGACATGAAACACATTAGTAACTGTCCATAAACTCTGCTACTGAGACGAAATTCAAGGAGCTTTAAAGAGGAAACTACCTAACGCATAATCAAATTATAGAATGCCAAGTTTACAAGTAGATCAGTTGGTTTACTGATATTATCTAACAAAGTATAGTAAAGAAGAAGTCAGTGAGAGTTACTCACCCGGGATGACAGTCACTGATTCTCCAATTCAGCTGACCGGAAGCAACATCAAGTGCCAAAACATCTCCTCCGCCAGTTCCTAATACCAATATGGACGTCCCGAGCTTTCTCTTCTTCTGCAAATAACAAGAATAAAGCTTGCTTGTCAATGTCACAAGCTAAACCTACACGGCTAGGGAGTAATGTAATAAAAACTTAAGTTTCTCTACCTTTTCCTCCAAAGACAACCATTTCATGCAAGTGTAATCGACCGAGAGGTGACCTTTCCCAACATTGGTATACATGTTCGTCTCTTCAGAAGATGCAATATCAGAAAACTCTGTTTGGACCTGACCCTTGACAGTATCCCAAATCTACACAACGTCGAAAGAAATTACATTAATTTTAAAACAAAAAGACCTTCCCTTTCAATAGAAAATTCCCTACAAATTAAACATAACCACGAAAAGAAGAGAACAGAGGATACCTTGATACGGCCATCTCCGGTGCTAAGAGCGAGATAGTCTAGAGCAGGACTGAAAGAAGTCAATACATCTCTAATGTTCGCCGAACTCATCTTTCCGTGAAACTGTTTCAAGCAAACAATCAAATATCCCGACTTTTCCTTTCTTATGAATCCAAAATGATAACTCAGCACAAGGAGTAAGAAATTAATGAATGAAGTGTCTTATAGTCCATTAAAACAATAACAAATTTCACAGAGAAACTAATTTCCGTTGAGTTACAATGCTGCAAGTTACCAACCCAATCACTCCAAAACAATCTAATTCAACTTAGAGATTAACAAAAAAAACAATTTAGCAGCTCACCAGCTCACAAGCGGATGTCAAACTTTCTTCAGATTCTCAGGGAGTGAATCTGTATGCGGTAGGCGGAAGAACAAGAGAGTGAGAGAGAGAGAAGGTGAGCTGACGAAGATGAAGAAAGAAAAGAAGCAGATTAGGGTTTTTGAGAGGTTTTTCTCTTTGCCTGTGGTTCGAAACGGCGAACGGGTTAGTCAAATTAATCTTTACGGGTTTAAGGAAGAAGACGGAGGTTCGGAAATTACAGGGCCATAATGGGCCTTATAAAACCTTTTTTGTGATCAATGTTTACCAAATAGTGATTGGGCCTATTCCAGAAAAATTAATATCCAACTTATACGAAAATGTTGGCCCACGGATTTTTATTCTCGTTACTATGAATAACAGAAAAAAAAGTAACTTCAATTTGTTCGGTTATTTCGGTTGATCAGCAGACTTCTAAAATCTTCATCTTTCTTGGCGCGCATCCCTTTTTCTTTTTAAAACTGTAACTGAGAATACAGAAGTCATTAAAATCTACTAGAAACCAAATTTCTTGCGATCTAAGGTACTTCTCATTCTTCTTTATCCTCCTCCGTCGAATCTAAAACCCATCTAACGACTTTTTATGTTCGTCTCTACACGAGTAAGGTTTGGAGAGAGAGAGAGAGAGAGACTGCGAAAGGTGATACAAGAACACGTACCTCTTTCATTAGTGGGCCGCGACTTCATGACTGATCGAGATTTGCCGGCGACGGAGGCAGTTCCGGAGACTGCGACGGGTAATGATGCTGCGACGGTGAAGACGCTAGCTCCTGGCTTCCGATTTAATCCAACCGATGAAGAGCTCATTAGCAATTACTTGAAGAAGAAGGTTCAGAGAAAAGCCATGCGCTTCTATGAGATCGGGGAAATAAATGTTTACAAGATCAAGCCCTCTGAGTTACCAGGTTCCTTTCTTTTCTCCTGGTCGTTAAATCTTCCACTGTTTCTTGGCTTTTTGCTTTTTGGGATTCTTCGGTATGGATTTCAAGCCTGTGTCACATTTCTTGCTATTCTTAAGTTGTACTATTATACATTCCACCCAAAACTGAATCTCCAATCTGTTGTGTTCTTGAAATGGTTGCTTGTTGATTCAGAAAATGAGAATTTGAAGATAGTGTTACGTAGTCTTAAGAAAACTTTTTATTGGTTTTAGGGTATTCGAGGTTGAACACAGAGGAGTCCTCACGAAAGGACCAACAACATTGCTTCTTCTTCACTGCTCTGGAAAAGGATAAGACCACCGGTGCATATAAGGAGCGAGCAACAAACGTAGGCTACTGGGAACAAACTGGAGAAGACAAGAAAATTCTGGGAGGAGACGGAAAGTTGATTGGTGTGATGAAGAGTCTTGTGTTTCACGTTGGTTGTGCTCCAAATGGTTGGCGAACCGATTGGTTGATCCATGAGTATAGCCTCGTTGATGATGAACAAAGCCTTCAGGTGTGTAGTGTATATTCTCTATAAGATTCTTTCGATTCTTATTACTATTTGGATTAGATGATTTCTTGATACATAATCTATTGAGTTCTTGATTCAACTCTTATATGTGTCTTTTGTGTATTTATGGATGCAGGTGGATGCGTACGTGTTGTGCAAAGTGTTCGTCAAGAAAGAATGAAGTGTTGATGGTGGTGGTGATAAAAGAGCTCCAAGTGTTGTGCATGCCAACAGAGTCAACGAGATTCAACAGGTTTGTGTGCTTCTCAATACTCTGTTTTTGCCCTGTTTCCTTCTTCCAAAAGAGAGATTTGTCATTTCTTAGGGTGAAACGTTTCAGTTTTTACATAGGCAACACATCAACCATTGTTTTAGTTCATTGAATTCTCATGGAACTGTTTGTTGTAGGAAAACGACTCAGGAGCGGATTGATCAATTGCTCGCGGAAAACGAGGAGCTGAACAAGAACATCAACAAGGGACATTACTCTTAAAGGGACACAACAATCCCAATTTCTTCTCTCTATCTCTTATACAGCAATAGTCTTGTGAGCTGTATGGACCTTTTGGTAACGATGTGAATCTATAATTGTAAAAATTAGGCAGAAACAAGTTTTAGAATCTGAGACATGTATACTTCTCTTTCTTTTTTGCCTCTGTTATTTGTGATGTGAATCGGCAAACCAAACACAAAGCTGGTCCCTACTCTATAGTCTCACTCAAGCTGTACCATCACTAAGTGTCGATTGATCGAAAAATGGCAAGAGGACGAATCCAGTCGAGTGATTGACAAAATCTACCAACATCCACAAGTATACTGAAACTTTCAGTAATTTCAGTAATTTCAGTATGGTTAAATAAGAAAAAGCAAAAATCCATAAACAGAGGTTTGGTAACACCATTGTAATCATAAATAACTTAGAAAACAATACGAAAGAAGAAATAGCTTGAGAAAGAAAAAAAAACAAGACGAAAGCAATGAGAGATTGTGACATCACTACCCTATGAGCAAATCAATAGGATCATAAGAACCAGTAAAAAACTGATCTTGTCCAAATCAATAAATCATACTGCTCTCTTATTCAACCAATTATGCATTTTGCTCAAATTTCCATTTCCTCTTTTGCTTTCTTGAGTCAAAAAAACTAACTCTTCACTTAGTCCTCAGGCTCATTCTTCTTACCTTCACCATCTCCTTCCCTCTCTTCCAACAACCGACCACGCTCCTCATCAGCTTGCTGGACCTTCTTCTGCGCCTCATTCGCCTTCAATGCCTGCAATTTCGCGTGGTTGTAGTACGCAACTCCCAAGAACGCAATCCCGTACCCGAACAGGTTTATAGGAGTCACCGTATCCTTAATCACAGACCACGAGAACGCGATCAAGAGCCAGTCCTTAACCACACCAGCAACATTCATGGTCAAAGCAGAGGTTTTTCCGACGAGAAGGAACACGGCGAGGTTCAAAGCGAAGGCGCAGACGGAATTGGTTCCGAAAATGGCGTAATCGAAGTGGAAGCTCGACGTGTCTCTGAGAACTGGGAACTCAACGTAGATCCATGGGATGAAGAGGAAAGCTAAGCAGCAAGGAGCAACGTAGTAGAGAGACGTGATTGGGTTTAGAGTGATTCCTTTCGATGTGAGTAAGATCTGAATCAACACCAAACGAGTCGCCTCGAAAGCAACCGCGCCGAGCTGGAGAATCACTCCCCAGACGTCGAATTTAGCCTCGCCGTAAGCGGCGACCGCGACGCCGAAGGAGATTGAGAGCATGTTCGCCATGATGTCCGATTTGAATCCTTCCTTCTTCAGGAGGACGCCGATTGAGTAGACGGCGACCGGCATGAGGGCCTTGAGCATCTGGATGAAGGAGACGGAGAGGTAAATGTAGGCGGAGTTGGAGAGCCAGAGGGAGAGAGCGTAGAGGGCTCCGATCGGGACGACGGATCTGAGGTAAGTCTCGCGCGACATTGAGACGGGCTCGACGAATTTGAAGACCTTGATTAAGAGGAAAGCTAGGGTTGAGCAGAAGGACATGTGGATCATGGTGAGGGAGATCGGGAAAGGCCAATTGTACATCTTCTTGTCGAGGATGTATTTGTTGTAAACGATTACTGTGAAGCTGAGGAAGATCCATATCGCGACGTAGCTGTAGGAGAGGACGATCTTCTTAATCACGCTGTCGCTTAGCGTGCCGCCTTTCCCCATTGCGAGATCGGATTTTCCGGTGAGGTTGATTCTCAGTACGACTGTTCTGCGGCGGAGGACGACGGTGAGGGAGAGAGAGATTTGGTTACTATGTTTGTTAGGCGAGATCTTGAATAAAAAGTCTTCGGGATTTTGAGAAGAAGTGCCTCAGTTGTGCTCTTCCATATTATCTCATTTATGGATTTATATATAATCACATTTATTAAGGTACCGTCGAAATATTAAATTTTTAATCAAACGATAATAATGTGAAGATAGCAACGAAAAAAGCAATCGTAGTCACGAAATTAATTGAGATAAAGCTTTCGAAAACACCAACCAAAATATTTTATTTATGAAAACAGTCTATAAATGTAAAATCTATCTATCTAGCAGTTACATTCTTTTGACAAAGTATAGTACAGATTTTCAAACAAATCCATTAAATATTGGGGAAGTAAAGTTCGAATCTGTTCATTGTAAACGCTTTAAAATTAAAATTTTGTTATTGTTCAATTTATATTATGCTTGAAATAAGCCAGTCGTACAAAATTAATGTAGATAGATTTTATTAAAATATTGTTAATTATCTTTTTAAATAGTATTGAATTTGTTTAGTAGTTATTAGAACGTAGATAAATCCGTAAATAGATTTCTGACTATATGTCACAATTTGTCATCATCCCTAAGATTCCCTACAAATGTTGCACTTTAGTCAATAAATGGGCCCACAGACCGTAATCAAAGCCCAAATAGCGTGTGCGTCCACAAGACGCCAGGAGGAGATTGGTGTTTGGCGAACGCGCGTCCAGCGTTCAGGTGTGATCTATGCGTCTCACCAAAATCACGCGGCCTGAGATGCGCGTTTCGTGTGAATGTGGTTACAATGCTTTTGTCGCTTGGACGTGTTTTTCCCGCTAGGGGAAATAATCATCAAACAGTGGTTTTTTTTGTTTTGTCTTTTATTAACATCCAAAGATATAAAAATGGAAAAGAAAATTATGACACTCTACTTGCAGTTGGTAAGTAAGAAGATATTTTTAAAAATTGACTTCTTCTATGGGTTGGTACTTGGCTTTCAAAGACTGTTAGTTCATCTATTATTGATGTTCAAGACACTTTTATATATAAGAATGTAATCAGTTGGGTATAATTGTTCAAGAAAATGACAAAAAAGAAGAAGAAGAAGACATTGCAATGCGGAAAACGCCATTGGTTTTATTTTAGAACAAATATTACTTTCTTGAGAGGCTTATATTATTATTACTTTGCTTAAGTTTATTGATTTGTGTTCTACATCCTTGAAGAAGCTACATCGAGTTCAAAAAATTAAGAAGATGTATACTGTTGATTAACACCACTTACTGTAAGTGATGTTAATTTTTTACCAAACACACGATCCGCATAAACCAAGTGCGGCAATACAACATCAAATTCTTGTTCTGCCCAAGATTTCATTAATTGGAGATTTTACATGGCATAGAAGACGACCCGACCCACCCACCCACAACCACAAGGCCACAAGTCTACAACTAGTGATCATCCAAAACAAAAGTCACCGTTGACCTTACTTATGTGAAATCACTGTTAACCACCTAACATACAAAATAGTGATCGATGGCTTTCTCCATAGTTGCATTAAGAATTAGTCAAGCCGTAATTCAGGTTTTTCTGGTAAATTAATTTATTATTGTCTCAATATTAATGAATTACTAATCGTATTATTGTATAGCTCATAAATCACTTTCGTTTGGACCACTTCCGTGAACTAAGAAAATGGGAGATGTCCAAGTGGTTACCTAACGAATTGTATGATTTGATGTAAGACTTCATTTTGTTGACTACCAACATTATCGAATTAATCTATATTTTGATATTGATCTCTCTACGTTTCTAATGAATTTGTATAAACTAACAAAAGATATCTTGAGACTTATTTGAATCAATTATTTGCTAAGGAATAAGAGGACGTGAGTGCCTTTTGACAAAGACATATGGCATGTGACAAAATACTTCTAATCAACTTCCTCCATCTTGCTACCTTCAAAGTCAACATCATCTTCAAGCGGAGGCCTCTCTTCATCAGCTTCAGCATTATCATCATCAATGCTCAATACAAGCTTCTGCTCCCGAAAGTATTATGCTCATCGAAGCTGAAACCGGAAGTTAAAAGAGCAGTCTCAAAGTGATGGGCTCATCTTTGGCTATGAAACGTATAAAGGTAGCTATATTTAAGTTATCAGATTTTCTTCATTTTCCCATCGAGCTTAATTGTTTCTACTTTTTCACTTATGGTGCCACAAAACTCAACATCCAATTTTAGTATATTCCTCTGTTCACCTGGCTGATAAATTTCGAAAATAAAATGTTTGTTCCTACAGATTTATCAACAAGCGTCTGTAGTCCAACGGTTAGGATAATTGCCTTCCAAGCAATAGACCCGGGTTCGACTCCCGGCAGACGCAGTTTTTTTATCCCTTAAAAACCAAATGATATTTCCGTTTTCTCCAAATTAGAAATACGAAATTGGGCCAACAGAAATGAGAACAAAACGACTAATTGGAGTAAAGAACAATATATTAATTTTGTTCTCTTCTTCTCTCTATGGTAAGTTTGTAAAAACATAATTTTTTTTGTCTCTTTGTAATTATTTTCTATGGATTTTTTTGGGTCACACAATTAGTCCTAGTTACTACTAAACCATCCAAAAAGACATTTTTCATTATTACTTTTTGTAATACCTACATTTAAAAAGAAGAATATATGCATAAAATACGAGTAAGGAATTAAAATTTAATAAACATTAGTCAAAACATGTTGAATCTAATATATTACGATATTTCATTTAGACCTGCAAAAAGTGATATTTCATAGACTTCAAAGCAAAGAAGTCCCACAGGTTCGGACATTACATGTGTTTTTTTTATTACTGGATTACATCGTAAAGATAAAAAGCATTTTTTTCTAATTAATTAACTATGGTACATCGATCTTTCTTGTCGTTATACTTACGAGCCCAAATATGCTTCCCATTTATCTTAAACTTGTTAATCTTCTGGCCTTCAAGTATGCGATCCACAGTAGTGACCGAGTCCAAAACCAGCCTCGCAAATAACTTTTGTTGTTGACCATTGCAAGACTCGTCTGTGTTTGGGGAGCTTGTGTTGTTGTTCTCTGGCATGTAAATTCCCACAACGCAATTTTCTCCAAAAATCTTGGTGAAGAGTTCCTTCACCTCCGCATGCGAAACAGGAAATCCGCGTGAAAACGTTATAAACATAGTCCGATCATTTTCGGTCGCGATGCTACTAGCGTTCCACCTCCAAATACCACTCGGAAAGATGAATAAGTTGTTGGATGAGATAATATTATCTCCAACGTCGAAATCAGGCATGACGTTGATGCTTCCAAAAGTCGGATGAGGAAATCCGGGAATAATTAGAGGATGGAGAAATTTGTTAACAAAGCATGGTGAAGAATACGGAACAACTTGTTGAAGGATATCAGAAAAAACCCTAGAACAAATTGTAGTTAAGAAGTTTTTGATTCCTGCGATGGCGGTGTAGCGATGTTTGTAGATCGAGAGAAGAGAAATGTCTTTTTTCAGGAGTTTGGCGGTGAGAGGGATTTTGTTGAAGCTATAGGGTGGTTCATTCGAATCCACGCACTGGAAGCATGAGACGGCCTCGTCGACGAGAGCTTCAACGACTGGATCTGGAAGAGCGTAGACGATCGACATGATGTTTCCATACCAAAAGTCTTCGAGCCAGAACCATGTAGCCATAACAAGAAGTGACTCAGATGGAAGTCTCGAAAATGTTAGGACCAATTTGGAGAATATCTCTCTATCTTTGGCATGGAAAGCGTATAACTGTTCTACGGTGGAAGATGGCATATTTGGTTTTGGATTTGAAGAAAGTGTGAATGAATTTTTTTTTTTTTTGTGGAGGATATGAAAGAGATTGATAGATTGTTGGAATATATAGGGTGGTCACGTTTTTTTAAAGGTTGTTTATGACAATGAATTGAATGTATGGATTTAGTTACTCTAATCATATATTTGATGATTTATTTTCTCAAAAAAATATAATAAAAATATGTTTTTTGGATGGTTTATGATAGTAACGGTTACAAAAAGAATTCAAGGATATTAACATTTATGATACCCTGTTTTGGTTCAGTTACATGTGATGTTGACAATTTTACACGTAAATTTTCACCCCACTGACTAGATTTTTTTTTGGAATTTAGTTGACAGTTGGCATTGAATTAAACAAGTGCAATTAAAAGTTAAGGTAAGTAAATATAGCTTAAATGTTTTGTTGTAATTCAGGATAATAATAATAAAATAAAAAATACTAAGTTGAGCATAACTTACCATATGGCTCTAACTATAAATGGACAAATAAGCTTTCCTTAATTAATGTGGTCAATGAAAATTTGACACGCATTGTATGCAATGTCCTTACTAGATATGTTTCTATACAATTATGATTTTCTTACCAAATTTGGATGCCAAATCTGGTATAATAAGTAATTTTTGATTTTCTTTTTATCACACAATTGTTTTTTAAAAAGTTTCAGTGTATTACCATTCATGTTACTGTATATATCTAAAGTGGAACAAGTATACTTACCAATTTAGTGTTTTTGACCAAAACACTTTTTCTATAAAAGAATTTTGAATACATTATCAAAAAAAGAAAAGAAAAATTGCCATATCAAATTCTTGATAATCTAAAAAGACAATTCTACACTTACAAAAACAAAACAAAAATTACGAAAAGGTTTATTATCCAATGCTTGGAAAACAAAATATATGTATCAAAAGAGCTTTAGGACCCGATGCTTGTAAAAGGCCAAGAGGCAAATAATATGATTGCCCTTTACTTGTAAATCGGTGGTACATTTTCAAGATAGCTAAGCAATTAGGATTTCTTACGTTAATAATTTTCATTTAAAATTGTAAGGTCATTTACTTCTCATTAAACAAAAAAAATCAAAATCCAACATGCTATGTAGCTAGAATTTTTTATTTCTTCTATCTTCTAATAAAAATTGGTAAGCACGTCCAGCAATATTACACTTGTATACTATAGTATACCATGCGACTCATTGACTCAAACCGGAAAATGTATAATCTCCTTGAACATTATTAAGGTGGCCTTTCACATCATTCATGGGATTAGCAATGGAATTTACTCTCGAACCATCCCATGAAAGATTTTTATACCCCAACACAACAAAGTGAAACTCAACCAGAGTTTAAGACTATCCTCAAAGTACGTGTTAGCTTATCAATCCCACAGAGAGTTCTATCACGAAAATAGGATAGCAATAAGAATCCAAATAAATGCGGTGGATAAATAAAATGTGAATATTCAGATAAATTAAAGAAATCACGAAAAAGCAAGTCAAATGTTCAACTTAACTGTATGGGAAGACTTTGGGTAGCCGTCGTCGTTCAATTAGGTTCATCAGAGCCACACATGACGAAGCATCTCAAGTTCACGCCATTAGCGCCATCATAGAGTTATTTAGATGGATAAAATTGGAATCAATGCCTAAGCCAGCATGTTTTAATAAAGTCGTTTGACTAACAAATGATTAACCATTCTATATCTATCACCTTCATAATAATAGTGTTTGTTTTTAGATCGAAGACCATGTCTTTGCCTTAAAGGGTAACACGTTAGTTATCCAAAACAAGTCTTCTCTACATCATTATTGTATTAATAATGATATCTCTAACGTAACCATTAAATTAACAGCCTACTTGCAGATTCCAACTCCTAAGTGGAATGCTTAATTCAAGAAAACACGTTAGTTAATTAATTCATAAGTGGAATGCTTCTCTTCTTCAAGAAAACTCCTATTTATTCAACTCGTCTATCCTTCTAGCTATTATGAAATCTTAGCTATGTCTTTTTTACATCATGTTGTGTCTCGTTCTCTTCCTTTATGTCTTTTTATTTTCCTCATCTTCTTAGTGTTACTAGGGAAATCTCAAAAGGAAGCTTTACAAGTTAAGGTGGGAGTTGTTCTTGACACTAATTCGACACTAGCAGATTTGAGCTTGCGAGCAATCAACATGTCTCTGTCGGAATTCTATAACACTCATAATGGCTTCAAGACAAGGATTGTCCTCAACATCCGAGATTCCAACCGATCTGTTGTTGGTGCTGCCGCTTCAGGTACTCGATCTTGCATTGTGCTCCTTCATGGATCGTTTATGAATTATGAAGTTTGATGTAGCTAATATACATTTTTACTATCTTAAAAATCATAACGAATAGAACTCTATAAGATTATCGTTAGAACAATTTTTTTTTATAGATTATATATTTACAAAAAATATTTATTATGTATTTAGAGCAAATTATATTGGATCAATCATCAATGAACACCTAAAAATGTATGAAAGTTGGAAAATTTGACAGAAATGTAACGCAATTTTAACTAATCAGTTTAGCCTTATTCACTGGTTACACCATCAATATTTTAAAAAAAACTTAGAGAATCACCACACAAACTTTTGAAACGGAGAATAACACTTTAGTGAAAATGTTAACCTTAACTTTGCAGCTCTATACTTGATAAAGAAGGAAGTGGTGGCCATTATTGGACCAGGGGATTCAATGCAAGCACCATTTTTAATCAACCTCGGAAACCAATCTCAAATTCCCATAATTTCATTCTCTGTGACAAGCCCTTCTCTCGATTCCCTCCGTAGTCCATATTTCATCAGAGCCACACACGACGACTCGTCTCAAGTTCACGCCATTAGCGCCATCATAGAGTCTTTTCGATGGAGAGAAGTTGTTACCATTTACGTAGACAATGAGTTCGGAGAAGGTATTCTACCTTACGTTGTCGACGCGTTTCAAGAGATCAACGTTCGTATCCGACACCGAAGCGCAATATCATTACATTCCTCCGATGATCAAATCAAGAAAGAGCTCTACAAACTAATGACCATGCCCACTAGGGTTTTCATCGTGCACATGTTACCTCCTCTCGGATCGAGGCTGTTTTCGATGGCGAAAGAGATTGGTATGATGGATAAAGGATATGCATGGATCGTTACAAACGGTATAGCTGATTTAATGAGTTTAATGGGGGAATCAAGCTTGGAAGACATGCATGGTGTCTTGGGAGTCAAGACATATTTCTCAAGATCAAAAGAGCTAACGTATCTTGAAGCTCGTTGGCGAAAAACATTAGGAGGAAAAGAGCTAAACAATTTTGAATGTTGGGCTTATGATACTGCCACAGCACTTGCACTGTCAGTCGAAGAAATCAGTAACGTAAGCATGAGTTTCAACAAGACCAACAACATTTCAAGAAATGACATTGGGACAGATCTCGATGGTCTCGGTGTCTCTCTCTCTGGTCCTAAGCTTCTTGAAGCGTTATCAACGGTGAGTTTCAAAGGCGTTGCCGGGAGATTTCAGCTGAAAAACGGAAAGCTCGAGGCCACGACTTTCAAGATAATCAATATAGAGGAAAGCGGAGAAAGAACAGTTGGTTTTTGGATATCAAAAGTAGGGCTAGTGAATAGACTAAGAGCGAATCAAACAAGCATGAAAGTTTCACGAAGCTCGCGTCGACTTAGACCAATCATATGGCCCGGAGACACTACTCGTGTGCCTAAAGGTTGGGAAATCCCAACGAATGGAAAGAAGCTGAGGATAGCAGTTCCAAAGAAGGATGGTTTCACCAACTTTGTGGAGGTAAAAAAAGACGCAAACACTAATGCTCTAACGGTTTCCGGGTTTTGCATAGATGTTTTCGACGCGGTGATGAGACAAATGCCATATGCTGTCCCTTATGAGTACGTCTCCTTTGAAGCTCCTGATGGAAAATCCGAAGGAAGTTACGACGAAATGGTTTATAAAGTGTTTCTTGGAGTAAGTATAACATTGATCCTTAAACCATTTTCTTGAAACATTCTTTTTTTATATATATCTTGGTTTTATTTGCCACTGAAAACTGTCTATAATGGTCAATATGAAAGCAACTTCGATCAAGATATAGCTAATATTGTTTTTTTGTGTTACTCAATATGATGTAAATAGGAGTTTGATGGAGCAGTAGGTGATACAACAATCTTGGCTAACCGGTCTAATTACGTTGATTTCGCATTACCATACTCAGAGACCGGTATTGTATTCGTAGTGCCGGTTAAGGACGAGAGAGAGAAAGGCAAATGGGTCTTCTTAAGGCCTTTAACAAAAGAGCTCTGGTTTCTCAGTGCTGGTGCTTTTCTCTACATTGGATTCATAGTTTGGATTTTCGAGCACCATTCAGATAAGAAATTCAGAAAACTTAAGATCACAGATCGAATTTCTAACGTGTTCTACTTCTCATTTTCAACACTGTTTTTCGCTCACAGTAAGTTTTTTTGTCACACAACTTCAGCTTCTAATCATACAGCAATTAGTAAATATTAAATAATGACCACATTTTCGATATTTTTTATATCTATAGGGAAGCCATCAGAGAGCGTTTTCACGAGGGCTCTAGTGGTGGTTTGGTGCTTCGTGGTGCTAATACTGACTCAGAGCTACACAGCGACACTGACGTCGATGTTGACTGTTCAAGAGCTTCGACCAACCGTGAAACACATGGATGATCTGTTGAAAAGCAGCGGGAACGTCGGGTATCAGAAGGGTTCGTTTACGCTCGAGAAGCTAAAACAACTGGGTTTCAAAGAATCGAGGCTGAAGATTTATAATTCACCTCAAGAAATGCGTGAGCTTTTTCTTAACGAGAGCAGCGATGGTGGTATTGTTGCTGCATACGATGAAGTCGCTTACGTCAAGCTGTTCATGACTAAATATTGTTCCGAATATTCCATTATCGAGCCTAAGTTTAAGGCCGATGGCTTTGGCT